GTGAGCCGTCAGCTTGTTTGCCATTCTAAGTTGTATAAAAAAAAAGAAAATTCATTTTGTAATTCTAATTAATATTATATAGTTATTTAATATATTCTGTAGTTTATAATTATTCATATTGTAGAAGTAATTAATAAATAGTTTAATAATAAAATTTCAGGAATTTTTAGCTATGCTTTAATTATTTTAACTATCGTTTAGAAATATTAATGGATCTTCTTAAACAATTACTTAATGGACATTAAATATTACAATAACGAACGCTCAGGCCGTAGAATGAGCTTTCTGCTCAGATTTTCCCTAGAGACTACAGTTTGGAGTTCTTCAAAAAGGGTACATTAAGGTTTCTTTAGCTGTAACTGTAATAGCTGCAGTGACCGTTTACCATCACACAAGCTGTGCGCTTGTTTGCCATCTTCGCGTTATAGAAAAAAAAAGATAAATTTAAAGAAATAAATTTAAAACTGTTATTAAGTAACACTTATTGAAAGAAGCCTATTACACACAAAACGATTAATTGAATGACAAATGTGCATAGTGTTAGTCGATCATGCGCAAGCTAAACGACCATATTATGTTAGACATAATACATTTAAATAAACACAACTATTATTAACTGAGATTTAAAAGAGTTGTGTTTCTCACGAGCTCTTCTAGGCAGATAACAACATTCCGAACCAAGCAGTAGAATCATGGAAGATGACAACTTAAAAGAGCATGTAAATCAGCATATTTGAATAATGATTCTAAATTAGAATTTTCCAAATTTCCAGTAAACTGACGATGGAAGAGCCAGTCACGAGCGAAGCCACGGGAAATAGGTAAACAATAATTATATGCAGGTCGTGATATTAAATAATCTTAACCACGACTATTTTTAACCGTGTTTATTTACCATAGAATAAATTTGCATGCAAGCGTGTATTGACTTGCGATTGAAGCAGCAAACGTTGGTACGTGGGTATTTGATGTATAAACAAATCGAATCAATAATGACTGCAACGTTATCAGGGAATTGGCCAGATTGATTACAGATAATATCAACAAATATATATAGATTGGATAAAACATGTTTTACAAAAAAAAAAAAAGAATTAACGTAAGAAAAGAAATTATATCAAAATTGGATCAGGAATTTAGTTTTTAAATTAAAATAACTACTTTTGTCACAATTGAAGTCGACTTTTTGTGAGATAATCTTATGTATGTATGTATACACAACTAGCAGCCCGTCTCGGCTTCGTACGGGTATTTTTACAACATTTTAAAAAGTGGTTATTGTGACATAACGATAATAGTTGTACATATAGTATCGCGAAGTTTTTTGTAGTAATTGATATTTTCTTCAATATTGTAGAACATACTTTTGTTCTATCACCAATAGTTTCCGCAGCGCACGCGACGAATAATATTTTATAGCATTTTTTTACACCTTGAGTTACGTTATAAGTTTAAGTAAGAATCCTAATCTTTTCTAGCAATAAATATAGCCTATGTTACTCAGGGTGAATGTAGCTTTCTAGTGGTGAATGAATTTTTGTAATCGGCAAAGTAGTTTTTTTGTTTATTCCTTACAAACATACATACACACAAAAATAAAATTTTTTCCTCTTTATAATATTAGTGTAGATATATATACAATTTTCTCACACAATTACGAATACGAGATGCACCATCAATCATTTTCGTGACACAAACAGATAACGCGTATTAAGAAAAGATGACAGCGCAGTGCTAATTTTAACTGCAGATCATGTTTTGTTTTTATATAATCACTGGTACTACCAGAGGCGTTTGCTTGGGTACCTCTGTTCCATTCGTTTCTACCGTGAAGCAGTTGTGTTTGCATGTCTGCGTTTCGGTTTAAAGGATGGGATATGGCAGTGAATTTACAGGGTACAGAGGATTAATACCAGAGTCCTCAGGAATGGCAGCGCATGGGGGGTATCATGGGTGAAATAGTATACTCTGTTATGTGCGTGGTACTGTTCATGTCTATAAGCGACGATTACCACTTTCCATCAGGTGGGCCGTTAGCTTATTTGCCATTCTAAGTTGGATAAAAAAACTAGCAATCCCGCTTCGCATGGGTAGAAAGAATTTTCAAAAATATTATCTACCCTATACTACTCGCTGATAATGTAGTTTTGTACAGGTGAAAGAATTTTTAAAATCCGTCGAATAGTTTTTGAGTTTATACATTACAAATAAACTATCGAATCCTTCCTCTATATTAGCGTAAATTGTGTTTGCTGAGACGTGCGGTTAATGTGTACTTAACACACAATTAGATGGCATAATGCTTGCTCAGCAAACTTGCTCAGACACAGAGAACTACGTGTTCAAACGCGTGTATTGATTTACATTGTAAAAATATACCACGGGTTGTGTACTTGTTATTTATTTTTTTATTTAAATAACTTTATTATTAAATTAAATTTAAATCCCCTGAATAATCTATATACAAAACTCAAATTTCGGACTTTCAACAACTATTATGGATCTATTCTTTCTGGATATATTATGGAGTAATGTCTCGATCAACACGGCCCCCGTTGGCAGTTCATATCCATAGAACAGTCGCTTTAACCGTTGTTTTCGCCACCAGGCGACTAAATGCTGGAATAACATACTTGCATCCAAATTAATATTTCAAAAGTTATTAAAAACAACATTTAATAAATAAGCAAAAACTTGGATTGGTAGCCTGGTAGCGACTGCTTTCAACATAATAACTATTGTGGTGAATTATTTATATTGTATGTTTAATTAATGTTTAATTATATAAGTAGCGAGCAAAAAGCTAATCTATATCTAATAAAACTACACATATAATAAAACTGTAGAGCTTGAATGTCTGTACATAGAAAAAAAAAATGCTAAAAATCGAGTCACGGTAATGTTGGAAGTGAAATAGAACACATCCAGATTATTTTAAAATTTTTTGTTTATCTACCTGTTTGTACGGATGAATCTCCGAAACTGTTGTACCCATTTAAATAAAATTTTGCATGATTGTACCTTACGTCCCCAGTCAACATTTTAAATACTTTTAATCACGGAAAAGTAAAGAGTTCCCGTGGGATAGTTAAAAAAACTATAGTAACTTATGCAGCTTAATACACAATTATATAAGTCATTTTGACCTAAGGCAAAGAGTGAAAACGAGACGTCATTTGTTAATTCTGGTCCAGTATTCCCGGACATAATAAATAGGTAGGTACATACATCGATACATACTATAAATACTACGCGAACAAAGTCGCGAGCATCAGTTGTAAATATGACTTATTGGTTTGCGCAATAAGTAATTTTTTGCTCCATAATGATAAACGGCAGCTTTAATCGTCACAAAATTAAAATAGAAACATCACGGGAATAAACACACAAACAACAATATATCGTGTAAATAGTTGCAAAAGAACTCATGTAAACTGAGTGTCCTTTTCGAAATCTAGAAAAACAACGCGTTAGCCAAGAAAAAAATCATTTTTGAGGCGTTTTATTTATATTAATACTTTATTGTACATAAAAAAATTAAATTCTTATAAATTATATTAAATAGAGAATTACAACAGACTTGCTTAACTCTGTAAGAGTTCTCTTTCAGCAAACCTTGAATTTAATTATATTTTATTTACATTAGTCACTCCATCTACATCAGGAGTTCCCAAACTTCTTTTGTCTACTGCTCACTTTGAGAATAAATAATATTTTAGCGACCCCATTTTTTCACCTACCTAAAAACCACTATTACTTCAAATTACAAAATCACCCCCCAAGCCTCTACACAACTTCCCCATTTTCTTCTGGGTCTCTTACCGCCCCCCCTTAGGCCTGCAGCGCCCACAAGGGGGCGTTATCGCCCACTTTGGGAAAGGCTGATCTACATGCATACGATCAATATAATTATTTTGGGGGGAAAGGGATTGTTAGTAATAGAGACTGAGAATCCCAATGCCAGCAATATACCCAACCAGGTCGACCTTCTCGCGGTTCTCCCTGGAAACTATCATGGTTAATTCCTGATGAATTCATCATGATGGGCTAATTGGCCTGTTTTCATTCTCATCTATCACCCTTCACTGGTGCTCCGCCAGCGTATCCCGTTAGCGCAGGCGGGGTTACCATATCATTTTCACCCATCAAAAAAAAAATTAAATTAGTTAAAATGTTTTTTTTTTTTTTTATTGTATAGAAAGAAGACTCATTTGTCAGTAAATTTAAGTTTGTGTAAGATGTGTTAATGAAAAATTTATTAACTTATTAGCTAGTGTATGTGGTTTATGTTAAAAGTGCTAATTACATAAAATGGGTAAGTACTTCGATTATATGTTTGGCGGTGCAGTTACATCTTCTATATTCACAATTGACACAATGTATTTTTTTTATTAAAAGTATTATAAATTTTAAATAAAGAATGTCCCACAATAAAGTGACTGGACGTCCTGACGAGTTGATCCCACCGTGTCAAGTGGTCGGGCGACGTAGTATAAAGGTGACCCACAATTGATCTAGGCACAAGGGGTCCACCCACGATTTAATAATTACACCTGTGACAGGATTCAACGACAATACGTAATGATTTACAGCCGACTTTAAAAAAAGAGAGTTCTCAATTCGGTTGTATTACTGATTACGAAACAAAACTTTTAAATAACTCCATGAGACTACAGCATGGGATTTTTGAAAAAAAAAAAAAGATCAAGAGGTTTCTTCAGGGTCGGCAATGTGCGCGTAACGCCCCTGGTATTGCAGACGTTCATAGGTTAGGGTAACTTATTTGCCATTTCAGTGGTATAAAAAAACAATGAATTTGCAAAACGAACCGTTTCAAATTTCATTCAAAACAATTTAGAAAAAATGCTTTAACTTAGTTTGCTATTTAACTTATATTAAAAATTTAAGTCTATGGGGGAGGTCTATGTCCAGCAGTGGACAGATAATGGCTGAAATGCGAGTGGTGGATTGCAATTAAATAGACAATACAAGAAACTCACCTGTCCATAACGAGACGAAGTTAAATGCACGTTTCTGTTCTTCAAGAAGTCGGGCCTCTTCCCCAAACCATAGTTGCTCTTCTGCGATATAAATTTCTTTGGTCTGTCCAGTCTTTCTGTGGAGCTTGCATCGTTCTCCTCGTCCGTTCGCTTCGAGGTCGACGGGATACCTCTGTACGCGCCCCTTGTACCCCTTATGGTCTTCTCCGGGGACTTATCCTGCTTCCTCGTAATAAGGTTCTCTTTCCTTTGCTTGTTGTTCCTCAACGAAACGTTCGATGCCATGTCCATGATCCTCCATTAAAAAACCAAGTCGACTTTGTCAGATAAATACCTCGCTTTTAGACCCTATTACCGTGACCATTATGAACTCAAATGTTTCGATACAGCCGAATCCAAATAATCATTTCATACGTATTAATCTATAGAATACAATGAATAACTAGGAAAGTAATTATAACAAGTTATTAATATTATTAATTAATAATTAAATAAATAGCTAGATCCGTCTTTTGATTCTCTCTCACTGTGTTGCATGCTTCTTCATTTACCGCCCCTTGCTTCCTTTAAAACTACGAGAATAACTATATTATATAATTTAAACAGTCTTGAGAGTTTTTTTTTTTTAATTTTGGAAAGTTGTATTGCAGGATTGTTTGTTGTTGTTATCTGAAACAATGAAACAATAATTATATAAATGGTAGTTAGAATTAATTATACAAGTCTCATCATCATCATCATGTCAGCCATACTGTTCACTTAACATAACATATACAAATTCACCAGAGGGAGACTTTGTACAAAAATCGATTGCTTGTGTACCTCTGGCCCATTCGTGTTTCTACCGTGAAGCAGTTGTGTTCGCATGGCTGTGTTTCGGTTTGAAGGATGGGATATGGCGTGAATTTACTGGGTACAGAGGAATAACACCTGAGTCCTCAGGAATGGCAACGCATGGGGGGTATCATGGGCGAAACTGTATACTCTGTTATGTCCATGGTACTGCTCATGTCTATAGGCGACGGTTACTACTTTACATCAGGTGGGCCGTCAGCTTGTTTGCCATTCTAAGTTGTATAAAAAAAAATACTGAAATAAGTGTTATTTTGCGGAAGTCCATATCACTAGTTATTTGATTAGAATTATTTGGTTTAATTCCGCTACCATTAATATATGTGTGATTGCTAACACTCAAAGTTTGGTCACCATTATTACTACAAGAAGTTCTCGCTGTTGGGAGCATATTGTTAAACGTTCGGCATCCAAACTATAGATTGCAGCGATCTAATAATTTGCCCGAAGATGCCTCGTTTAGAGGCGAAACACGTGTCGCAAAACGTGCGTGGACGAAATGACAGTCAGAAATCGAAGGCTAATATAGATGGTCGTAGAACTGTTAGCAGTAGGTAGCGGTAGTATATACAAGATTGTAATACTATTTTAATAAATCAATAAAATACATTATTTATCGGCTTAGTAAAATATTAAATCGATTTAATGACAATTTCATTGGGCGAGACCCAATGATGATTTCTACATCTACATTTTACAATCACCCTAAGTAGCATCCTTAAAAAAAAAACATCTTTTGAAAGATATCAATAAGAGATCAAACAAACGCAGTTTGTGACAACCCTATTAGGATACGTAAATACATCTCAGTACGATGATGTTGAACATAACAATTGTGTTATCTAGGGTCGATGACTCATCGTACAACGAAAATAACTTAGAGCTAAACTTAACACAACATGCTGCATCTAGGTATCGCATCCTCCGAGAATGAACTAACTTGTTATTATTAAAAATAACTTTATTTTTTTCTCTAAAAAGAACATAATTGAGTAAAATATGTCCTTGTATGCGACATTCTTTTATATTCAAGACAACATAATGGCCACAGGATCGAAAACAATAGTGATTTTTTTAAGTAGATAAATTTTATAAGCATATAAATTAAAATACACGAAAAACCTTTGAACTTATAGGTAAATTATTAAATTGTTGCAGTAAACAAAAGTATTTTTTTTTATATTTGTTAAAAAAATTGTTAAATGTCATCATCATCAATTATTGCGTAAAGAAAATTAAAGCAGAGCTTTCATGGACACGCTTAGTTCTTTTTTTAATCAATATATAAGAAATGGTAACTCCATTTCCGCTACTGACATATGGTGGAGGGATACAGAAGGTTTTTTTTTTTTTTTATACCACTGAGGTGGCAAACAAGCATACGGCCCACCTGATGGTAAGCGGTTACCGTAGCCTATGAACGCCTGCAATACCAGAGGTATTACGCGCGCGTTGCCGACCCTGAAGAAACCTCTTTACCCCCTTTTGAAGAACCCCATGCTGTAGTCTCTCGGGAAAACCTCGGCAGGGAGCTCATTCCATAACCTGAGTGTTCGTGGGAGAAAGCATCTCTGAAACCGCGTTGTACGCGACCATTTAGGCTGTAAGGTATGAGGGTGAACTCCCCGCCGATGGCGAGCCGTACGATGATAGAAAGTGGCCGTAGGCATCATATTGAATAATTCCTCTGAGCACAATCCGTTGTATAAGCGGTAGAACACGCAGAGTGAGGCAAAATCTCTCCTAAGACTTAAGGGTTCGATACCGCTTGCAAGCATGGGATCATCGACAATTCTCATAGCTCGTCGTTGCACTGAGTCGAAGGGTTCAAGCTGGTATCTAGGTGCTCCCGCCCATAAGTGACAGCAATACTCCATATGGGGCCGGATTTGCGATTTGTAAAGCATTAATCGCTGATCCGGCGTGAAGTAATGCTTCGCTCTATTGAGCACACCGAGTTTTTTGGATGCCAGCTTCACCTTATCTTCGAGGTGGCCACGGAACTGTACGTCACTAGAGATGTCGACACCAAGGATCCCAATGCTTTTAGAGATGTTAAGAGACGTGCCTTGGAACTGTGGGGCCAGGTAGATAGGTGAGGATGGAGTCAGCTCTGTAGGCCCATAGCTCAATTCACTTACATATGTATCAACAGGGATTAAACATTAAAGACTTGTCCAGGGGTACCAGGTAGGGTAAGGCCAGCCTACCAGAAATATATATTTTTTAAATATGATGCCCTAATATTGGATTGGATATACAAAACAGTATTTGCTAAAAAATAGTAATTTAATAATACAATTTGATTTAATAATATAAATAATAACAAAAGCACACCACAGGGAGACTTTGTACAAAACTCGATTGCTTGGGTACCTCTGCCCAATTCGTGTTTCAACCGTAAAGCAGTTGTGTTTGTATGGCTGTGTTTCGACTAGAAGGGTGGGATATGGCATTGAATTTACAGGGTACAGAGGAATAACACCAGAGTCCTCAGGAATGGCAACGCATGAGGGGTATCATGAGTGAAACAGTATACTCTGTTATGTCCATGGCTCATGTCTATAGGCGACGGTTATCACTTTCTATCAGGTGGGCCGACAACTGATTTGCCACTCTAAGTTGCATAAAAAAAATAACAGAATCAATTAGTCCCTTATTTAGATGACTTTTGAACTTATAGTAAACTAAAGATGGTCATTTGATTAAGACAAAACATACACAAAATAATGAAGGTGCCTGCATTATTATTATTTTTATTGCTCAGAAGGTAAACAGTGCACCTGATAGAAAGCGACTACCCTCGCCCATGTACACTTGCAACAAGGGAGTTGCCTGTCCAATGCTGGCTTATTAAATATTTATATTTATAAAAAGCCCATATTTCAATTATTTCAATTAGGATGCATACATGGTAGCAGTGTGACATGCACTCTGAACTTCAGTTCTATGGTGAGAGGTAGGGTTGCCAACTCTCGAAAGGAACTCATGAACGAACCCGGGAGAATTTTATGTTTTTATCAAGTGGGTGATGGAGGGTGGAGGGGGGAGAGTATTAAAAAAAACATTAATTGATATTTACATTTATTTTGTTTTCCAGCAGCATCTAATATTTATTGGTTTTTCGCCACAAAATCATAATGGTTTTTACATAAACAATCGAAGTTTATTAGTGCCTGTAATTCTGCTTTTACTAAAAATATACACATTCGGTTTCTTTCCCTGCTTCATACTTGCTCTATCTTGCTGAATACGCATTCACATGAAGCATTAGAGACAGGTGCGCAGTGTTGTGACCGCAAAGCGAGTAGCGACGAGCGAGCGACAATTGCATATTTTTTTTAGAAAACCCAGAGAATTTATTGCATTTCAGGGAATTGGGGGGTTAACCATTATTACCGGAGTCACCCGGGCAATCCGGAAGGCTTAGCAATCCTATTGACAGTTATGGTGGTAAGAGGTCTGATACTCTTCTGCCGCTTTCTACAAGTCTCTTTCAATCATTCTAACACAATGTTTGTAATGCAACTATATGATTGTTGAGCCTTCATAACCACCATGCGTCATTTCTTATGGCCGGCGATCGGTCGTCCCTCGAATTGTAGACCAGTAGACGGCAGAAGTCACTAATTTGTTGCCGGTATCTGGCCGTTCATTTACCTTCCTCATGTTCCTCAAAAATTGCACCTAAATTACTAGTAAATACACCATGTACCCTCTTCTATAGGCATTCCGTCACCCATATCCGAGCGAGTTCAGGACTCGTTAAATACCGCAAACCATAAAAAAATAAAGGATTTTAAATATATTTGAATGTCTAATTAAAAAGTTTCTATGCAGTGCACTATTTGTACTAATTTTACTACAGTGATATGCTAACAAAGAGCAAATTATAACAAGTAAAAAGAAAGTAATTAGATTTTTTTTAAGAATGGGAAAAATTATATTGGAAAAGTGCTATAAACTTCTTACACTTATGACATTTCATTAAAATTCATTGAGCAGGTTCAAAGATTAGCATGAACATCTTGACATGAAATTTTTACATATTGTCAGTCGTAGAATAGTGATGGATCTTTATATGTAATCTTCGTCAGATCTATCAGTATTCTACAACTATGACAATATTAAAATAGGGAATAGAAGCCTTTGGCAGATAGTTCTATCTGCCTACCCTGCAAGTGACTTCATGTGAAATTATATATGTAGTAAGATTTAGATTTTTACTATCAAGACATGGTAATCTTCCAAATGATATATCTTAATTGGACAAATGACAGATGTCATTATCTATGAATAATTGTGTAGCAGCTGAATTTATTTTGGCTTAGAACATACATGAGCATGTTAAAGTTCATACATACTTGTATACATACTTGTATTAGTGAGCTCTTAATTCATTTAAAAATTAATTTATAATTGCCATTTAAAATCAAAATACTGTTAAACAGAAGACGCCTACCTATATTTTAATATGTTATCAGATAGTTTTGTTTTTAATCAAGGATACTACTACTATACTATATATATATATATATATATATATTTTTATTTGATGGTTTGTTCAATGTAAATTAAAAATTAATTTACTTAAAACAAAAATAATTCATTTCAAAACTTATTCAAGCCCCAGCCTTGACCTAAATATAAATTACAAAAATAATAATATAGAAGTAGTGGATTCCACTACTTTTTTAGGTATCACGTTAGATAAACACTTAAATTGGAAGAAACACGTTGATAATGTTTGTAAAAAAATTAATAAATTTGTATTTGCATTGTATAAATTGCGCCAGATTGCAACCATACAGACTGCTCTTAGTGCATATCATGGATTCGTTTCATCGGCACTTAGTTATGGTTTGATTATTTGGGGGAATTCGCCTGACATAGAAAGAGTCCTCAAAGCGCAAAAAAAATGTATAAGGGCTATTAGCAATGTGGGGTGCCAGGAATCTTGTAGGCCATTATTTAAAAAATTAGGAATCCTTCCCCTGACTTGCATGTATATATTTGCTATATGTACTTTTATTAAGCAACACCCTGAATTATTTAATACATGTGGACAACTCAAAGAAGGCATTAGATCACACAGAAAAAATAAACTTGTGATACCAAAAAGTAATTTGACCTTGTACCAAAAGAATGTTTCATTTATGGCCCAAAAAATATATAATAAACTTCCTTCAGATCTTTTAGACCTTCCCTTGAAAATATTTAAGAAACGGCTTCATCTATGGCTTCTGGATAAGGTCTTTTACAGTATGGGAGAATATTATGCCTACACATCCCAAAAATAGTTAACATAATTATTAATAATATAAATCCTTAAGACTTGACATAAATTTGCTGTTGACATAACATATGGAATGTAATTTGTATTTAATTAATAATAATAATGTAATTGTTAATTTTATTTGACGATATTGAATATGTAATTTGACTTGATAATTGTTTGAGCATTGTTTTCTTTTTTTTCTTTTTTTTATTATTCTATGATCATAATAATGTATTAGTATAAATTAAATTTGTATCCTTATTTAAGGAATAAATTAGATTTGCATGCCTACAATTTTAAGGCAATTAGACAGATGCCAAAAAGTTGTGTCACATGGCCCTTATAATGTCAAATGTCTGTTTAAAGCAAATAAATATTTCATTTCATTTCATTTCATGCACAATTTATTCTATTCGAGACATAGAGATTATTAGTAATGTACTAAAGACCTCATTGCTAGCAATGTACTGTCAGATTGATGACTCTAGATATCATCAAGGTAAACTTTTGGTAAATTTGTCACAATAGGCCCATTGAGTTCACTTAATATTCACCTATTACCCTCACTGATACCTTAGTAGCATAAACTAATAGTGCAGGCAATGTTGCCTGTTTTATTAATAGTTTAAAAAAAAGCTCAGTTTTATCTTAACAATACTAGTATAGAACCAAGGCCTCCCATATTTATAAAGCTTTTTAACTAAAAAAATAAAAATTAATAAAACGAGTACAGAATTGATAGCAATTTTGAACATATTAACATTGGATATTTTTGCAACATATTCTCTTTTTTTTTTTTAATTGTTAAAACTTAAACAGGCAACTAGAGATCATTGGCAGATAGAATAATACAATGAAATATCTTATGTTTTCAGTAACTACTATGAAAGTTCATATATTTAACACAATAATTGTTGATGACAATAAAAGTAATTAGTACAGTACATAGATTGAACGAAATGTACAGAATCATATAATTGAAGTTAACTTGAAAACAAAATATGACATTCATAACAAAAACTTTAAACATACAATCGCTGATGCCTTTTCGTTTTTATTAATACATTGTAGTATAACAAGTTTTTAATTACTTAATATGATGTATGCATCATATTAGTATATAAAAAAAAATTATAATGTACAAATAAATAAAATTAAGTATACATAAATATTGCAAATGAAAATGTATCGAATGTAAAGAAAGTGTGGTCATTACCAGATAAAGCTTTCAATTCAATTATCATCAATTCAAAGTTTTCAATGCATTTTAAACATTAATGCCTCCACATACAGGAGACAATGGTATGCATTGTGTGTATGAGTGTAATTGCATTAGTAAATGAACAATTATTTACAAATATGCAAGAAACATGTTGCTTTGTTTACCGAGTGCGGTCTGATCGCACGACTGTTCGCTGCATCGCAATAAAAGCTGACACGTTACCTGTCACGTCTCGGTCACCTCTCAGAAACCACCGAGGTCGCCACACTGCACTCACTGAACACGAACCAACAAAAAATGTATGCAAATCGCACTCAACTGAAGAAAACTACGTGCCGGCATGAAATTTTCACACGAAATAATGCGAAAGCGGGTGGCTGAAAAGTCGCGCAGACGTCGCGACGTCAGAACCACCCAGCCATTGCACTTACGTTCTGTCGCGTTTTATTTAAAGATGTGCTAAAATCTGCAGACATCCGCCGATCTATTGCACTAAATGGCGCATAGCTGAATCAAGCTGAATAAATAGAGTAAAAAACTGAGATGACAGTACGTCAATCTTGCAAAGGGTTTTTCTAGGGGAAACTACACGTTCTACACCTCGATATCACCATGGTTTGTTGGATGAACAATTTTTTCGATACACAACTGTTACTTTAGCTAAATTGATATTGGATTCTATAAATACTTACAAATAAAAATCTGGAATCACACCATTGTTTTTTCTTCTGCACAATCAGTAATCGATGTTGCTATACTGGAAAAAAATTACCCGTGAAAAGTGGGTCATCTATCATCGATCACCGTATTTTTTCTTTCATATCTTCTTTCACTTTTACTTCTATTTTTGTCTTTCAAGATGATATTAATTAAATAATAGTAATTTCCGAGGTAAATAATTAAGCATAAAGAAAGGATAAACTGCAAACAATCATTCAATATTATCACGCAAATAACAAGGTGAAAACAAATAAAAGCAATCGGTCTATTTCAGGATGAAAATAACAGTATTTGTTAAACTATAAAACATTTTTATTAATTAATATTATTGAATAATAATTTTGCAGTTTTTAAATCTAAAGTATAAAATTTTAAAATAAAATTTATAGAAATCTATTTAAATTTTTTAATTATAAATTCTGCTTAAAAAGTAACCCACTGCAACCATCGTTCAGAAATATATTTATTATGATTTCATTTGTACGTTATTCCATGATTATAGTACAATTTAATAAAAATAATTTGCTTTATGACATGTTGCAATTTAATGCTTTCATATTTTTTTAAATCGTAGTCAAATACTGTTTTGAAGCAAACAATATTTAATATAATTTAATAGCTAAAATCTTAAACGTTCTGTTTGATTTGACAGATAGAAATTTCTGACCAGAAAATTGTGATGTCGATTGTGTACATGGCATATTTTTAATTTTTCTTAAATAATGAATTATTGAAATGATAATTTAAAATTTAACAACAATAACTATTTATAATATGGCATTCGTCAGTGCAGTGACCGGCGATGACTCCACGAAGAAATTCATGGAAGTTTTGCAAAATGACTTTAGAAATCTAAGCTTAGAAACTAAGAAGAAATATCCTCAGATAAGAGAGGTTTTTATCCATTTATTGGTTTTAATATTCTTTTAGTAATAGTTCTGTTATCACTTTTTGGCTCAATTTATTTTTGTCATACAGTATCCAATATATATTTTCTAGAATCTAAGACAAGTAACCTGGCTAATTATAGACAGTAATTAGCTGCCTTTTAGCAGTTTTATGCAAACAAATGCTCTGTATGATTATTAATATATAGTGCAAATGTATATACATTCGTTACTTGTATCAATTGATTTGTTTAATAAAGAAAGTATGGTTTATAATTAGTCTATACATAATAATACTGTTCATAGTAGTTTGTATGATCTGCATCACTGCTATTACTTTTATAAAGCATAAATTAATAATTAATTAATTTGCATAACATTTGGGGTATAGATGGGCCATACTTTGATATAATCTATAGGATACTTTTTATCATAATTTATAAGCTAAGTCATTTAAATTAAATAGCTTCAATAATTAATAGTTTAGACATGATCATTTAAGAACCCAACTGATGAAAAGAGGGAACTGTATTGAACAAGCATCGCAGTAAATGCTTTCTATTAAAAAGAACAAGAGAGAAATTGACAAAGATATCATTAGCATATTTAAGAATATGTTCCTAAGGTGGCCTGGCTCCTTAAAAAGATGCTTATGTACTTTGAAACATGGGAAAACAATGGGGTGGACACCATATAATTCTGGGCTGGGTATAAATCACTCTCCACCCTTAAATACACCTATTGGTATCACATAACATGCACATATAAAAAACAACTGAATTGTAAGGCTCTTTTAAATCTAATGATCTTTAAAATATTAATCTACCTTGTTTGTTCTCTCCCAAGGTTACACTTTGTTTGTATTTACAATTAGTAACTGTTAATACAGCAGACCTATGTCATTATCATTAATTACTTAACACATGTAAAGATTATAAGTGGAGTTATTAGTCTCAGAAGTTTGTTTAATTTTACTTGAGTTTTCTTTAAATTGTCTATACCAGTGTCTTGTGAAAAGTAATTACTAGTAGAAATAATCTACCAAATAAACTCTACTAATATGAGACTACTGGAATGTAGCTAGAATTGTAACCTGAAACAGCGGATTCTGGGCTATATACCATTATATAACGGTAATGTCAATTTAATACTGGGTCAACCTGGCAGTCGCAATGCAAGATGGCTATATCTGTGAGTAAAGGTGTCCCTGACGGACTGACTTTCAGATAATCCCTATGAGGCTGGCATAGTCACTTCAACCTCAACAAAAATTTGATTAAAAAAAAATGAGACAAACACATGTTTTATAAAGAAATGTATGTATAAATAAATATGTGTCTATTCTCATTATCAAACTATATTTATTGCAGGCATGTGATGAAGCAATTGAAAAGCTTTCTTTAGCATCAAATAATCCTCAAGCATCACTGTATGGAGTAGTTAATCAAATATTATATCCTTTAGTGCAAGGATGTGAGTCTAAAGACTTAAAAATTATTAAGGTAATACATCTATTATTATTTGTAATGTATATTTATCTGTACTGTATTAATTTTTATTTGTTTATTATAAACTAATAATATAATAGTGACAGTAACTAGTGCCGGGTTAAGTCTTGACTTTAAATGGATGTAGGCATACATTTTAGTGTATTTTGAAACACATGTTGTATACATACAAGTAATAGTCATATAGAAATTTTGCCTACAAATATTACTAAGAAAAAAACCATTTATGTGTGAGTCGAACTTATACTGAGAGTTATATACATACATTAATGCATTTTTTGTATGAAACAAACATGTAGTTATTATTATTCATACTGCAATTCTTTTTTTGGACCATATTTCAAACCTTAAAATCATTTAACTAAATTGCTATTGTAGGTAGTATATTCATTTATTTTAACATCCATTGTATAAGTAGGTAGGTATTAAATTTATTTATAGTATATGTATTAATGTAATATTTTATTATGTCTCTTAATATTTTATTTAACTGTATATTTGTTTATGTACACTAAATATTAATAGTTGTAGCACTTGAGCTGCCCGCTAACAACATGTTTTCTGACTGCATTGGGTTGACTGGAAGAGATCTCTGTCAGAGATAAGTCCACCCTTGCTTACAATATTCACAAATGCATTAACAATGTAATTTACAAGTGCAATAAAGAATATATATATATATATATATATATATATATATATAGTAAAAACTGGATTGCATAACTAATTTTATTAAAGGTTTTTTAATAATTTCTGAAAAAGTAATACTATAATAATCATATAAAACCTTTAATACCTTTAAAACTGTGATTATTTCAGATTTTTTGTCTTGCAAACTTTGGAGTTAAAGGGCAATGATTTTTTACACATTTTTGACCACAAGTCAAAAATTATGTAGTATAGTAAAAATAAATAAAAATCAATTTCAAAATATTCGAATAAAGTCCTTTCATATAGTGTCCTGCTTAGTTACTAGTCTAAGTGGAACACTATATGAAGAAATCATTGTGAAATTGTGAGAAACTTTTTGGTCCTCCTAGTAAAGAAAATATAAATGTAAAAATTTTTCTTTTAGATAAAAAAAAAAATTAAAATCTATTCTATTATATATCAAATGAGGAACAACACAAGATAATCATTACTTTTTATTGTGAATCAAGTATCGCAAGTCATGATAGAGTGTCAGAGACATGAAAAGTGAGGATAGTTCTAGAAAAATACTGACACATAATTATTAATATACATCAGATTCTTTTGTTACAATTAGTAGTTACTGAGATATACCAAGGTGACAGAAGGACAGACAAAGCTTCATAAGGCTTCCTTTGTATTTTATTGATACAGAACCCTAACAATTGCTGATTAAATATAGATTTACACAAGTAAAACCTTATTATTTCTTTTCCAGTTCTGCCTTGGTACAGTACAAAGGCTCATTGCCCAGCAAGGTATAGATGCCAAGGGTGCTCGGCATGTGGTCGATTGTCTCTACAACCTAGGACAGGCTGGTGTATTGGAGCTGAAGCTGCTGCAGACGGCTGCATTGCTCATGACCACTTCTGACTTGGTGCATGGTGATACATTGGCAAGAGTTAGTAGTTTTCGATCTATCTAGACTCCTAGTTTTGTTTATTTAATCAACCTTGATTGTATGCTATCAAGGGGATTGTGTACCTGTTTATCAACTACTATAAAACACTTTCCACTTAGTATGAAAAAATAAGTTTTGTAGTAGTATTATAGGTAATGATTGGTATACTTGATTATCTTTAAATGCACACTTAGGCTGAATTCTCTTATCAGCAAAGTAACTGCAAACTCATCAAGTCAACCTCTACATGGTTACTAGTAACCATCTGGGGGGAAAGGGATTGTTAGCAATGGAGTTTGACAGCTCCATTGCTAGCAATATGCCCTATTAGGTCGACCTCCACGTGGTTCCCCCTGGAAAACATCGTGAACAATTCTTATTGAACTCGTCACGATAGGCTAACTGACCTGCTTACATACTCACCTATTATCACTCACTGGTGCCCCGTCAGCGTATACCGAGAGTACAGGCGGGGTTACCATTTCATTATGACTTATTGAAAAAAAAGAAACAGTTGCTTGAAAGCAGAAACATTACTAGTCTTACTTGATAGATTGTTTTTATGCAATATTGAATGGCAAACAAGCTGACGGCTCACCTGATGGAAATTGGTAGAAGTCGCCTATAGACATGAGCAGTACCACGGACATAACAGAGTATACTGTTTCGCCCATGATACCCCCCATACGTTGCCATTCCTGAGGACTCAGGTGTTATTCCTCTGTACCCTGTAAATTCACTGCCATATCCCACCCTTCAAACCGAAACACAACCATGCAAAAATAACTGCTTCACGGTAGAAACACGAATAAGACAGATACCTAAGCAAACGACTTTTGTACAGTCTACCTCTGATAAGATACCCATGAAATCTGAGAAGTAACCTTGAAGCGGTTGTATTTACAGACGATGGTGATGTGCATGCGCATGGTGTCGGCGTCGGAGACTCGCGACGTGAGCACGAGCCACGCGGCCGCCGCCACCGTCCGCCAGCTCGTTGCACTCGTCTTCGAGAGGGCGCTCGCTGAGGCCGATGGTGTGTATACATTTTCTACTCAGCTAGGAAAAGTTCGGGTGGAGGTAATGTGGTATTTACATTTTCGGGGCAAAATTGTAATAATTCTCAACAAATTTTTGAAAAAAAAATTTAACATATTGAACCAGCTATTCTTGAGTTTTTGTCACGTAGCTAGTTTGTTAACACTAGTTTGTTACTCATTTTTAATTTATTTAAATAGTGGTCGTGAAAAACAATAATAAATCTGGCAAGACTGCGTGTTAATTAGCGGTATCCTGGGTGATACCGTATACTCTGTTATGTCCATGATACTGCTATTGTCTATAGACGACGGTTACCATTTTCCATCAGTTGGGTAATCAGCTTGTTTGCCTTAAAAAAAAAATATCCAAAAATGGAAAACACAAGTGACAGTGAAAGGGCCATGAAGTTATTTTATTTTTAAGTTATAAATGAAGTTGAGTCTGAGATAGTTGGTTTTGTACTTTTTTACAATGGCTATAAATTTATATTATTATCCTGAAAAGTATAGTCCCTTGCAAATAGTTAACCAACTTGGCAAAATAGCATTTTAATGAAATAAATAAAAATCTATTTACAGGCACACTAAAAGTGAATCCAGCGGATGTGAGGCCACAGACGAACAGCAAGGCGCCGAAAGACCTGAAACCCTGCGCTGTAGACGCTTATCTTATTTTGCAGGTATCGTTAATAGGATCTCTGTATATTTTTAAAATTCGTACTCTGCCTAGAGAGAACCCAGTGGAAAATACCCCTTTCCCCTAAAGAATTTGCACCTCTTTATTTATTTTTATGACCTGTATATACAGTAGAACATCGATTATCTGAATCAAATAAAACCAGGTGTATTCCATATAATCCAAATCGAATCGATTTCAAAGTCGAATCAAACAATAAATAAATATTAATATTTTTTTCACTATGTAAAGGGGTTCGCATAAGTCATTAAGATAATATAATTATAATATAATACAATATAATAAAATTACAAGCTATAATGATAATGGATTACATAATACCTGTGTAATTTAAAATTTTGATTGAAAATAATTAGTTATTAATCTTTGACAAAATAAATCACATCTATACATTGCGGCCAAGTCCCAGATGCGCTTCAGTTGTGACATCTGTATGGGATCTGATTTGACCCCGTTTTGTCCGGATAATAGAGATTCTACTGTACCAGTACCTGTGATTACCCTGGACATCCAAATTCACCAACTTTACCTCTTTATAATATTACTTGTCAATATTAACATAAACATTTAATTCGTTTTTCAGGACATAATCCAATTAATAAATGGCGACGCAGCACACTGGCTGGTCGGTATCTCAGATGTGCCAAAGACTTTCGGTCTAGAATTGCTCGATACCGTATTGACTGATTTTTCACCTGTATTTTTTAAGGTGAGTTGATTTTATTACACTTACATTATAAGACTTGTAATTACAAACAAAACTGACGGGTTAATGGATAGATAAAAATCTATACATATGAGCAGCACAATGTTTCACAGAATACACGATTTTTTTTCATACAACTTAGAATGGCAAGCAAACTGACGGCTCACCTGATGGAAAGTGGTAACTGTCGTCTATAGACATGAGTAGAGTACCATGGACATAACAGAGTACACTGTTTCGCCCATGATACCCCCCATACGTTGCCATTCCTGAGGACTCAGGTGTTATTCCTCTGTACCCAGTAAATTCACGCCATATCCTACCCTTCAAACCGAAACACAGCTATGCAAACACAACTGCTTCACGGTTGAAACACGAATGGGACAGAGGTATCCAAACAATCGACTTTTGTTCAAAGTTTCCCTCTGGTAAGTCTTCATATTCTGTAATTTCACTGTCATATCGTATCATTTAAACACTGAAACATAGTCGTGTGAGCGCGGCTGCTTCACGACAGAAGCACAAACCTCAAGAAACTTTAATATACCCTTCAGAAAACCCCTTATTGTAGTATCTAGGAAAACCTCGGCAGGGAGCTCATTCCATAGCTTGAAAGTTCGTGGGAAAAAATCTCTGAAACCGCATTGTACTTGATTATTTAGGTTCAAGCGTGTGAGGATAAATTCCCTGTCGATGGCTAGCGGTGCGATGATAAAAGGTGGTTGTAGGCATAATTTCAAACAATTCCTCAGAATAGAATCCGTTATACAAGCGGTAGAACACACAAAGGGAGGCAAAGTCTAGCCTTAGACTTAAGGAACTCGGTACCGCCTGTGAATTTGGGATCGTCAACGATTCTCATAGCCCATGTTTGAATCGAGGTTAATATTATATATAATAATATATTTAAGGTTCGGGAATTTGTTTTGCATTGTTTCTCCTAAATATCATATATTTTATAATAGAGATTGCACTGGCCTTCACATCGAAGAATTCTGCAATAATTAAACAATTTGTTTCAGATATCAGAATTTAGGTTTCTATTAAAGGAACACGTGTGTGCTTTAATTATACGACTCTTCTCGCCAAATGTTAAATATAGGTAAGTGGGTATATAATTACATTACTCTTAACTCATCGTAGACAACGCTAAATCAGTTTGTTTAGAAGCTTGAATAATCCTCGTGGATATTATGATTCATATATATATATATATATATATATATATATATATATCAATATCTATATCACGTGAGAAATTTCTATGCAAAATGTCATGTTTAAAAGTTTTATAGTTCTTAAATTTTCTCAAATATAGAATCAATCAAAAAATGATGTTTTGCATTATTATATGTATGAGTATATAATCTCTTTCATATCGTTCATAAGTGATTTCAACTCCCCAAATTTTTACAGTATGAATATCAAAAGTGCATATTTTTTCATAATAATATGTGGGTAAAAATAGAAATGAATAAGTTTCTCCGGTAGGGCGGCGCTGCCCGCGCTGCATATACCTGGCGGCGGTGGTACAGGTGGCGCTGGCGGCAGTCCCGCGGCGGCCGAGCGGCCGCACTTCCCTGTTACCATGCGCCTGCTACGACTCGTCGCCGTTATCGTGCACAAGTACCATGACTTGCTGGTTAGTACATCCATAACTGTGTTTAAAGGGGGAGGAAGATAGTGTTTCGTGTTCTTTTCAGAATTGTCTGGAACCCATCTCAAGGTGCGAACGGATTTCAAAGACATGTCTGAGAGTACATATACACTTTTTTAAGGGTTCAACCCCTCCCCCCTCCCGTAAAATAATCTTAAAGACGACAATGAGGGCTCTACGCTCTACTCTGTAAAACAGTTGTTGTGGAGAATTTAGCCGTTTTAATGAATTTTTAACATCTAGTTTTTAGTTAGAAAATAGTTTAATTGTACACAGAGAAAATACTGCAAGATTCTTAAGAGTGCTGCTTCGATTTAGCTAGTTAAATGGCCATTATTTGTAAGGGCTGACATGAATAATGTGTTTTTAAAAAATTTAATTAAACTTGCTTAATTGCTTTACTGACTTTTATTTTGCAGGTTACCGAGTGCGAAATATTCCTATCGCTGACGATCAAGTTCCTGGACCCTGATAAACCGTTGTGGCAACGCGCGCTCGCACTAGAAGTACTCCACAAGATGACCATACAGCCACGTCAGTTTGCAGTCTACTATTTTTTTTTATACAACTTAGAATGGCAAACAAGCTGACGGCCCTCCTGATGGAAAGTGGTAACCGTCGCCTATAGACATGAGCAGTACCATGGACATAACAAAGTATACTGTTTCGCCCATGATACCCCCGCCCTGCGTTGCCATTCCTGAGGGCTCAGATGTTATTCCTCTGTACCCAGTAAATTCACGCCATATCCCACCCTTCAAACCGAAACAGCCATGCAAACACAACTGCTTCACGGTAGAAACACGAATGGGACAGAGGTACTCAAGCAAACGACTTTTGTACAAAGTCTCCCTCTGGTCAATATAGGTCTGATACTGTCAATTTAACTTTTTTCTACAATAACTTCATTAGAAATTGAAATTGTTATCTCTATAATTACAAGAGCAGCGTCACTCATGTGTTGCCTTGCCTGGGAACCAGGAAATTACATATTTATTACTATGTTTATTGCCTAATATAGAATACCTTCCTTACTCTGAATCAATTTTCTTTTTAAATCGAAAAGGTCTACTATCGTGTCGGTCTGATAATGTTATGGTAATGATTTAATCTTAAGTCTTTATAAATAATAATGAAATATATTTAATGTTATATAAATGTAAATTTATGAAAAATATATTTGTTATAATATGTATTATAAAAAGGTAAAAATTTGATTGTTTATCTGTGTATAATTGTGTATAAATGGATAACCTCAAAAACTACTCAACCAATTTTAAAAATTCTTTCGCTTATAGAAAGCTACATTTGCAGCAAATAACATAGGCTGTATATTATTTTCGTAAATTTTATCTACCTGAACGAAATCGGGCCGGATCTCTTGTAAATAATAAATAAGTAATCTGATAATAGTTTTAGATTAATTATTCCCATTGTTTAATTATCCACCCTACTATATGTCGGTATGTACTATACATATTCTAACAGTCGTTGATATATATGAACTATAAAATTGCCTGGGAGAGAGATCTCTTTCAAAGATAAGCCCACCTGTAGGCGACGCACTACGATTTAGTTTATTTTATTTGTACCTTTTTACTTGTATACCTATATAAATGTACCCACTTATTTAATACAGTCTATTATAAATAAAAATTATACTGAGGGTACGCACTATACTTATAAATGTCGAAGTACCTTTTCCTTGGTTTAGTGCGTGCTCTGTCAGTGCATAGGCAGCATCTAAAAATCGGTTTTTTTTTTTTATTTCGCATCCTTTATACCCATCCTTACTAACAAAATGTTAAACTAATAGCTGTATCTTTTTTTGTTTAAATGCACTAAAAAATATATATATTGTTACCAGAACTCTTGAAGGCGTTCTGCGAGTGCTACGACATGAAACCGCACGCGACGAATATCTTCCAAGACATAGTGAACGCGCTAGGCGCTTACGTTCAAAGTCTATTTGTTGCCTCGCAGGTCAACACGCCCGCTGGTGAGTGGTCTTATTGCATGACACATGTATTACCTTATGTTAAAGTTATGATGAACAGTGGCCTTAAATTTAAATCTCGAGATATACTTGAACAAATTGTCTTAGGTAAAATATTAAATGTAATTGTTTAAAACGTTAAATGTAATCGTTTTTAATAAAAAGAATCTTACGAAATAGTGGCCCCAATATTGATCCTTGAGGTACACCTAACTGAATTATCTTTGACATTGTTTATTTTTTCACTAAGATTAAAAAAAACCTTAAACTATTATCTCTGTATGTGTACCCTTAACTGATATTATAAATACGAAAGTGAGTTAGTTTGTTTTACTCTTACGTCTGAAACGCTGAATCTGTTATGATGAATTTTGGTGTAGATATAGATGGGACCCTTGAGATGGTAATAAGCTACTTTTTCTCCTGGACAGTGAACATATCTTGGTCACACGGACGAAGTCGCGGTTAAAAGCTTATGTAATATATAACATCTAGAATACGCCTTACTGAACACGGTTCTCAAATGGTTTTCATGGATTCAAATGCTTCCTACTCCACTCCGTCCCAACATTTGGCCGGCAGGGTCAACGACCTCTGCTAGTTTCCTGTACTGAGTTTATATAAAAAAAAAATATGCTTTATTTATTGTGAAAAATCTTAATGCCCAAATATTCTACTTGTAGTCAATTCAGAGGACACTAAAAATGTACTTTTTTTAGTTTATAGAGTCATTAATAAATATAACTGGACATATTACACGTCTTCTAGTTCCAAAGTAAGCAAAGCTTGTACTATGGGTACTAGGCGACACTTTTTTTTAAAATACATACGTGACATATTTAGAAAACGCCCGTATTAATACAAACAGTTATAATCATAAAACAATTTGTATTGACCTGGGATCGTACCGTCGACCATCGAAAGGTAAGGTGAGACCAACAAAGACATTATCGTTTATGTTTTTTTTTTACTTTTTTTTTTATTTATTATATATTAAGATATATTAAGGTTTCTTCAGTATCGGTAACACGCACGTGACACCCCTTGTATTGCAGGTGTCCATAGGCTACAATATCGGTTTACCATCAGACGGGGGCTGTATACTTGTTTGCCATCTACGTTGTATAAAAAAATATATCTCGTGTCTAATAATGTCATCATTTAAACACTCAAATAGGTGTCATCAATATTATCAATATCTGGTGGGATGAGTTCCCTGCGAGCTATAGTATCTTCATCCTCAGACATTACTGTTGGATTGTATATTGGCTCATCTCCACTGTCGTTGTCATCAGGATCCTCATTATCTTCGTTGTAAGGCTCTCCCTTAAAAATTTCTCGAAGCTCTGTACCTTCTCTTCTACCAACTGGAGCTGCAAACAGATTTTATTATTCAGAATATTTAAAATAATAATTAAATATTGGTTTTCACAAAAAAAACCGACTTCAGTTGTGATAAAACCAGTTATTATGATCTAAAAACTAGACTGCTGAACCGATTTTGATATCTTCTTCTTCTTGTTCATTATGAGATCCTTTCAGATAATAAAAAAAAATCCAAGTCGATGTAGAACTAATAGAATTACGAAGTAATGAACATAAAAAAGAAACTACAACCGAATTGAGAACGTCCTTTTTTTTCAAAGTTGGTTGATAATCGTGTAAATTAAATTAAATAAAGGTAATCAACCATTAATTAAATTAATTATTTAATTAGAATTAATGGTTAATTTTTAATTAATTAATTGGTTGGTTTAATGTAATTGTTGGTTTAATTTGTAATCGTGTAAATTTATCAACCAATTTTAAAGAAGAAGGTGGTTTTCAATTTATCTGTATATTTTTATTACGTTATAATAATTATAACAATAGGCGTATTTGATCACCGGGGGGGGGGGGGGGGGGGGAGCTGATCGGCCCCCGGCATTAATACATCATGCTCATAACTTGGATTTTTTTTTCTGATATAATAATGTACTACAGATTCCCATAGAAATTTTATGGAAGTCGGTTCAGTAGTTTAGTTTCTAATAATTTTTTTTTGTTACATTTGAAGTCGGGATTTTTTTGTGGGACAAAATCTTATTAATTTCATTTTTTCTTAAATGAACATTAAACGAAATAATTCTGTCGATAGTTTCATAAGTTCTTTATCTAGTGGAGTAGTTGTATTATCTATCTAAATGGGCCCCGAAAAAAGTTTATTAAAATTTGTTCCGTAATTCCGTTTTTTAAATCAAAATAACTAGTTTTTCCAATTTGAAACCGTCATTTTTTATATGAAACAAAATCTTAAAGTAGATTATTTATTATTCGTACTAACTTCGCAAAAAGCTCTGGTCACTGTAGTTACGCTCAGTATCCATCGCCAGTATATGGGAGTACATATCGATGAGCGAGCGACATCTGTTGATGCAGTGGCGGTAACTCTTGAAACGGTTTGTACGCAATGCGTCTGGACAACCTAATCTCTCACTGTAAATAAACATTAAACAGATGTATCTGATGTTTAGATTACATAGATAGAGAACGACTATCAAAGTTGTGTCAAAATTTAAATAGCTAATTTGACGTTTGTCTGACAAGTTTTTTTTTTAAATCCAAACACAGTGAGCTTATTTTTTCAGTGTTGCAAGGAATTGGATTAAAGAATTTTCCACATCAGGTCAATTTTTTAAATTTGAATTTGGAACTATTTAAATACACATACGTATATATTAGGCAGTTTAATCACAAGTGATTCCAGACTATGTACTCCGGATGTAGTCATGAGAATAGCCATGGCCAAACAAGCCTTCAATAACAAAAAACACCTTTTACAGGCTAAGATAACAAAAGATATTAGAAAGTGGCTTATCAAAACCTATATCTGGAGTATAGCTCTGTATGGATGTGAGACGTGGACATTAACTCAGAAGGAAATTGATAAACTTAGAGCCTTTGAAATGTGGTGCTGGAGAGGGATGGAGAAAATTAGCTGGAGGGATCGAATTAGCAATGAAAAGGTCCTGCTTAGGGTTAAGGAAAAAAGACAAATTATTAGAACTATTGAGGACAGAAGGGGAAAAATGTTAGGACACTTGATACGACACGACGAACTTATGAACATTGTAATAGAAGGTAAGACAGAAGAAAGAAGGGGAGAGGGAGACCGAGACATAGTTACATCAGGCAGATCAAGGAAGGAGTTGGTGTCGTGTCGTATCAAGAGGTGAAGAGACTCGCTGAAAATCGTAGTGAGTGACAAAAGCTCCACCGACAAGAGCGCAGCTCTTAAATGGATAGATAGATAGACGTATATATTGCTTATGAATTAATATAATATACATGTATTAGTTAAAATGACAGCTATTTTCAATGATTTAAAACCAAAAACATATTCGGATTAAAAATATATTAGTAGAAATTAGGTAGTAGGTAGGTAGGTTTATTTAAAAAATAAACAGTGTAATTATAATGATGATGGTAAGTGTAAATTTTGTATGAAAATGTGTACCTATTTATTTATTTTATTTATTCTTTATTGCACAATAAAACTTTGTACAAGTGGCGAGCTTCATGCCATATGGCATTCTCTACCAGCTAATCTTTGGGTAAAAACAGAAAGTGTATATAAAGTGTATCTAAGTTGGTTTTCTATGTTATCGCAAAAAACGCACGTGCAGTTCTGTATATGGAACTCGTAGGTCCATACGGCCGCCACGTGGCCGATGCACGCGCCGGGCGTGAACCGGCGCGTGCAGCGCGTCTGGTAGCGCTGCAGCCGCTGCTCGGTGTGCACTGCAATCAAATAATCGCAACTGAATACACAATCTTCAGCATCAACAGAAATACCTTTGTATAATATTAACAGAATTATTAAGTATTTTTTGTAGTTTCTTTTCTACATATACAAACTTTCCGAAATTACAGTAGGAACTTGATAAGAAAGGAATAGTTGTGTTTCTTCTCCGTTCTTCTCAGTTGAAATTGCATTCGGAACCGGGCGGTAGATTTAAAAAAAATACCTTTCAAAAGTGCTAGCAGTTCCTTCAAAAAAAGATTAAAATTGTTAATTAAATTATTAATTAAAATTATGCAAAGCCTGGCAATTACTGGTGAAACACCCCTTTATGGGGGAGGCGTATGTTCAGCAGTGGATAGTTAACAGCCAACATGATGATGATGAGTATAAAAATTTGGCCATACCGTGTAATGAATTATGTGCCACCGTTAAAAACGCCATTACATTAAATATTACCACATTTAACATTGCTACATCTTAACACTATTTGACTAATAATGAAATTATTAATAAGACATCTTAATCTGAGCCCTATAGATTATTGTTTTTGTCTCAAAAGAGGTTTTGATTCTAATCTTAATTGAAACAGTTGTGTTCGATATATCTCTATATGTATGTATTAATTGTGATGTATCTTGTACCTTTGCATGTAATTTTGCATGCTTTAGAATATAAGGCGAACATTTGTACTTCACCTAATAGATGAATATCTGTAAAAAACAATGTTCTCGCAAATAAACAAATCTAATCTAATCTCTTACAATTTTTATGTAATTTAATTATAAGAGTGCAAGAATATATACACTGGTCAAAATCATAACTCTTTTTTTTTTTACTTCACTCTCGGGTAATAAAAGATTGCCATTTTTTACCTATTTTTATATATATATACATACATTTCGGTGTAGATAGGCAGAAACAATGGAATGCCAAATGCTTATATTTAACAACTATTTATATATAATTAGATATTAATGTGTGTATTAATTCTTTTTTTTTTTTTATTATTTATTTAACAACAACTCAAAATATAAACATTTAAAAGAAACTGGCTGGAAATGACCGAATGCCGTATCGTATTGGATTTCTTTGAAGGAAATATGAAAAACCTTTCACCAGCAGGGAATAGGCTAATGTAAATTTAGATTAAATTATAATATTTTGTTATATATATAATATATAATATAATATAATATCTTTTAGTCACGACGTCATCTGTGTGACCGAGATATGTTCACTGACCGGGAGTAAAGTAGCCTATAACCGTCTCCAGAGTCCCATATAACTCTACCAAAATTCATCATAATCGATTCAGCGGTTTAGACGTGAAAGCGTAACTAATAAACAAACTCACTTTCGCACTTATTAGTTCAAAATGTTCTTTTTATTTGTTGTATCTTGGAAATAAATAAAATTTTATTCAATAAAGAATTACTCGTATTTTATTGCAGGGGCATCAGGTATACCCCAGCAGCCAGGCTTCTACTGGAAAGGCGTGTGGTTACCGCTCTGCGTGACCTTCGAGCCTGGCACCGCTAAATCCGTGTAGTGAGTATTAAGTTTGGATGGCACTAGTATATACTATAGTATATATATATATATATATATATATATATATATATATATATATATATATATATATATATATATATATATGTACAAAAGTCGTTTGCTTAGGCATCTCTGTCCCATTCGTGTTTCTACCGTGAAGCAGTTGTGTTTGCATGGCTGTGTTTCTGTTTGAAGGGTGGGATATGGCAGTGAATGGTACAGAGGAATAACATCTGAGTCCTCAGGAATGGCAGCGCTTGGAGGTATTATGGGCGAAACAGAATACTCTGTTATGTCCATGATATTGCTCATGTCATATATAGATCTGTCAGTATTCTACGACTATGACGATATTATAGTTCCAACAAGTTTTGCCAAAATTTGCATGCAAATCTTTTGTTTGGCGAACTGTAGCTTCACAGTAAGAAATATTGCAATTCATATAATGTCAATAATAGTATAAATGTCAAAAACTTAAGTACTACTTGTAAATGTCAAATAATTTAAATGACATTCAAACAGAGAATGATGTCAAAACGAACAATAATTAAATTTTAATATTTCTCTATTATGTAAAGGGTTTACGCACATAACATTCGTCATTTTAACAATACATACACTGTACCTCTACCAGTATATATTGGTAATGCGTGTCGTTTGAAATAAACTAAGTTATCCCTTCTCAGCATCGAAATGCTGGACCGCAACGAGGCGCCGACTATTCAGGACGGATACGGCATATCAGTTGCTTACGCGTGCCTCATGGAAATCATCAGGTCCATCGCCATCACCGTCGAGGGGGATGATTATTTCAGGTTAGTATTTACCGGGTTATTTTAATGGGTGATAATGGTATGGTAACCTCAACTGCGCTATCGGTATACACCGGCGGGGCACCAGTGAAGGATGATAGGTAAGGATGAAGCAGGTCAGTTAGCCCATCGTGACGAATTCAACAAGAATTGTTCACGATGGTTTCCAGGGGGAACCACGCAGAGGTCGACCTAATAAGGCATATTGCTAGCAATGGGGCTGTCAAACTCCATTGCTAACAATACCTTTCCCCTCGAAATTTGATATTTGGGGGGGGGGGGGGGCAATTAAAAATGAACTTGAAGTAATTTTAACCCTCTTGCTCCAGGCCATTTAAATACAATGCTACAAGTAGATATCGGTCCCTTTAACAAGAAAAGTAAATTAAAAAAATGCTGTAAATATTAGGTATAATTTCGTTTGACGTTACTAACATATCAACTGGGCGATAAGAGTCGTCAAGTAAACTTTGCCAGGAAAAATTATGTATGGGGGCATAAAAATTTTTGAAGTGTTCAATTGGGGCATGGCACAAAAAAAAGGTTGGGAAACACTGTTTTAAGTAGTCCTATCATTTCACAGGTTACAAGAACTGTACGACGACAGTCAAAACGATGATGAGAAAGAAATTAATTCAAATAAGAACGGTAATCATCAGAAAGGTTGGTGAAACTCTTCTATTCTATGTTGTGTATCACGGGGGCTTATGTCTGTGAATAGATTCCTAGAATAAATTCATATTTATTTATTTATTTAACAGATTACAAACAAAACTTTTAACAATAGAATACAACAATAGCATTATAAGTTTGCAGTCCAATTATAGTTGTACTCAACATTCACAGAGATGAAGCCTAAAAAAAGGGTAATTTTTACTACAAAAAGAAATAATGATAAAAACTAGATACAAAACAAGAATCAAAAACAAAACTACCAAACTATGCTTATAAACTATTAGGTTATCAATGTATGTAAAGTGCTTCGTGTTCGAAATTAACCTTTTTATATATTTTGACAATTGTAGTTTTTTTGAAAATTGTATAGAAAATTGATAAAACAATTAAAATAGAATAATAAATATACAATACAATACTTCAAGTCAACAGACGGCATTTTTACTTACAAATAATGTCTTATATATAAAATTCTCGTGTCACGGTGTTTGTTACCAAACTCCTCCGAAACGGCTTTACCGATTTTTATGAAATTTTGTGTGCATATTGGGTAGGTCTGAGAATCGGCCAACATCTATTTTTCATACCCGCCAATGATAAGGGTGACCCACCCCAAAAAAAATTTTTTTTTTTGGACAAATTTTTTAATTTTTATTTTATTATGATTTAGCATTGAAAAATACATACAACTTTAAATTTTCATCGTTTTACGATCAACCCCTGTATTTTAATTGCGATTTTTATATTTCGCAATAAGTGGTAAAACAACGTGCACGGGGTCAGCTAGTAATTAATAAATAATATATAAATAAGAACAAGCATATTTTACAAATACTTCGACACGATGAAAATTTCTTATAGAATATGTCAATATCCGATTTACAATCAATGTCATTGTACAATTTGCACATTCTGTACATTGGATTATTATATGACACATTATTGTTTGCGAACGGTATTGAAAAAAGCTTATAACTATACTCATAATTTTATATTATATAAATTACTAATATTTATATTAAGTTTAGATATAACCTTAACACATTTTATAACTATAAAAGATTTTTTTTTTGTAATGGTATATCCATTACATAATATAAACACAACCCACTTTTCTTAACCGACTTTAAATATCCTTTAGAATCTGTAGTAAGCTACATTGTCAGCGAGTATCATAGGTTAAGCAAAGCAGTGTAGAACGACTCCCCTCCACCCTCCCCCTCTATGGAGTAACGATCTCAAATACAAGGAGTCTATGGTTACAAGTGGCTCAGAACCGTTTCTTATGGCGGCCTATGGGGGAGGATTTTTAGCAGTAATAGCTAATGGTAGTATTGGCATAGATAACGGCTGATCTTTCTATACTTATAATAAATCTATAGAGAGGTCAATTCTGTACATGAAATATATTTCCAAAATAACTATCAGGGGGGTGATTAGTGATCGATACTGATGCCAAAAATGCAATCAGTAAAATTATTGTCTATCTGTCTATATGTTCGTTATAGAAACAAAAACTGCTCGACGGATTTTAACGAAACTTGGTACAATTATTTTTCATACTCCTGGACAGGTTATAGTATACTTTTCATCACGCTACGATCAATAGGAGCAGAGCAGTGAAGGGAAATGTTAAAAATGTCCACCTGAGCGACGCCGGGACGGGCCGCTAGTATGATAATATAAGACTGTGTTTTAGTTAAAAAAAAATAACCGTTCGAAGCCAAGGCTGGTTGTTAGTTCAACAATGTAAACATATTTGTAGAAGCAGACACAAAAACGGAACAGAAGGAAATAATGAACAACGGTCACGACGGCGAGTCGGATCAGAACTCGAACGTTGTTGGCAAGACTGATGAGAACGAGGACAAGGAGGACCAGCTCAGGCTGCAGGTGGGGCGTTAAGGAAATATTAATTATAAGTTGGCAATACGTAATGCACGTGGTATTGCAGGCGTTCATAGACTACGGTAACCGCTTACCATCAGGTGGGCCGTATGCTTGTTTGCCACCTCAGTGGTATAAAAAAAATATTTACAAATTATGTATAGCTAAAAATCTCGAATACCTATACCATATAGCTCCAGCATAAAAAAGAGTACAGAGCCATAACACTGTACTCCTTAGTTTTCTCTCGCTCTCTCTCTCTCTCTTCCTCTATCTCTTTCCCTCTCCCTCTCTTCCACCATCTCTTTACCCCTCTCTTTTCTCCACTCTCTCTCACTGTTCCTCTCTCTCTCTCTCTCTCTCACTATTCTCCTCTCTCTGTCTCTTACTATGTTACTTCTTGTACTTATGTTTAACAGTGCACAGTAAATTGCAGTGATGATGACAATACTACTGTCTACGTAATGATAGCGGAATTAAACAAAATCATTCTAATTGACTAACTAGTGACATGGACTTTCGCCAAATAAAATCTAGTTCAGTAAAGAATACATTATTTGTTTGCAGTTATTGAAGTCCTCCTGGTGCGGCCTGGTGTGGGGCATGTCTGTGCTGGCGGAAGCCAGTATAGGCGAGCTAGAGAACATACTTCGCGCCATACAGACCCTCGCCAGGGTCAGCGGGAAGGTAAGGAAATTATAATAAAAAGAAAAACAAATGATTGGTACCCATATAAATAATAATCTCATTCATAATCTCAAAGTAAATAATAATTTATTAGTTATCCACATAACTATTCTAGAAAGGTAATTAGAAATAATTTTGTATGTTTTTGTAGTAAACAACCTTGAGGATTTATACGATATAAGATGCAAAAAAACCCGCTTGTGTTCAGAGCACGGTAATCCGCTATATAAATTTGAAGTCTTAAAAAATTGCCATAGATCGTCTGTAGTAACAGAATTCTTTTTTTACTGGTTTATTTTTTTTTCGAAACACGTTTGCCACACAATTTCGAGTTCTGAATTCAAATATTAAAATTTATGTATCATTTCGACGGGCGTCAGTGTTCCAAATTTAAAAATTAAATTTTTTATTTTAAACAATGAGTGTTCTGAATACAAATATTTAAATCTAGTGAATCATTTTGTTGTCTATCGTTTCACTGTATTCGTTTTAAAATCAGCTTCGTGTGGTAAATGAATCTATCGATAGAATCGTTGTCGCTAGCAGATCAATGAGACGTCATGAGATGGCGATGTTCAATCAGTTCAATTATGAACGAAACGATTCAATTCATATACACGTTTGACACTCATCTGAAAGGGAAGAATAGTGAAATCCTATATTGAGAGGATAGAGGAGGAGAGGATATAAGGAGAGGTTAGAGTATTCTGTACGAAGTGTTGTGCAGGTGCGCGTGTGCGCGGCGCGCGACGCGTGCGTGGGCGCGCTGTGCCGCTGCGCGCTGCCGGCGCAGTACTGCGTGCCGGCGCTGGGCGCGCTGGCCGCGCTGGCCGGGCCCTGGCGCCGCGACCCCGCGCCGCCCGACGCCGACTACCGCCACCAGGTCGTCTGGGTCGGCACGCCGCTGCCCTCCGCCGCGCTGCCCACAGGTGCTTCGTGCTTGTCAATCTACCAGACGGAAACTTTGTACAAAAGTCGATTGCTTGGCTACCTCTGTCCCATTCTTGTTTCTACCGTGAAGCAGTTGTGTTTGCATGGCTGTGTTTCGGTTTGAAGGGTGGGATATGGCGTGAATTTACAGGGTACAGAGGAATAACATCTGAGTCCTCAGGAATGACAACGCATGGGGGGTATCATGGGCGAAACAGTATACTGTGTTATGTTCATGGTACTGCTCATGTCTATAGGCGACGGTTACCACTTTCCATCAGATGGGCCGTCAGCTTGTTTACCATTCTAAGTTGTATAAAAAAAAAAAAGTATACCAATAACGCAGGCGGGATTACTATCCCATCTTTACCCATTAAAAAAAGCTATGTCCACCAGTCTATCACCCCGCCGTCACTGTACTGCGCTGCACCTACTCTCTATTGCCATAGTTCTATGCCAACTCCTCCACGCTACTCGGCAGGTCAGCAGCAGTCGTTCGTGATGGTGACGTCGCGGCACGTGACGGCGATGAAGGCGCTGCTGTGCGCGGCGCAGCGCGACGGCGACACAATCCAGCAGGCCTGGCTGCCTGTCCTCACCACGCTGCAGCATTTGGTAAGCACTCACTTATACTGCACTTCCAACTGAGCCTGCTCCTAAAAACACGATTTAATACTTGCTAACGATGTACACTGTCAGGTCTAACGGACCTCCCATTCCGTTCCCGTGCGTGTCGTGGGCAACGACTTAAGTATGATAGAGAGATGGGCAGCATCATCCCTTTTAAAACATCACCAAAATCTAATCTAACAGTTTCCAACCCGCCTAATAAGCGTGGCAAATACTGACACCCTTCCCCTCCCTCCTTATAAGGAGAGCTATATTCAACAATAGATAGTTTACGGCTGATACGATAACAATAGTTACTAACTCCCTCAGTTAGAGGATTTTTTTTTGATGGGTGAAAATGGTATGGTAAACCCGCTTGCGCTAACGGGATACACTGGCGGAGCACCAGTGAAGAGAATGAAAACAGGCCAGTTAGCCCATCACGATGAATTCATCAGGAATTAACCATGATAATTTCCAGGGAGAACCGCGAGGATGTCGACCTGGTTGAATATATTGCTAGCAATGGGATTCTCAGTCTCCATTACTAACAATCCCTTTTTCCCCCTTAGTTAGAGGATTACACTGGGATGTAATATTTAGTGAAATAAATGTACAAACTGTAATTATTTTAAAATAATTTATCTCTTTAGGTTTGGATCTTGGGCCTGAAGCCATCCACGGGTGGAAGTATGAAGGCGAGCCGCGCGAGCGCCGACGCTAACGCTGTTATGAGCACTTCCGCTGTCATGGCTGATTTACCCGGTACGTACTTTATTTGTATACGTGCAACTCTATTCATACAAACCAATTTGTCACGCCAATGCTTTATACTTGAGGGGGGGGGGGATATTGTTAATAATAGAGACTCTCAACCTCATTGGTAACAATGTACCATGTCAGATCCAACTCCACACTGTCTCATATCTTACCACAACCATCGCTTTCAGTGCCAAATGGAATTCATCACGATGGGCTAATTCGTTAGCTATTTGTTTATGAGTTCTTTTATTCCCTCTTTATCGTTCCGTCCCTCTCTAACCGATATATTAGACCATTTTAATTAATTATTTTACATATTACATTTAATCAAATCAACAACAAATCTATACATACTCTCTTTTCTTTATAAAATTCTGCATAATCCCATTGCACCAACATATCTTCGTGAGCGGTTTAACTTTCTGTATTCGGCAGAAAGCAATACTAGGACTCTTAATCGTTCTTTATTGCGAACTCCGATTCATTCTGGTCAAGCGTATTCAGACTCTTTTGTTGTGGCTGCAATTAGATTACGGAACACACTTTCTCATGAAATTAGAAATAGCCCAAGCATTGGGATTTACGAATCGCGTCTGAAGATTTATTACCTCTCACAATGCTGATGTACGTACTTATTATATTTGTGTATTATATATAATATATATCTATCTATTTATATATATATATTACTTATATATATTTTTATTTATTTATTTTTAACTATAACATTTAAGTCGATTGGTACACATGTATGACTGTAACTACTAATGAACTGTCAGTTTTCTCATATTGGGTTTGCTGGAAGAAATCTCTATTGGAGATAAGCTCGCCTTTGTGCACTATTATATTTGTTTTTCCATTTCAATAACTTTTTGTGTACAATAAAGAATAAATTAGCATGTTAATATAGAAGGCTCAATATTTTTTGTCGTACTTCGACATATTTTTTAATAGTTTCTATTAAGCCAGTATCCTTGCTGTAACATAGAAATAAAAAAATATTGTCTTGTCAAATGCGGCATAAAAATATAGGGAAAATTATAGCGGAAATTCGGCAGTTTTAATTTTATATCAACTTTGGGTAATACAGTTTCATTGGTAGAACATTCTCTTAGATAGATACCAATACAAAATGTTTGGGTGTGTGTTTTTTTTTTATTATTAATAATAAAAAATGCGCGCCTTTATACATTTAAATTAGAACACCGCCAAATATTTTATGATTTTCGAATGCGAGGTTCGAAATTTAAAGTGGTTTCAAATAAATGTAATAAGAATATGGTGCACCTTCCAGCGCTTTCAGCGATGCTGTCGCGTGTGTTCGAGTCATCCAAGAATTTGGACGACGTAGCGCTGCATCACCTTATCGACGCGCTGTGCAAGCTGTCCAATGAAGCGATGGAGCTAGCTTACTCTAATAGGGTAATTTTTTAATCTTATTATTAGAGATTTATAGTAATCTCACAGACCTTTTTTTATAGGATGAAAATTAAATGGATTGTAATATTATTTCAGGAGCCATCTCTGTTTGCTGTAGCGAAACTACTTGAAACTGGCTTAGCCAATATGCACAGGATAGAAGTTATTTGGAGGCCTATCACCAATCATCTTCTAGAAGTAAGCATTCATCACATTGCTCGCTAAATCATTGGTGGTCAGTGAGTAAAATCTCTAAATAAATATATTTGTTTATTCTTTAACATAATATTATTTTAAATTTTAAAGGTGTGCCAACATCCTCACATAAGAATGAGGGAGTGGGGTGTGGAAGCCATTACGTACTTAGTTCAAGCAGCATTCCAATACCATCACAACAACCCAGAACTGGTTACAGAAGTAAGTAGATTTCAATTTTATTTCAACCAGCAATTAACAAAATAATAAATTTGAGACCAATTCGTCTACATTTGCTTTGTCGGGATATTAATTTTGTTATAACAATTTAATCTAATTGATATGCCTACTGTTAGATCTGGCTCGAAGGACCAATAATCAATATAACTAAATATGTCTTATATTTAACTTTGAGATTGTACTAAAGATTGATTCAATTAAAATGCAATATGAGGCTTTCAGGTTCATTATTATTAATTTAGTAAAACTTATATTTAGTAAATCTTAAATTCTCTCGTTATAATTTTGATAATAAAAAGCGCCATCTAGAACCGAACAGTCTAAACTAATGAATACATGTACCAGAGAGAGACTTTGTACAAAAGTCGTTTGCTTGGGCACCTCTGTTCCATTCTTGTTTCTACCGTGAAGCAGCTATTTTTGCATGGTTGTGTTTCGGTTTCAATGGTGGGATATGGCAGTGAATTTACAGGGTACAGAGGAATAACACCTGAGTCCTCAGGAATGGCAACGCATGGGGGGTATCATAGGCGAAACAGTATACTCTGTTATGTCCATGGTACTGCTCATGTTTATAGGCGACGGTTACCAGTTCTTATTAGGTGGGCCGTCAGCTTGTTTGCCATTCTAAATTGATTAAAAAAATAAATTTTTACTCTATACATAAATCTATTCTTCGGTATTTTACAATAGCGTACACTCCATTAATCTATTTATGTATATATTACTGTAAAACCAAGTGCCATAGGCTTTTAATATATCGACGTCTCAAATCGTTTAGTTTAACAACTTGTTGGTAGGGTTTGACTTATCGTTAAAAGAGATCTCTTCCAGCAAACGATTGGTATGTACTCGCAATATGTAATGTGGTGTGGTTCCCGCAGGCGCGGCAACGCCTCCTGCTGGAGCCGCTGTCGGAGCTGTGCGCGGTGCGGCACTGCGACGTCCGCGCGCGGCAGCTGGAGTGCGCGGCGCGGCTGCTGCACTCGCTCGGCGACCAGCTCGGCGCCGCCTGGCCGCTCATGATGGAGATCATCTCGGCCATCTCGTCGCACCACAGGTGACCTACTGCCTATATGCCCAGCCAGACCTTAAGTCCACCTTTTGTACCAAATATTTTTTTGTAATGTGGTAAATAAAGATTAAATGAATAAATAAGACCTGCTTTATTCATAGTTAACTATTATCTACTATCATCATATCAGCTTTTAACTGTCCATTGTTGAACATAAACCTCCCCCTAAAGGAGTCTTACCAGTAGCTGCCGTGCTTTGCAGGCGGAATGGCAACTGCAGTTAGGCTTTGGAGATGTTTGTAGAGGGACACTGCTGCCCATCCCTCGCTCTCCCTTAGTCGCCTCTTACGACGACTATAGAAAGGAAGGGGTGCCATATTCTATGCTGGAATCACACGGGAAAACATAACTATTAATGCCCATCAAAAATGTCATTGCCGTACACATCAGAAATAACAAGATAGTGGATATACCTGTCTTGTTCTATCTAATGCGCGTAATGAAATAGTACATTACTGCAGCGGCCAACAAATGAGGCATTGATGGACGAACGCACGAATGTGGGCCGAGGCGAAGCCGAGGCACACATACGTGAGTCCATCAATGTCTAGTTATGGCCAAAGCTTGTATAGTACTTTTCTCAAACAATGCATGGAAATCAAAAACACAATTTTATTTTTTAAGTTCAATGACGAATAATGAACAATAATAATTTTTCACGCGCCATAATGTCCTTTGTTTTTTTTTCCAATATACAGCTTTCTATTTGCAAGCCAGTTCGAAATTTAAATAAAACTTTTTATTAGTTACCTCCTTGGTAGCCATGTTTCGAAGTAAAAGGTCATTCCATTTTTAAATTACAGGACAGATATGAGTTTACATAGTAATTTATCTGGCCGCAAAACACGACAGATATGGATTTTCATACAACATTTGCCGGCCGCTACCCGCATGTATCTGACCAGTACGGCAATTTTGATTTATCTCGAAGAAGATGTCAAAATAATGCTCACATTTCCAAGCATGTTTGAGAAAATAATTTATCTATCTGTATATTGGTTTACCAGTTGTCTAAAGAAGGGAGGGGGGAGGGGATGGAGAAATATGAATGCACTGCAACTATATCGAGTGTCTTGTAATTGTAATTTTTGGAAATGTATTTGTTTTATGTACGTACATTGATGCCGGGTCATACATGGACCGGGCTAATCCCTTCCTTTCCCTTGGATGTCGTAAGAGGCGACTAAGGGAGGGCGAGGGATAGACAGCAGTATCTCTCTTAAAACATCTCTAAAAGCTTAATTTCGGTTGCCAACCCGCCTGCCAAACGTAGCAACTACTGGTAAACTCCCCTTATGGGGAAAGCTTATGTTCAGCAGTGGACTGAAGTAATAATAATAATATTATTGGTTGCAGCGAACAGCTGATCAGGTCTGCGTTCCAGTGCGCCCAGGTAGTCGCGGGAGATTTGCTCGGCTGTGCTGGTCCGCGCTGTCTACGCAAGGTCCTGACCACAGCTGCAGCCTTCGCTCACCAGACCAAGGAACTCAACATTAGCTTGACTGCCGTAGGACTAATGGTGGGAATGCTTCTCTTAAGTAATAAAACTAAATAAAAATATATAAATTATGTGATGTACAATTGTTTCAGAAACAAGTTTTTAGGAATGTCTTATGATAACTTTTACACTTCATTATCGAACAATGAGGTGAATACAAACTGAGTAGATAAAGTTTTTTTTATTTTTAAATATATAAATAGTATTTACCGTGTGGTCCCGATATAGAATGGGCCACCCCTTCCATTCTCACGGGTGTCGTAAGAGGCGACTAAGGGAGGGTGAGGGATGGGCAGCAGCGTCCCTCTTAAAGCATCTCCAAAGCCTAACTACGGTTGCCTAATGGCAACCTCCCCCCCTTCTCTCTCGCCCTCTTATGGGGAGGCCAATGTTTAACAATATACAGTTAACAGCTGATATGAGTGAATGAATGATTAACCCAAAAACTACTCAATCAATTTCGAAAATTCTTTCACATATATAAAGCTATATAATATAGATTCATAACATACTATTTTTGAAAATTTTATCTACTCGTGTGAATCCGGGACGTATTGTTAGTATTGATTGTAGCAGCACAGTTACAATACGTCTTGACTCTAAAATATTCAATTTTGACAAAATTGACAAGTAAACGTTTGGGAGATGCCAAAGTCGCTAGACTAGTAATTGTTGCCTACATTTTGGTACTATTGTAAATTAATGTCGTTGAACAGTGGAACATATCCGACTACCTGTACCACAACCGCGACAAGCTGGTAGCGGCATTGGCAAGCGAGGCGGCGGTGTGTCCCGAGCTGCCGCACAACGCCGACTTGGCGCCACTCGACCGGCTCTGGATGTGCCTCTACATCCGTCTCAGTGAGTCACTCACACATTTGCACTCACACTCACACTCATATTGTACTACTATAAGAGTTTATGTATCACACCTCTTAACGCCATTTAACCGACTTTTGATGTGTCTTTACATCTGTTTTATTGACCACACGCTTGCACGCACACTCGCGTTATACTACTTACACTAGTTATCATATATTAGCTGCTTTCTGCTCCTTGACGGTCTCTAGATGTATTTCTACATCTGCCTCAGTGAATTATCCACACACTCACATTATATTTACACTATTATATAGTTTTTTCTTAAACATGCTTGGAAATATAAACATTATTTTGACAATCTTCTTCGAGATAAATCAAAATTGCCGTACTGGCCAGATACATGCGGGTAGCGGCCGGCAAAAGTTCTATAAAAATCTATATCTGTCGTTTTGCGGCTAGATAAATTACTATGTAAACTCATATCTGTCCTGTAATTTAAAAATGTAATGACCTTTTACTTCGAAACATGGCTACCAAGGAGGTAACTAATACAAGGTTTTATTTAAATTTCGAATTGTCTTGCAAATAGAAAGCTGTTTATTAAAAAAAAAAAAAACAAAGGAACATTATGGTGCGTGAAAAATTATTATTGTTTGTTATTCGTCATTGAATTTAAAAAGTATAATTGTGTTTTTGATTTCCGCGCATTATTTGAGAAATGTACTATACAAGCCTTGGCCACAACTAGGCATTGATGGACTCACGTATGTGTGTTCACACATTTGTACGTTCGTTAATCAATGCTTCAGTTGTTGGCCGCTGCAGTAATGTACTATTTTTTATGCAATTTAAAGTGGCAAACGAGCTGACGGCCCACCTGATGGAAAGTGGTAACCGTCGCCTATTAACATTTTATTTTGGTGTATACTATCACGCAAACTTGGTGGTATTCGATCTTTGTATATGTTTCTACATCTATCCCAATGGATCGTACTCGCACTGTATTCGAATACAACCGCGCCCTATAGAACGACAGTAGCGAGTTTTGTTTTTTTTAATTGAATTGCAATAGAACGGTGAGTCCGTTCGTGTTACCGGTATATGTAACGGAGGCTGTGGACTTGCGCAGGCGCACTGTGCATCGAGCCGCGGGCGCCGGTGCGGCGCGCGGCGAGCCAGACGCTGTTCAGCTGCGTGGGCGCGCACGGGGCGCTGCTCGCGCGGCCCGCCTGGCGCGCGCTGCTCGCCGTGCTGTTCCCCATGCTGGACCAGGTACCGCCCGCCCCCGCGCCGCACCCTGCAGCAGCTGCCGTGGCCGCACGGGGCGCTGCTCGCGCGGCCCGCCTGGCGCGCGCTGCTCGCCGTGCTGTTCCCCATGCTGGACCAGGTACCGCCCGCCCCCGCGCCGCACCCTGCAGCAGCTGCCGTGGCCGCACGGGGCGCTGCTCGCGCGGCCCGCCTGGCGCGCGCTGCTCGCCGTGCTGTTCCCCATGCTGGACCAGGTACCGCCCGCCCCCGCGCCGCACCCTGCAGCAGCTGCCGTGGCCGCGCGCTGCTCGCGCGGCCCGCCTGGCGCGCGCTGCTCGCCGTGCTGTTCCCCATGCTGGACCAGGTACCGCCCGCCCCCGCGCCGCACCCTGCAGCAGCTGCCGTGGCCGCACGGGGCGCTGCTCGCGCGGCCCGCCTGGCGCGCGCTGCTCGCCGTGCTGTTCCCCATGCTGGACCAGGTACCGCCCGCCCCCGCGCCGCACCCTGCAGCAGCTGCCGTGGCCGCACGGGGCGCTGCTCGCGCGGCCCGCCTGGCGCGCGCTGCTCGCCGTGCTGTTCCCCATGCTGGACCAGGTACCGCCCGCCCCCGCGCCGCACCCTGCAGCAGCTGCCGTGGCCGCACGGGGCGCTGCTCGCGCGGCCCGCCTGGCGCGCGCTGCTCGCCGTGCTGTTCCCCATGCTGGACCAGGTACCGCCCGCCCCCGCGCCGCACCCTGCAGCAGCTGCCGTGGCCGCACGGGGCGCTGCTCGCGCGGCCCGCCTGGCGCGCGCTGCTCGCCGTGCTGTTCCCCATGCTGGACCAGGTACCGCCCGCCCCCGCGCCGCACCCTGCAGCAGCTGCCGTGGCCGCACGCGCGGCCCGCCTGGCGCGCGCTGCTCGCCGTGCTGTTCCCCATGCTGGACCAGGTACCGCCCGCCCCCGCGCCGCACCCTGCAGCAGCTGCCGTGGCCGCACGGGGCGCTGCTCGCGCGGCCCGCCTGGCGCGCGCTGCTCGCCGTGCTGTTCCCCATGCTGGACCAGGTACCGCCCGCCCCCGCGCCGCACCCTGCAGCAGCTGCCGTGGCCGCACGGGGCGCTGCTCGCGCGGCCCGCCTGGCGCGCGCTGCTCGCCGTGCTGTTCCCCATGCTGGACCAGGTACCGCCGGTGTGCTGTCTAGGAAGTCCCTCGTAAGGATTGCGGTGTTGGCGGGCGCATTATCGTGGTGGAGCAGTAGCCCGCGAAGCCCTGTGTTTGGTCGCTTGTTGCTCACAACAGAGAAAACTTCTGTCAAGTATTTGGTAGTATACCATTTGGCGCTAATGCCTCTTTGGTTTCGTAAAGGAATTGACACCCTTTCACCCTTGCCTGCTTCTGATCGGTGAGGTTGTGCGGCACCCTGCGTAGATGTTTCTGCTCCTGATCTCAGTTTTTTGAATCTCTTGGTATGTAACTCGTCTATTGTCTTGGATCAAATTTTTCACTGCTAGCACGTTTTTTTCCGTAACAGCCGTCAAAGGGCGACCACTTCTTTCTTCATCCCCCAAAGTTCGTCGACCGCGTTTAAATTTATTATTCCAACGATACACGATTGCTCTTAGAAGGGTCTTCATTCCATGAATGCCATTTGAAGTCTATCATACGATTCGTCCGGTATCAGGTGACACTTAAAATTGTAAAAAATCATAGCTCGAAAATGTTCTCGACACAAATCTATTTTTTAATGAAACACGGTAATTTTTATTAGCTTGCAAAAAATGTGGAGGGAAATTTTGAATTTAGAACGTATCTATTTTTACTTATAAGTAATCATATTTTTAAATAAATTATAACTGGCCAGTCTCACATACCTAAAAACTTTTTCTCGCAATACTTTCTGTGTATTGAGAGACCTGGTATACTATAATATGTATAGAACTAAAAAAATCATTTTTCATCGACAGGTTCAGAAACAAGCAAAAATTGCCAGTTCCGAGAAAGTAGACACAGGTGAACACATATTAATACATCACACGAGAAACACGGCGCAGAAACAATGGGCCGAGACGCAGGTGAGAAACGTTATGCTCGTAATATTATATGTCTAAGTTTTTTTTTCTCCAATTTTAAAGGTTATAAAATACCTTGGAACGAAATGCAGTATTTTATAAGACTAGAAAAAGTGACTGATACCATTAATTTTCCAACAGGTATTAACCTTGTCTGGAGTATCCCGCGTGTTCCATTCGAGGTTTCAGCTGCTAACCACTGTAGGAGACTTCAACAGATCCTGGGCGACGCTACTCGAATACATCACAGACTTTGCACTCACACGCAGTCACGAGGTATATTATTATCCCGAATTAACTTTTTATTGATAATTTGTTTATTTTCGCATACAATTTTAAACTTTAATTGCAAAATATAAGCTTCTTATCTGTATTTCTTCGAGAGTAAGATGAAAAGTTCTGAGTCTGACACAGAAATGGCGTTCCAATCGGCAAACATAAGCCTTCCCCACAAGGAGAGTCTGGCTAATAGTTGCCACCCTTGGCAGGCAAGTTGGCCAACAGTATTTAGGCTTTTAAAGATGTTTTAAGAGGGGCACTGCTGCCAATCTCTCACCCTCCCTTAGTCGCCTCTTACGACACCCACGGGAAAGGAAGGGGTGGCCTATTCTATGACAGGGCACACACGACAAATATTACAAAAATTAATATAAATAAATTTAAATTAAATTAAATTAAAATATGAACGTTACTTCACGCAGGTGTCGGTGGCTGCACTGAAGTCGTTCCAGGAGGTAGTGTCGGCGGCGGGCCGCGCGGCCGAGGCTGATGCCGCGGGTTCGAGCAGCGCCCTGCAGCGGCACGTGTGGGCTGCCGCCTGGGCCGCATGGACCGACATCGCTTCTTCTCTCTCCGGAGACCAGGCACAAGGTACGTTTTTTTATAATATTTGATGATAAGCCGCTTGCTAGAAAGTGACCCCTGTAGACATCTAAAGCACCATGGACATCGTAGAATGCACTATAATCGCCATGGTACCGCTAAAATTACTATTGTTGATGACTATGGTATTATGCCTCCATACCCCGTATTTTTATAGGCACATTCCACATGGTCGTGTGGTTAGGCCACCCCTTCCATTCCCACGGGTGTCGTAAGAGTCGATTAAGGAAGGGCAAGAGATATTTTTAACGGGTGATGATGGAGTGGTAATCCCGCCTGCGCTATCGGTTTACACTGGCGGGGCACCAGTGAGTAATGATAGATAAGAATGAAAAGACAGGTCAATTAGTCCATCGTGATGAATACACTTGCAATTCAGCACGATGGTTTCCAGGGAAGACCACATGGAGGTCGACCTGGTTGAGTATATTGCTAGCAATGGGGCTCTTAGTCTCTGTTATTAACAATCCCTCTCCCCCAGGGCGAGGGATAGACAGCAGCATCCCTCTTAAAACATCTCTAAAATCTAACTGCAGTTGCCAATATGCCTGCCAAGCGTGGCAACTACTGGCAAAACTCTCCTTGTGGGGAAGACCTGTGTTGAATGTATGTGTGACCTATGATGTATGAAGACCAGCAGTGGAATAATAATAATAGTATTTTCCATCATGTGGGTCGAGGATCCATTTTGATGAAACATTTTTATAATAGTACATATGTGTTGTGCTGCAGTGGGCGAGGACGGCAAGCCGCCGGAGCCGTACGCGCCCTCACTCAACTTCCTCACGACGCTCGTCCAGATATTTCCACTTATATTCCAGCATATCAGGCCCACGTGAGTTTATTATATATTTATTTATATATTACTTATTCAACTTTTATGTACATAACAAAATTATACATGGCGTATATAACACCTGAAAGTTAACCACTTTACCATGGAGCATATACCATATATCCTCTTTTTTTTTATACAACTTAGAATGGCAAACAAACTGACGGCCCACCTGATGGAAAGTGGTAATGGTCGCCTATAGACATGAGCAGTACCATGGACATAACAGAGTATACTGTTTCACCCATGATACCCCCTATGCGTTGCCATTCCTGAGGACTTAGGTGTTATTTCTCTGTACTTCGTAAATTCACGCCATATCCCACCCTTCAAACCGAAACACAGCCATGCAAACACAACTGCTTCACGGTTGAAACACGAATGGGATAGAGGTACCCAAGCAAACGACTTTTGTACAAAGTCTCCCTCTGGTTTTTACTTTATCCTTATGTGTATCTTTTATTTTTACAGATTTTAATGAGGTGTTCTTTTATATTTATATTAATTAAGTGAACATGAGATTCAAAATTCGTCCTGTTACCTTTCTCCACAAAATTGTATCTTTTTAAAATATATTTTTAAGCTTGTAGTTATTGGTTTTAATTGAAATATTATCTTGCATTAACTAAGATATAACTGGCCAGCAATCCTTAAAAGACGATGATAGAAATTGCTGGACGGTATCTGAATTTTAAATTTAGAATATCGAAGAGGTTCTTTTTTTAATAGAAACTAATAAATTAACTGTTAACCGCAAATATTTCCTAACATGGAAAACATTGTACTGAAGTCGACGAATTAGGATGTATTCTGTATACATTCTAATTCAAAATTTATTCCAAATACGATAAAACCGAAAGTAAATTAATGAAATCAAGTGGTATGTAAAGTGATAAATGTTATTTTTTATAGTAATTTCGTCAGCGAATGATGGTAAATGACAATAAGAAAGAATCAGACTTGCTGTTGGTCCATCGTGACGAATTTATCAAAAAATAATCACGATGATTTCTGGGACTGAGGGAGAGGCGTATGGAGGTCGATTTAGAAGGATATTTTGCTAATACTGGAACTACTAATCTTCATTACTGACAATCGTCCTCTTTAATAAATGTCAGTTAGGTGTTGGTAGATAATGATCGGTATTGAGCCGGCCGCGTGTTGTCCCCGGCAGGTTCTCGCCGGCGGACGTGGCGCGGCTGGGCGAGTGCGTGTCGCGGGTGTGCTCGGTGGAGCCGGCCGCGGCCGCGCTCGACTCGCTCGCCACCGCCGCCGCGCCCGTCAGCCTGCACGCGCTGCACTGCCTCGACACCGTGCACAAGGTGACGCTTACTCCCACCTTGTCTCGTGATCATCCTTCACTCGCTCACTTTAACCGCGTGCCCATCTCGATACAATATCAATGTTCATCTCAAATATTCGGATATTAGGCATTCGGACATCAGACACTTAGACATCTGACATATGGACACTGAACACTCAGACACTTGGCTACTGGAAGCTCAAACATTGGATACTCAGATACTCGCACATTGGACACTGAACATTCAGCAATTGGACACTCAGACATCGGGCACTTAGACATCGGTCACTCGGATATCAGACACTCGGACACTAGATTTACGAACAATGGATACTATCACACTAGACACTCAGACTTCTGAGGCTCGAGTTTTGGACACCTGGACATTAGACACTCTATCACTGGACACTCATATTTAGACACTGGACACAGAGATCAGACACTGGAATAGTAGACATTCGCAGATTAGAAACTTAGATATTAGACACTCGAACTTTCGAATAGAACAGACTATATTTATTGCCAGAAAAACACGTAGTTACAACAGAAAATATATAAGAAGTGTCTCGTATTAGGCAAAAGGAACTGGCTTTGCTAATACTATGAGTGTTCCAATGCAATGTGTACAGCTGCATAGCGCTGGTTTTCAGTCAGTCGCTCTCTTAACAACTTTATATACACTCAGACATCTGAGACTCGAGTCTGGGCACTCGGACACTGGACATTCGAACATTTAGGCACTCAGACATCAGGCTCTCGGACATCGAACGCTCAGTCACTCGAACATTGGACTCTCAGCTACTTAAACACTTGGACACTGAACGCTCAGACACTGGATACTTAGACACTCAGCCATTCGGAACTTGAGGGTTTGGACATAAGGCACTGGGACACCCAGACTCTGGCAACTCAAACTTACATAGTAAAGTATAAAAAGCGTTTAATTGCACGATATATCGTGGAAGTGTATGGTAATATCATTGAAGTTCACCATATACTATGCATGGAAAAAGATAAAAGCGCCCAAAGCTTATTCTTCATCGGTAAAGGTCGTAAAATGTACAAATTTTCATGTTATGAGTAGATCCCGTATATTTTAAATACACAATCAGGACTTAACGTGATGAAAAGATCTTTGCAGGTAAATAGTACCTACATATCTGCTTCGACGTGGATCCCACGACGTTGAAACATCGGCAATAAAAAAAAGTTACTAATTTCCGTATATTCCCGTAGGAAGCACTAATACGGCACGAGCTGCTGCCGCCGATGTTCGTGGCGCTGACGTCGCTGGCTCGCGCGTGCTCGCAGTCGAGCGGCAGCGGCGGCGGCGGCGGCAGCAGCGGCGGCAGCGGTGGCGCCAGCGCGCGCTGCCTGGCGGCGGCCGCGTCGCTGTACCGCGCCGCGCCCGCGCCCTGCATCTCTGTGCTGCCGCATCTGCTGCAGGTGCCGCGCGCTCCATTTGTTAATCCTACTGCAATTAGAAATGCCAAGTTCGTAACGGATGAATGTTAGATACATTTTCTCGCTCAAAAACTTGAACGGTTTTAAATAAAATTTGGTGTCCTCATATCAGTCATTAATATACTGAACATAGGCATCCACCTGTGAGGGGGGGTGTTGCCAGTACTTGCCACGCTTCGCAGGCAGGTTGGCAACCACAGTTAAAGTTTTAGTTAATATATCGATGACATCTCACCTTTAGTAGGTGTGTTTTGTTATGCAAGTCGCTTTTTTGCAGTGTAAAAGGTACTTAATTTTAAATTGTTTTTTTTTTTGTAAATTGTGGCAGGCCCTACATACGGCAGTACAAAGGTTAGGGGCAGACAAGACGAGGCGGCGCAGCAGCGAACTGCAGCCGGACGAGACGGCGCAGATCGCGTCATTGTTATTGCAGGTAAAATGTTCTATAATGCTGTCATATAAATTTTATTAGCGGATCCGCTAGTGGGGAGAAAGAAAGAGAGAGAAAGACACGGTATTCTGTAACTAAATAAGATCGAATATATATATGGCATTGTAAGGATAGTCTATAGAATGTCGTTACTCAATCATATAAAACATATTTATTACACATAGTAATATTAAGAAAACAGGCCTACTATAACAAAAAACATATATTTACATCAAAAATAGCCAAAATAATCCTTAAAAAATTTATAAAAACTTATATTTGGAGCATAGCATTATATGGGTGTGAAACATAGACAATGACGCAAAAAGAAAAAAAGATACTTGAGGCATTCGAAATGTGGACATGGAGAAGAATGGAAAGGATAAGCTGGACAGAAAAACTAACGAATGAGGAAGTCCTTAAAAGAGTGAACGAGAAAAGTACATGAATTAAAATAATAGAGAATAGAAGAGACAAAATGCTGGGCCACCTTATACGACATGACAATTTTTTTAAGAGCATAGTAGAGGCAGGGAGACACGATGACGAAAAAAAAATGGCCGCGCGGAAAAATTTTTAATAGATGGCGATACTAGTCACTGTTAATGCTTCCGTAAGTCTTAGAAAACAAACAAAATCATTTATAAAATATGTATACTTTTATTTTAAAAATCTCCTAAAAACGTAAAAATGAATAAAATTAAACCAAATCTCATTAGTTATATTAAAATTCAAAAATTGTTTTATTTCTATCAGGAAACTATTGTGCTTCGATTTAATTAGCATCATTTAGTTAACGAGATCGTGCTACAAGTTTGTCCACGTCATTTCACAGATGGCGCTGCTTCTATTTAGAGTACTACTAAATCTGTTTTATGCGTTCACCCTTAACCCCTAGATACAATATTGCCAGATTGGATATTTTCTCGCAATACGCTACTTGACAAAATTTGGAAATGAGTTTAAAAATATAGCTTGGCTTAGCTAAAAATATATTATTTAAAAAAAATACCTAGGAATTTTGGGTTTTTAGTAATGAATTCAAAATTGACATCGAAAAAGGTCAAGACTGTTGACGTTGAAGATGACGTCACGCCTCGCAAAACATTCGTGGTTGTTTATGACGGTCAATTGATTTTAATAAGAAATAATGAATAAAATACAACGATAAAAACACCGAATAAATTATTCATATATGTTCCTAATAATAAGCGAATACGTAAAAAGTGGTAAGAAATAGCAAGGAGGCAAGATGCTTCTAATATATCAAGTGACTCAACACTTTATTTCAATGAAGAACATTTTGATGTAAGTATTAAGCCAAGTTAATGTATCTATTGGTAAATATAAAGTAAAAGTAATGAATTTAGCAAAATCTACCATATAAAAGCATACCTTTATAGGTTATGTAACCATAAGTTATAAAATGATAGGACTTGAATATGTTTGTGTTATTTTTTAAAATTTATAACATTATTTTTGTTTTAAAAAATGAAATAATTTATACTTTTTGTATTGTTTTAGTTCCCAAACAATATGTATAAGTATATGGAGTATCGTATTATGGGAAAATCTCTCAAGTACGCATGAAGCCAGATTGTATACCAAAGAAATTCGAATACCAAGAAGATAGAAAGAAAAGTACATGCAGCGATATCAAACGACCATATATGTTGAAATAACAAAGAATGTCAACAATCACAGAGTATTTGAATAAACCAGAATAAAGTATGAGTAGTACATCAAGTTTATCTATCAAGGATACTTCAACAAGTTCAGGTATGTAACAAACAAAACAAATGATTTGCAGTTTGAAACATGTATTAAGGCATTATTATTATGACCATATTGTGTTTATTTTTAGATTTTCAAAAAGTTGGAGAGGATGTACCTGAAGCTTTATTTGCACTGACAGCGGATAAATCTGTTCAAGCATTAGTAACACACAATTTCAAAAGTAAAGCTATCCAAACTAAAATAAAAGACAGTATCATCTTTGAAACCATTACAAATATCTGTCTCCACATCCCCATTCATACCAATGAAAATTATAAATTTAAGAGCTGTCGGCCTCGGCAAAATCACAATATATTTATCAAAGCAGAGCAGTCTGATAGTGATGTTTCTTTATATGTACCATCTGCATCTACCTATACATATACCTATCTATCTAAGATTCATTAATAAAATAAAACAATTTTATTTGTATTTTTATTTTAGTTCTACACTGTTATAAAGAATAAATATTGTTTTTCATAAATCCAACAAATCTTTGATTATATTTTCAATATATTTTGGATCATATTGAACCATTAATACGTCAACCACTTTATTTTGGCTGTAATCAGGATCAGCCACACAAAAGAAACAATTTCTCATTCCAGTTAAACACATTTGTATCTGCATTTGAGTATAATACTTTTGTGTGGCTTCACCATTTTTAATGTAATTTTTATAAGTTTTTACACTATCACATATTTAAATTAACCCTGTTCGCCGCACCATAATAGTTAAATTTCAAGCTTTGACTTCCACGAGACAGGCTTTGCTTAGTGTGGTGTCATAGTTATATTGTACCATTGGCTTTGTTTAAGGAAAATAAAGTTTATTATTTATTATTATTATTATTATTAGGGCATTTAATTTCAATTAAGCCATCTTCCAATATGCCATTAGAGGAACCAGCGATCATCAGATAATCTCCATTTAATATTAGACCACACTTATTAATTTTTTTATTCAGTTTTACCTCCACAGTTTTCCCTACTTGAGCTTCTAAGATATGTCCACGTGTCATTGATGGAGTATCAGGTATTTTTGCCCCTTATATTAGAGACACAAGTGTACCATCATTCTTTTTACAGCCGCTAACCTCAAATGCTCTTGATGCGGTTATTCGTCCATACCGCAGCTCATGCCAACTTTTTTATTACAGATGCAGATATCTTTACATTTTTAAAAAATTATCTACACATTTCTCTTTATATTTCCACACAAACTGATGCATTGAAACTTAAGGAGTTCACAATCCTCAATTTTCCTGTTCTTTCCTTCTTCTAGAAACTTCAAAACAGATGAGTTTGACAGTATGAGAAGGCTGCCCTTAGATAAATCTTTGGCCGTCATATCTTTTATGGTATTACCAACTCTTGATAATTTAATTTTTTTCCAGTAGCATTCAACAGATGTGCATGAGGACTCTTCGTTTCGGTGATGAACCCACATTAAAAATGCTATTGCATTCTTACAACCAGCCTGTGAAGTTACGCAGTCTTCACATTGCACAGAAAGAACAGTCTTATCTTCCTTATCAATGACAACTGTGCACCTATACAGTTTTGCATGAACTTTGTGCTCAGGACATATTTTGCACTTTATAATACATAATTTGCCATCGCGCTTAAGTTGCACATAGCTTACAGCATCATCTCCGTATGAAGCTCGTGACCTGAAATAAAAAATTTATTAATAAAATTAATTAATTAAAACTTTGTACTGGCTAACCTCTAAACCAGTTATTATTACATAGTAGGTTGGTACAAAGTAGGTAAATGCAAATTTCGGACTGGTAAATGCTAAATAGATAAGATTTATGTTAGTTTTTTACATTATACTTACAGGGAAATTTTAACATTTCGGACGAGCAAAAATCGGCGTTTGCAGCAAAAAATTTGCAAAGCATAACGGCGTCAATTCTGGGCAAATTACTGATGGTTGCTTTAGTGAAACCTAATTCCATAGCGAATTATACCTGTCTTTCGAGATTAAATTTAAAATACACTGTATCGATCTAACAATTATGGCTAAAACGAAAAAAATATCAAATAATCAATTCACTGTATACGAAAATGACAGCAATTAGGCTTGTTAAAAAATATCGATATATCAAAATATCGATATTGTTTAAAAAAATAATTGATAATTATCGTCCATATTTTAAATCTTGATATATCAATAATCTATATTTTTTTCCCGGATATCAAGTTCGATATTTTTTTATGATTCCCCATAATTAAAAAAGTCTGTGTTTTGTGGACATATGACAGTGATATATTGACATTGACAACCAAATTAACAGTAGGTTAGATTTTTTTTAATGGATGATAATGGAATGGTAACTCCACCCGCGCTATCTGTGTACACCGGCGGGGCACCAGTGAATGATGATAGGTGAGGATGAAGTAGTTAGCCCATGGTGACGAATTCAACAAGAATTGTTCACGATAGTTTACAGGGGGAACCACGTGGAGGTCGACCTAATATCGGTCGGGCATATTGCTAGCATTGTGGCTGTCAAATTCCATTGCTAACAATCCCTTTCCTCCAGTAGGTTAGGTTAGGTAGCAAAATATGAGAAACTTTTAAATGTTAGCGTAGCTGCGGCAGAGGTTCCAAGCGCTGGCTCTGTCCCCAATGAGCTTAAGCAGTATCTCGACCAACCACTACTAGAAAGGAATCAGATCCACACCGGTTCTTTCTTAAATCGCTTTAAAATACTCAATATGCTAAGCATCTTCCATGTCGTTAGAAAGGCTTGCGTCTGCTATTAACTTGGCAGTGCCAGATAATAAGAGCAGATTGACAGGGAAGCACATAAAATAGAGAGTACTTCTCATGTCGATATCTGACAACTATTGATTTGACTAAACTCTTGATGTTTGTTTGTATTGTTTTGAATTAATAAAACTACATGACTACCAATTCGTATTTAATTTTCGAAACTAAAATTTTGACGATGTACAAATATTTCGATATATCAAAATATCGATATATTTTTTCATTTGCCCATGCCTAACAGCAACAACATGATGTTTCACGAGTCGTGACGTCACGCTTCTCTGATTGGTGTTCAATGTCACATGAGTAAATGGTCAATTTTGCGCATTTTATTTTCCGTAAATATTGATAATCTTTAATTATTTTAATGAAAAAAGTGTTTTTTTGGTTACTACATAACATGATTAATCATTAGACAGCCTATGCCAGCCGATTTATTCTTTGTGGAAACAAGCTTATTACGGATAAAAATTAATTGTTCGCGAAACTAAAAAAAAATCTTGATAAAATGTTTGAAAAAAAGTCAAAAGATTTGCAGAAGTTTGTATATTTTTTTACATTTGTGGTATAATTAAGAATATTTCACACCTTCTTTTTCCTCTTGCTATCACAATGTAAAAAGCTTTTATTTATAAAATTGGGACTGTGAAAAAATGGGAACATTTAATAATTAAGGTGTAAATTTTTAGTGTTAAAAATGTATAATTATGTACGATATGGCATTATTTTGTCGTAGACGAAGAAGCTTAATTATCGTTTAAGATTACAATGACCTTGTAAAGTGTTATATTTCTTATCAGATATAATTTATTTTTAACTTTTTAGTTTATTTTATTAACAAATAGGTAATAAAAGCTTGTTTTTTAAAAAAAGGATATCTTTTCTTTAATTTTATCGTGAGATGCAATGTTAGCGATAAAAAATGTTTATACATCCTCATACCATTCATCCCTCGACACGTGTTCACTACGGCATTGGATAAACCACCTAATCAATCAGACATAATCCAAATTCATTAAAACAAACGTTTTTTTTTTCAAATTTGTTGGGGTTGCATTCACATCAACAAAGATACTCGTCAAGACGAGTTAAATGAGCCCAAACTCGATGGTTTTGCGTCCTTTTATTTGGAAGTTCTTATGGCCACCTTTCTTAAGTTTTTTTATATAATTCTTTTGATAACCTCAGAAGGAAGTTTGTACTCCTACAGAAACATTAAAGCTACTATTTATCTTTAAGCTTCTATTTGTTTATTAATCTACATATACTGCTCACGTTGATGAAGTCGTGGGTAAAAGCGAGTGGATAACAATAGCATGGTAAAGCTGCTTGCGATATTGGTATATGCTGGTAGGGCACCAGTAAAAGAATATAAATGAAATAGGTGATGATTAAAGATTTTGGAAAATTTTAGAACTAAACTACTACACCGATTTTAATAAAATTTCTATAGGACCAATGTGTAAGTATATCCTTTCAGATAAAAAAAATAATTTATGAAGTAACAGACATAAAAAAATATATCCAAATTGAGAACTTACTTCTTTTTGAAGTTCATTAAAAATGAAGCGACCTCATTGTGACGAATTTATCAAAAATTTCCTACGATAATCTTTTTTATTACCATCCAGGTAATAAAAAAAATCGACATTGACAGGGTATATTATTTCATGGTTTATTCCTGGTGAATTAATCATGATGAGCCGTCTGATTTGACTTTATCCTTGTATATTATACCTTGTTGATTGGTAAGTACTCTGCTAGTATATACCAACAACGCAAACGGTGGTAGATTACTATTTTATTAAAAGTTAATGACTGATTTCATCATCATCGTCATCATCCTCACACAGTACTAACATTTTGTTCCACAAAAACGCTTTATCTATCACAAAATTTACACGCAATGAACGTAAGAACACATAAAGCATATTGAATTAAAGTAACTAAATTAGTTTAACAATGACAAATATAGAACGCTATGATAACACGAGTATACCAAGTACCTATTTTTATATTATATATTATCTATTTATAAAAAAAAAAAACCTAGCACATTCAGAGAGTTACATAAAGTAAATCGTATTACGATTCATGTAAAGCGAGCTATTTAAACTCCTACGCAGTCTCGTGCAATACTTACCTACTGAACTATATATGTATAAACGCAAGACGAGACCGCCGAAATGATTCAAATAGATAGGTAATTATTATTTATATGTATAGGTAGAACATTCCACAACATTAGCAAACGCCACAGAGAATTACGCCATCTATAAGTTGCTTACGCAATTAGTAGTCATTGGTAAATTAATTTATTAGCTTGAGCTGGCGAGCGGCTAAGAAAGTAGCGGCATCTAGCGCACATATGAAAACTAAAAATTAAGCCGAAGAATAAACCGATTTAGAGCTTTTCACTTGTTTGTTCAAGTTGATGTATCTGTACTAGTATAGTATTATATTATCTGTGGTAGAGGGAAAAATAGAGGGCAAAAGAGGAAGAGGAAGACCGAGGAATAACTACATGGGAGAGATAAAAAAAACACTAGGTGTCATGTCGTATAGGGAGGTCAAGGATATGGCCTAGGATAGAACTGGCTGAAAGAAGATGCATGAATTAGTTACACCGACAAGAGGAAGCTCTTAAATGAAACAAAGATGTAATATGAAGTCCCCTCGGGCAATTACACACAGTAGGTAAGTTAGAATAATATATGCCATACGTCACAGAACAAGGCGCAGGGGAACCGAATCCCACATGCGTTTGATCTTTGTAACAAGCAGCGACTGATGTCTCCGATCCAAGGACGGTTGTCGCGCGCTTAGGCAGCAAGAGGGACAGCACTAGCCTTTGATATTTGCCGTATTAAGCGCGATCTTGTTCAATATATAATGGAATATATAAATTTAAACAGCAGACGCAGCAAAGGTTTAAAAAAATCTTTTACCTGCAGATGTTAGTGGCGAGATCTTAGGCTTATACACATATTTGCACGTGTACAGACCTCATCTACGTAGTAGTAACAGCTATGGATCCCGTTATTTTTGTTATAAGTGTGTACGCCACACATGTAAGTTATTATATGTTTGTACAGGTTTTAGCGACGGCCCTACCGCTCGCAAGAGAGAATCCTGAAGAGTACAAAGAGTTTTGGGAGACGCTGCCTACTGTATTAGAGACGTTCATGTTTGAACCACCGTGAGTCATGTTTGTTACGGAAATAGTATTTTTTCTAGTTCCTTTGAAATTACCTCATTATTAAAAAAATTTTTTTTCGATATATATATACTACGTTTATCTAATTTTTTTTTTTATTTCGATATATGAATTATAAGTATGTTTACCTGCTTTTTTTTTTTTTTAATTTTTTTGGAGTCAAAGAGTGGTATTGAAAGTTTTAGGTATTTAACGCAAAGCATAATTGCATAAGTTGCTTGATTACATTAGTGTGGGAATTAAATAAATATTGTTGAAATTAGTTAAAATATGCTATTAATTATATATGAAATTGTATTCAAATTTAATATGTATAGAATAGGTCAATCCCTCCTTACTCGTGGGTGTCGTAAGAGACTAGGGAAATTTAATGGTTGGAGGACAAGCGGCTACATTCCTTCTAAAATTTCACTAAAGTATAATACTTTAGTGAAATTTTAGAAGAAACTTAATATAAATATATATATATAGAACTTTATAACAATTTGTTTGCCAAGCGTAGCAACTATTAACAGATCCCCTTAACAGGGGGGAGGTTTATGTTTAGTAAGACGAGTAGATGTTTAATGGTTGACATGATGGTAAAGTGTGGAATGTTGGGTACTAACTGTACCCCGCGGTTTCGCTGACGTGAATCAGAACATAAGTGATTGTATGTGATAAGTTAGAATATTATTGGTACGTGTATAAAATGTAATTGAATCCCGTTTATTAGTTTTTGCATGAAGTAGTGTTGTAATGTTGTGGTGTGACATGCGTGCGCGTGCGCAGGGCGGGCGGGCAGGGCGGCGCTCGCGCGTTGGTGGCGCTGGTGCGCGACGAGGCGCTGCGCGGCGCGCGCGCGCCCGCCGCCGCGCGCCGCGCGCTGCTCGCGCTCGTGCGCGCCGGCTCGCTGCACGCGCAGCCGCCGCCGCACATGCGTCAGTACCGCCGCCTTCACTGTATACACTCTACACGCGCGCACTCGCACACACACGCACACACACGCACGCACACGGTGCGCTGGTGCACACACACACACACGCACACGCACACGCACACACACGCACGCACGCACACACACTTCACGTTCAATGTCACATATCACGTGATACACAACATCATAAATCACACCTTCTACATCCCTTCGACCTGCTGTACTTCAATACTACTATAAAATAATAGCAGCTTTACCACCCTAATCATAAAAATCATATTTCATTTTTAATAGCCATTAATATCAGTCTTTGCATTATTACATATATTACATCTCCATATATAGAATTGATAGAAAGTTCATCATGCCTCCGATCAAACTGTTTATAATTACTCCTCTTCATCCAAAAGTTGCCTGGAAGAGATTGCTCTCAGCGATAAAGGTCGCCCATTGTTATCTCATTGTGATTATTTCTTGTAATTGTTTATATTTATAATAAGTTTGTTATTGTAATATTATAGAGGAAACAATAGAGAGTATATATCTATCTAATACACTGTAAATCTTTATGGTACAGAGAGTGAACAGGAGCTCCGTGAACGCGAGGAGTTCGCGCGGATTTGTTTCGAGACGTTACTGCAGTTCTCCATACTGGAGGATATCGATTCACTCGGCGGTGTCAACAGTGAGTTTTTAAACATATATTCTACTGTTTAATGTTTTGCTATGAAAACGTCGCTAATAGCTTAGTGTCAAGAATAGTCACTAGATGGCGTTGTAATTATTTTGTAGAAATCGATATCAGCGGTTAGTTAATTAGAATTATTTTGTTTAATTCCGCATACCATTAGTATGTGTGCGACTGCCAACAGGCCAATTAATATATCGTTGCTCGGAGCTTAGTGTTAACCGTTCGGCACCGAGGGGAAAGGGATTGTTAGTAATGAGATCTAACAGCCTCAATGGGGAGAAAGGGATTATTATTAACGAGGTTTAATAGTCCTTTTGTTAGCAATATATCCTATCAGGTCGACCTCCACGCCATTCTCCCTGGAAACTGTCGTGACTAATTTATCGTTGAATTCTTCACGATGGGCTAACTGGCCTGCCTTTTCATCCTCACCTCTCACTAGTACCCCGCCAGTGTATACCGATAGCACAGGCGGGGTAAACATTCCATTTTCACCCATTAAAAAAAAAGAACTCTCATTGCTTGCAATATGCTCTTTTAGGTCGACCTCCACACGGTTCCCCCTGGAAAACATCTTGGCTAATTCTTTATAAATTCTCCACTATATGCCAACTGAAATGTTTTATCCTCACCTGTCATCTCTCACTGGTGTCCCGCCAGTGTGTACCGATAGCGCAAGCGGGGTTACCATTCCGATATATCTAAAAAAAATAGGTGATAGATATAAGGATAGGTGAGAATGGAAAGGCAGGTCAGTTAGCCCATCGTAACGAATACACCTGGATTTCAACACGACGGTTTCCAGGGGGGACCACGTGGAAGTCGACCAGATAAGGTATATTACTAGCAATGGGACTGGTAGTCTACATTACTAATAATCCCCCCCTCTTCCACCCTCATCATATTAGGTTGTCTGTCCTGAGTTACCCGCATATGATATCATTTGTACACATATATTTTATGACCCAATTTTTAATCAAAATTTGTATATAACAAAAGACTGTGTTGTTGACAGATGAGACCGACCCGTTAGCAATAGTGGCCCTGCTGGATAGGTTTCAAGAAGTCATCTCGAGGTATACCACCGATGAGACCAACAATGACCCTTTACCTAGGTAAGAACGCAGCTCAATTTTATGCATTTATATGCATACATACCAATCATGCCTGTCTTCCATTGAGGTAGGCTGGAACAATGAATGAACGAAAATTTATTTCAATAATCTTATAAACTTATCCTTGCTAATACTGTGAACGCTCTATATAAGCAACATTCTTTATATTATATTTATTATACTCAGCTTAGTTAGTAACAGAAATAAGTAAAAATATTTATCAAACGGTATTTTTATACTCCTTTTTCCTTATAAGAAAATTTTCCCAATGAGAAACTTTTTTATTGAAATTGGTTCAAATGAGTTGCCTATATAGAGCGTTCACTGTATTATAAATGTGAAGTTGAGTTTTTTTTTATAACACTGAGGTGGCAAACAAGCATACGGCCCACCTGATGGTAAGTGGTTACCATAGCCTATGGACACCTGCAATACCAGAGGTATTACGCGTGCGTTGCCGACCCTGAAGAAACCTCTTTACCCGCCTTTTGAAGAACCCCATGCTGTAGTCTTTTGGGAAAACTTCGGCAAGGAGCTCATTCCACAACCTGAGTGTTCGTGGGAGGAAACATCTCTCCCGAACCGTCGCGGAGTGCAGACGTGTTGCTAATACGCTATTATTTATGCAAAATTCTAAATTTAAAGTGATAAGTGTAGTAATTTCTAATACTGGAAGTGAATAGACTACTGGGTAATACATAGACCCATTTATTTAATTGAATGTTATCCAGCAGAGCAAGACATATATAACGGTTATTACATCGGTGCATTTCGTTTCTACCCACATCTACCATTTATATTAGTGTGTATATAACCTTGATAATTGCGTCACAATGCCGTTGCGCCACTCGCCACCCCGTCCCGTATCGAGTACGGCGCCTATACTTGATTTACAGAAAAGTACGAGTATGAGTAGAAGTGCGAGTTCCACGAGTATTGCTAGTGAATATGACTCATCAACAACAGAGGTAATTACAGTGCGCAAACGTAAACGCAGCGGTGAGGAAATAAAAGATTTTAAGGCGGAAATTATGGAATTGTTTCAAAACTGGACCAAGGAGCAAGACAAAAAAATGACAAAACTGTTCCAGACAATAGATGATATAAGAGCACAAAATAAAGATATAAGCAATTCCATAGAATTTTTAGCTAATAAATATGATGAGCTGACGAAAAAAATAGATTCATTGGAAACTGAGAGAAGAGAAAATTATAAACACATACAGTGGTTAGAAATAAAAATTGAACAAATGGAAAGAAGTAAGTTTGCAAGTTGTATAGAAGTAAGAAATGTGCCTAGCAGGTCGCCCGAGAATAAAAGTGACTTAGTATCTGTGATCCAAAATATTGGCAAAATGGTTAATTTACCTATTCAAAATTCGGAAATACGTGATGTGTATCGTATTAAGTCTGAGAAAAATAAAACTATTATTATAGAGCTAAACAGTGTCCTGAAGAAAGAGAATATATTACATGCCGTGAAATCCTATAATCGGGTGAATAAGAATAAAATAAATACTACTACCCTACAAATTGACAAATTAGCCATTCCTGTTTATATTTCCGAAAAGTTAACCTATCAAGCAAGAAAACTTTTCTCAGCGGTTCGAAAATTTGCTAGTATTAATAATTATCGTTACTGTTGGACGTCATATGGAAGAGTTTATTTGCGGAAGGATGAAGGTTTGGCAGTTGTACGCGTGGACTCTGAGGCTGAGTTGGAGAAACTTCAGTGCATGTGACTATTTAGCATAATGAAATGGTATAGAAGATATTTTTTTGGTATTATTTATTATTATTTTTTGTTTATTATTTTTAATTTTAATGCACATTTACATAATTATCATATATTGATTACTTTTAAAGTCCTATTTGTGAACATGATAACATTTTACACATTGTATATTTATTACAAAACACACACATATACACTTTCCATATTTAATGTAAATATATATTATACTCAAGTATACAACATAGATATACCTAAAAATATACATGACTTGATTTTTACATATATTCAGTTTTCTGTATCGTCGATAACAGATACATTTCAATCATTTTCCTCTAGACAGATACAAGTTAAATTAATGATTATACTTGATGCATATAAATGACTTAATAAATAGCATAGACAGATTTACTGTTGCGGAACAAATTACCTGTGAACCTGAACAGTGCAGTTCTTATGTAAAACCGTTGCATGATTATTTAAAAATATTTCAGCTAAATATACGTAGTATAAAATGTAATTTTAACGAATTAGAATTATTGTTAAATAGAGCAAACATGGATTGTGATGTAATAGTTTTGTCAGAGTGTTGGTTGAACATTAATATTAGTGTTCCAAATCTAAACGGTTATAACAAATATCAGACAAATCTTCACTTTAACCAAAATGATGGAGTAGTTATTTATATAAAAAAATCTTTTAATATAAAGGTCGAGGAATGTAATTTAACGGAATCAAATTGTTTATTGGTTAAATTTGGCAATGACGTTGTATTAATCTGTATATACAGACCTCCATGTTTTAGAAACATAGAACCATTTGTACACTCTTTGCATTGTTTACTGGATAGCCTAACTAGTTTTAAAAATATAATTCTGGTGGGAGATATTAACATAAACATATTAGATATAAATACGGACAGTTCCTTATATCTCGATACCGTTTCCTACCATGGTTTACATCCTGCTATAAATCTACCTACCAGAGGACAGAATTGTTTGGATCATGTAATCATAAGATCAAAGTTACCTGCCTATACTATAGTACTAAATAGTGTAATAACTGACCACGAACCAATCTTGTTCTGCATTAAAACTAAATCAGTCGTAAGTAATGAAAATATGAAGTCAATAATAAAATACAATTATGAATCAATATACAATGCGATTTCCAAAATCGACTTTAGTATTATTAACTTGGAAAAAGATTTAAATAGAGCGACGGACATATTTATCAACTTATTACGTAATGTTATGACTAAAAATATTGTAATTTTGCGTACCCCAAGAAGTAAAATTAAAATTAAACCCTGGATGACTAATGGTCTTTTACGATGTTTAAGAACAAGAGACAAGATGAGTAAAAGGTTAAAAAAGGAACCGGAAAATTATATACTGAAAGTAACATACAAGAGATATAGAAATTTTTGTCATAGTCTATTAATAAGTACAAAACGAAAATATGATAAAGAGGAACTATTAAAATCCAAAAATAATTCTAAAAAATTATGGAAGACTATTAAGCTCATTACAAATCTGAATCATACGAGTGCAACTCCTGTTGAGCTTTTAAGTATAAACAGAGATATTCAGACGTCCATAAACACAGTAAATTCGTTCTTTGCCAATACGGGTACAGTTCATGCGGATGCCATCTCATCAGGAATACAAGCCTTAGACCAACACCTTTTTAAAAGCAATAATCAAACATCGGTTTCTGGTTCTTTTGTTTTGCTGAGGGTGGATCAAGACGAGCTGGAATCTGTTATAATGAATTTAAAATCTGATTGTGCTCCTGGCTGGGATGATATTACGGCGAGGATTCTAAAAGAAAATATAAAGTTTCTGTTGTCACCTCTTCTATATTTAATAAATAGTTGCTTATCTGTTGGTGTTTTTCCTGACGCGCTCAAAAAGTCTATTTTGCTTCCAATACATAAAGATGGTAATAAAGATTCCGTGGATAATTATCGCCCAATTTCCATATTGACTTCCTTATCAAAGGTTTTTGAACGCATAATTAACAAAAGATTAATAAATTATTTAGAAAAGCAGCATCTGCTAGATCCAGCACAATTTGGCTTTCGTGCTGGACTATCAACCGATGACGCTATGCATAATTTTGTAGATTTTTTGGTTAGAAAGCTAGACAATAATAAAAAATGCATAACAATTTTCCTCGACCTTAAAAAGGCATTTGATTCAATATCACTAAAGATTTTAATTAATAAGCTCAATAAGTTGGGTATAAGAGGAAATCAACTAAAGCTTTTCGAGGATTATTTATCTAAACGATCTCAACGTGTCAAAATTGGTGATTATATTAGTGATGAACTGCCAGTGTATTTCGGAATACCACAAGGTAGTATAACAGGACCTACCTTGTTCCTGTGCTACATTAATGATTTATATGATTTGGACTTGAAAAACTGTAATATTGTTTCTTATGCCGACGATACTACACTTACATTTTACGGAGATACGTGGGAGGAGGTTTATGGTTTGGCACAACATGGTTTCGACATAGTTAATCAGTGGCTTGCTCTTAACTTTTTAACACTGAATGTAAGCAAAACTAAATACATTTCTTTCTCTATTCGTAACCAAAATCCACCCATAAACAAAAAATTTCATGTCATAGCACATTCTTGTGCCTATCCGTCATATAGTGATTGTAATTGTCTTGCGTTGAGCAGCACAAACAAAATCAAATATCTAGGAGTTACCATCGATAAACATTTATCTTTTACTGAACATATAAATGAGGTTTCCAAAAGAATTAGGAAACTCACATTTATATTTAAACAACTTAGATGTGTAGCAGATAAAGAAACCATAAAACTAGTATATCAGGCATTGGTCCAATCAGTTTTGACTTACTGCTTAACGTCATGGGGTGGGTCTGCTAAATCAAAATTAATAGAGGTTGAAAGAGCACAAAGACTTATTCTGAAGGTGGGTATGTCTAAGCCCAAATTATTTCCAACTGCTCGATTATATAGGGAAATGGAAGTTTTGGGTGTGAGGCAATTGTTTGTTTTATTGACTACACTTCGTCAACATTCTGCTATAGAGTACACTACAAATACAGAGCTTTCTAGAAGATACTATAATGTATGTAAAATGGAGTCCTTTAGAACATCCTTTGCGAAAAAGTTTTATTGTTATCGCAGTGGTAGATTATATAACTATGTTAATAAAGTTCTTAACATTTATCATTGTACAAGATATTACTGTAAAAATATAATCATTGGATGGTTGTTAAGTTTAGATTATGATGATACGGAAAAAATACTGAGATGATATATAATAATGTATATGTATAATGTATTGGGTAAAAGTAAAATTCACTACTCACACGCATATAAACTCATACGCACACACGCACACAATCAAACACTTACACACACACACACACACACACACACACACACACGTTTCTCTAGCTACACGTAATCAATAGTATGTACATTCACAAAATATCATTGTGTATTTACCACATTTTGTATTTTTTGTATTTATTTTTTTGTGTTTATTTTTATTTTTTGTTGTTCCTTATCATGATGGCAGTTAGTAATATATTACTGATGTCTGTTTCTGAGGAGGGGGGCCTGGTGATCTAAGACACAGGCAGCTCGCTGCCCGATTTAGACGCCAGTCTCCCACAACTGTGTGTACATTTATATTATTGTTGCCAATTAGTGTATAATATGGTTGTGGTGGAATAATAAAAAAATTATTATTATTATTATTATTATTATTATCTCTGTCGCTAGCGAGCCGTACGATGCTAGAAAGTGGCTGTGGGCATCATATTGAACAATTCCTCTGAGCACAATCCATTGTACAGGCGGTAGAACACGCAGAGCGAGGCAAAATCTCTCCTAAGACTTAAGGGTTTGATACCGCTTGTGAGCTTGGGTTCATCGACAATTCTCATAGCTCGTCGTTGCAACGAGTCGAAAGGTTCAAGCTGGTATTTAGGTGCTCCGGCCCATAAGTGACTCCAATACTCCATGTGGGGCCGGATTTGCGATTTGTAGAGCATTAATCGCTGATCCGGCGTAAAGTAATGCTTCGCTCTATTGAGCACACCGAGTTTTTTGGATGCCAACCATGACCTTATCTTCGAGGTGGCCACGGAACTGTAGATCCCCATAGGCCACGTCACTAGAGATGTCGAGTTTGTTTGTTACGTCTTGGTGCCTTAACGGCTTAATCACGATATAATATGGGATTATTGTCTATATGGGACGAAGGACATTGACATTTTATCCCAGATAGTGAAAATATCCCGATAACGCCCGGTAAAGTCCCGGATTAAAGCTAGTTACTTAATAAATTAATAGACTTACAGATGGGCAAAGCACCGGGTTTAAACCCGGTGCTTTGGTAAAAACCCAATAAACACCCATAAACTCCCATAATCACCCAAAAAAATAGGTTTTTACGTATTTTTTTGAAAATATGTAAGTAATACCAATAAATTATTTTTATAAATTGTATTGATCAATTCTACAATATTAAATAAAACGTTAACTAATAATATTTCAGGAAATTTTAAAAATCTATATATAATAAAATGAAAGTAATTAATTTTCAGTATTTTCATGTTGCAGTTGATCAACATGTTGGCCTTTTGCTTCCCGTAGATACTTTAAAATTTCTTCATAACACCTCGTTCGCACACATGGCCGTATATATTTAAATTCTTGAGCCACTAACAGTCCGAAATACTCATTTCTTTTATCCTCTTCTCCATAAATTAAGCATTTAGAACAGTTTGTTTCTTCTTTCAGTAAATTTTCTTTTACTTTATCCTCGTTTTTTTCTTTGTTGCGACGACGCTGGGTAAATCATCTGGACACTGGGTCTCACTATCGCCAAATATATTTGGAGATCGGCTTCGGCTACGGCTTGGCAGACATTTTTTTCTTTCTACAATTTTAAATTAAATTTATTAGAATAAATGCTTCGAACACACGCGATCTAAGTACCTTTTGTGTTTATTATACCTTACCTACCTAGGTATAAAAAGAGTACTTACGTAGATTTTCTTTTATTAACTGTTTTATACGAAGATCTTGATCTCTCAAATTAGCATCCATTTTACTTCCAGTGATTATCAACTAAATTAATAATCCACAAAGTATTAAATAACGTTTTTATGAAATATTTAGCACAAAAACAATACCCTTTAAATATCGATCGTCAGTAACTGTGGCTGACTTACCTATATTCTAGCAAGCAGGACTGCCAGATGTGAAGGGGAAATCCCCAATAAATTGTTGCATGTGACTGATGATGTGAGCATGTTCGTTTCATAATAAAAATGTTGCCAGGTAACCAAAAAGTCGTATGTTTTTGTGCGAATTACGATCATAATCTTTACGATCGTACATTAAAAAATAGACAAATAATAGTATGAGTACGATTTAAATCGTATATCTGTCAACCCTGCTAGCAAGACAGCGACAAAATCACGTTGCATAACAATGTAGCCCAAGCTTATATCTTATGAAATATACGGAAGAGATACGGACTTAGAAAAAACAGAAATGTTGTTCTTTGTGGAAGTCATTGATGAAATTCTATGTATTTTAGCCCGCAAACTTTCTTCAAACAAAAACAGCGCCATCTAGTATCGAGTTCTGTAATTATCTCTTTGTTTATGGATTTGAAGTAAGACCGCCACGCATGCAATACATTATGACTGGGGATTCCCTATTCGTCGACGCTGAATATGAGGCGACGACAATCACTGTCAAACGTGTTCACTATTACTCTGACTCTGGTAACGTGACTTCCTGGTAACGTGTTAGGTAGGAAAAGCAGTAAAAAAGTGCATATTAAGGGAGCAGATTTGAAATAATATTTATACTTAACAAGAAATAATTAAAGGTAAGTGGATTTTTGAATGATACAATTATATCATGATCACTTAACAATTTTAACTTAAAATTAGATGTATTATTACAAGCTTTTATTTAGCTTGCGTTATGTAAATAAAAGTATGTAGGTATGTTCGTATGTTGATGCAATTATCCTCAATCCTCAACCGACTGGGATAAAATTTTCCATACACGTTTATTTTGGATGATAGTGCATAGTTAGCTGAGAGTCGTCATTGGATAATAATGGTGGATAGCCTAAGATGTGTACTAGATATTTATTTTTAACATAATATGCGTAAGTACCTAATCGAATTAAAGAAGTTGCTGAGAAAAATACAGAACAATACGATAATAAACTAGCGTCTGCGTTTAATCCTCGAGGAGATGTAATTTTACAAAGGTTTTTTTGTATTTATTTTATTATTTTTTTAATAAATTTATTGTAAATAACAAGAAATAATCATTGTAAAAAAATAGGCACTCTATTGTTGAATTTTCGTCAGACCAACTAATCATCGTTCATTTTTTTAGGTTCAATGGGGAGACCTAAAGATTTACGCATATGGGAGCACTACCGTACTTTACCAAACAAGTCTGTTTCTTGCAAGCTTTGTAATAAGGTCTACAAATTCAGTAATGCTGCCAAAATGCTTCAACATCTTATCACTTGTCCAAAATCTCCAGAAACATTAAAAGACTCTATGAAACTTATAAAAGATAGCTCGTCCAAAACCAAAATGTCTGGACTGTCAGAGATAGAGACAAATGATTCTTTTATAAGCCCCTCGTCGTCTGCTAACACTACAATAAATGCTGAGTTTCAAGACACCGATGATCATATAAAAACAGAATTAGCGAGAGCTATATTTGTAACAGGGACGCCATTATCGATGGTGCAACATCCTTTATGGATACAATTTTTCGAAAAATTGCAACCAAAATTTAAAATACCTTCACGTAAAGCTTTAGCGACAAAATACTTAGATAAAATATATAGAGAAATGCGTTTTGAGTTAAATGAGGAACTAAATGCTTGTAGTTACTTACACCTTCAGTGCGATGGCTGGTCTAATTTAAGAAATGAAGGAATAATAAACTTTCTTATATCAAAACCTCAACCTGCATACGTTAAAAGTTTGAATACAGAAAGTAATCCTCACACTAGTGAATACCTTAGCCAAGAAGTTGAAAAAGTAATGAAAGTGTATGGAGCAAATAAGTTTCTTGTACTTATTGGCGATAACGCTAGAAATATACAAAAGGCATTCGAATTAACAAAACTCAAATATCCACATGTTGTTCCTCTCGGTTGCTGTGCACATATCCTTAACTTGTTGTGCCAAGATATTGTAAAGATACAAGAAGTAACTGTGTTTATTATGCAAGCCATAAATATAATAAAAACTGTTAAAAGGAGTCAACGATTAAGTTCCTTGTTGATAAAATCAAGGCAGGGTGAAGATTCTACACAAACACTAAAATTGCCTTGTGCTACAAGATGGGGAAGTCATGTTACTTCGTTAAAAAGTTTGAAAGCAAATAAGATAGCTTTGCAAATATTAACAGTTAGAGAAGATGTGGTAATTTCAAGAGATATTAAAGATTTAATTCTAAGTGATGATTTCTGGACGAAGACAGGGGAATGTATAAGTATTTTGGAACCAGTCACTGAAAGCATATTTTACTTAGAGAGCGACCAGAATCGTTTGCATCGCACATACATTACATTTAGAGATGTACAAGCTAAGATACGTTTTGCATTAAATGAGATTTCGACATTGAGCGAAGAAAGCAAACAGCAGATTCTAACATCAGTATCTTCAAGATGCAATATGGCAATGAGGCCAATACATTTTGCAGCATATATTCTAGACCCCAGGACTCTAGGAGTCGAACTTACTCAAGAGGAAGAACTTAAGGGTATGGAGTTTATCTACAATTTAAGCCAACACTTAAGTTTGTCAAATGTAATGGCAGATTTGGCGTGTTATAAAGCTAAAGAAAACTTTTGGGCCAGAGGATTTGTATGGAGCTCATTAGATAGCATTGAGCCCCTAATATGGTGGAAAGGTATTTGTGGTTCCACTGAGTTAAGCAAAGTAGCGATTCGTATTCTATCAGCTCCCTGTACTTCGGCAGCCACTGAGCGTTCCTTTAGTATCCAAGGCTACATACATAATAACAAAAGAAATCGACTTACAACTGAAAGAACTGAAAAAATTTCATTCATTTGTTATAACTGGAATCTTAAACATAAAGCTGAATGCGAGGACATTCAGTTTAATGAAGAAAATACCTTAGAAGCTTTCATTGAGCAAGTAAATGAACATAACAGTTTAGACGAAATAGAGCCTATCGAACCTATACAATTCATCGCTTGTAATAACTCTGAATCTGACAGTGATTGACTGTAGTTTTACATTTTACTTTCATCTCTTTCTTAATAAACTCAAAATCAAATTAAAAGTTTTTTATTCTGTAGGCTGCATAATAATATTGTCTATGTCCAGTATAGTGGACGTCTTGCGGCTGAGATGACGATGATGAAGTACAAAAGCATAAACACCCAAAAATTTGGGTGTTTATGGGGTTTAAACCCAATAAACCCAAAACACCCGGTTTTTACCCACCAGACTTTAAACCCACCCAGGTGGATTGCCCATCTCTAAATAGACTTGATTTTTTTTTAATAAGTATAAAATGAGATAGCAGATTCCCTATTTCGTTCTTTCTCATCCATATATTAGATTCAACATACCTACATTTTTAATGATCTAGTACTGCTTGGTAGTTTGTTCATAGACACAAGTTCATAATTTACAAAACAAAAAAATAACTTTTTGGAAAATGCAATAGCTGAGTTTCTTGTTCATCCTGCTCTGTTGAAATTACAATTGTATCCGTATCCAGTAAATTCCGTAACTATGGATATAGTCCTCAGGTTGACCACTAGATGGAGTTATTATTTTCTATATAAGGCAATGTTAAGATTTTCTGACATGTGTCTAATACAAGAATATATTGAACGAAACAATCATAGCTGTCACAGTTCAAGGCCATATTTATTGATTGTAACCTCAATTATAATATATCTATACTCACGGATGTGAAAAACGGTTTGTCCAGTAATCTTATTCAAATTACAACTCAGTAAAGTCACAAAATTCTTAATTTTAAGCTTACCTTAATAAATTATTTCTTTCCTTTTTTATGAATGAATGAATGAGTATACTTTATTTGCATTATACAATATAGGAAATAAGCAAGCCAATTTACAAACATAACGATACAGTTGTACAAGTACGGTAAGGCGGTCTTATTGCTGAGAGCAATCTTTTCAAGACAACCTTAAGGTAATGGACTAATTGTTGTACAAGTAGGTATGATAGTGCTGTATAAATAAAAAAAGTATCTTTTGCAAATTAAAAAAATATATAAAAATTAAATATACATATTAATCAAACAAAATTATATGTTAAATATGTACCTAATACTAGGATATATATTAATAATTATAGGCACAAGGAAAACAAACTATCATAAAATAAATAATTATATAAATACATAAATAAAGAATGCCAATGTTTGAAATGAAGAAACAATCAGATAGAGAAAATATAATCTTTCACTTGTCGTTTGAAAGCATCGATGGATTTTGTACTTCTAATGACAACAGGCAATGAATTCCATAACTTTATGCATTCTTAATTCTTTTTTTATGCAGTATGATTTTCAATTTTTATATTTTGTCAATAGGCACCAGATATCGGAGATATCATTCGTACTCAAAGCGGTGGCAACCCTAACGGAGTCCATGAAGAAAGCGCCGCCAGGTAAAGTGGACGCCGTCGCTTGGCAGAAGTTAATAGGTGAGTTTTTTTTTTTATTTATTTTATTTAATGACGTAAAATAACGAGATTTTAATATAATCTGTAGTTTGTTTTTAGTATATGTTATATGACTTGTTAGTAATTTATTTTAATAATTGTTTTGTATATAAAAATAATTTCTTTTTATTTATTTTATTTATTTATTTATTTAACACTTCATTGCACCAACATAACAGGATTTGTTGAACAATTTTCAATAAGTATAGTGTAGTACAAAAGGCGGTCTTATTGCTAAGCAATCTCTTCCAGACAACCTTTGGGTAGAAGGAATTTATCCACTATTATGACAGATCTATACTGATTCTTTCGCAAATTAATCTATACACATAAATAAAATTGGAGTGTCCGTTTGTAATATTGAAATAACCGTTTTTAACTACATGTATATGAATTTACGGTACGGTACATACACCAAAAAAAAAAAACATTTTTTACAATTTTTGTCTCTCTGTCTCTCTGTTTGTTCTGGTTAATGTCTGAAATGGCTGGACCGATTTTGAAGGGATTTTTATTGGCAGGTAGCTGATGTAATAAGGAATAACTTAGGCTACGTTCAATTTAGAATTTTTTTTTTATTTTAGAAAAATAAAGTAATGTTGCAATGTCCAAGTACTGACCAGTACCGCGCGCAGTTAGGCGGAACGAAGTTCGCCGGGTCAGCTAGTATGAAGTATAAATAAAGATAGTATCATTTACATTTAATTAATTTTCTGTCGCTAATCTTTCGCCACAGAGCTCCAATATATATAACTGCATACAACTTACTACTATCGGTGACACTACGCGAAAGATCGGTCATTATGTAAATGTAAAAATGCGCTCAACATCTCGTCACTCGGCAGAAGGTCAGCAACGGCCCCATTACCTGTTTTCTTTAATTGCTACACCACTCTCGACGGAGGGTTTTTTTTAATGGATGATAATGGAATGGTAACCCCGTCTGCGCTATCGGTATACACTGGCGGAGCACCAGTGAGGGATGATAGATGAGCATGAAAGCAGGTCTGTTAGCTCATTGTGACGAATGCAACAAGTATTAGTCAAAATGTTTTCCAGGGGGGAACCGCGTGGAGGTCGACCTGACAGGGCTTGCTAGCAATGGGGCCATTAATTCTCACTACTAACAATCCCTTTACCCCCTCGACGGAGAGTTAGCGTTGACAATGTATTACGCTTGGTCGGCTAGCCTGACAAGTCTCTTGAGGAGGGCACTGTGTGTGCAGGGCTGTACCCGCTGCTGGTGCGGCTGGCGGCGTGCGGCGGCGGCGGCGGCGGCGGCGTGGACTCGGTGGGCGCGGCGCTGCGGGAGGCGCTGCTGCAGTACGCCGCGCTGCTGTGTGCGCCGCTATAGCGCCGCGTGCTGTACACCATCCACATATAGAGCACGCGCCTCTAGTGCCCGCCCCGCCCGAGGTGAGCTACTGCCGCAGCACGCCGCTATAGCGCCGCGTGCTGTACACCATCCACATATAGAGCACGCGCCTCTAGTGCCCGCCCCGCCCGAGGTGAGCTACTGCCGCAGCACGCCGCTATAGCGCCGCGTGCTGTACACCATCCACATATAGAGCACGCGCCTCTAGTGCCCGCCCCGCCCGAGGTGAGCTACTGCCGCAGCACGCCGCTATATACACCATCCACATATAGAGCACGCGCCTCTAGTGCCCGCCCCGCCCGAGGTGAGCTACTGCCGCAGCACGCCGCTATAGCGCCGCGTGCTGTACACCATCCACATATAGAGCACGCGCCTCTAGTGCCCGCCCCGCCCGAGGTGAGCTACTGCCGCAGCACGCCGCTATAGCGCCGCGTGCTGTACACCATCCACATATAGAGCACGCGCCTCTAGTGCCCGCCCCGCCCGAGGTGAGCTACTGCCGCAGCATATAGCGCCGCGTGCTGTACACCATCCACATATAGAGCACGCGCCTCTAGTGCCCGCCCCGCCCGAGGTGAGCTACTGCCGCAGCACGCCGCTATAGCGCCGCGTGCTGTACACCATCCACATATAGAGCACGCGCCTCTAGTGCCCGCCCCGCCCGAGGTGAGCTACTGCCGCAGCACGCCGCTATAGCGCCGCGTGCTGTACACCATCCACATATAGAGCACGCGCCTCTAGTGCCCGCCCCGCCCGAGGTGAGCTACTGCCGCAGCACGCCGCTATAGCGCCGCGTGCTGTACACCATCCACATATAGAGCACGCGCCTCTAGTGCCCGCCCCGCCCGAGGTGAGCTACTGCCGCAGCACGCCGCTATAGCGCCGCGTGCTGTACACCATCCACATATAGAGCACGCGCCTCTAGTGCCCGCCCCGCCCGAGTTGAGCTACTGCCGCAGCACGCCGCTATAGCGCCGCGTGCTGTACACCATCCACATATAGAGCACGCGCCTCTAGTGCCCGCCCCGCCCGAGGTGAGCTACTGCCGCAGCACGCCGCTATAGCGCCGCGTGCTGTACACCATCCACATATAGAGCACGCGCCTCTAGTGCCCGCCCCGCCCGAGGTGAGCTACTGCCGCAGCACGCCGCTATAGCGCCGCGTGCTGTACACCATCCACATATAGAGCACGCGCCTCTAGTGCCCGCCCCGCCCGAGGTGAGCTACTGCCGCAGCACGCCGCTATAGCGCCGCGTGCTGTACACCATCCACATATAGAGCACGCGCCTCTAGTGCCCGCCCCGCCCGAGGTGAGCTACTGCCGCAGCACGCCGCTATAGCGCCGCGTGCTGTACACCATCCACATATAGAGCACGCGCCTCTAGTGCCCGCCCCGCCCGAGGTGAGCTACTGCCGCAGCACGCCGCTATAGCGCCGCGTGCTGTACACCATCCACATATAGAGCACGCGCCTCTAGTGCCCGCCCCGCCCGAGGTGAGCTACTGCCGCAGCACGCCGCTATAGCGCCGCGTGCTGTACACCATCCACATATAGAGCACGCGCCTCTAGTGCCCGCCCCGCCCGAGGTGAGCTACTGCCGCAGCACGCCGCTATAGCGCCGCGTGCTGTACACCATCCACATATAGAGCACGCGCCTCTAGTGCCCGCCCCGCCCGAGGTGAGCTACTGCCGCAGCACGCCGCTATAGCGCCGCGTGCTGTACACCATCCACATATAGAGCACGCGCCTCTAGTGCCCGCCCCGCCCGAGGTGAGCTACTGCCGCAGCACGCCGCTATAGCGCCGCGTGCTGTACACCATCCACATATAGAGCACGCGCCTCTAGTGCCCGCCCCGCCCGAGGTGAGCTACTGCCGCAGCACGCCGCTATAGCGCCGCGTGCTGTACACCATCCACATATAGAGCACGCGCCTCTAGTGCCCGCCCCGCCCGAGGTGAGCTACTGCCGCAGCACGCCGCTATAGCGCCGCGTGCTGTACACCATCCACATATAGAGCACGCGCCTCTAGTGCCCGCCCCGCCCGAGGTGAGCTACTGCCGCAGCACGCCGCTATAGCGCCGCGTGCTGTACACCATCCACATATAGAGCACGCGCCTCTAGTGCCCGCCCCGCCCGAGGTGAGCTACTGCCGCAGCACGCCGCTATAGCGCCGCGTGCTGTACACCATCCACATATAGAGCACGCGCCTCTAGTGCCCGCCCCGCCCGAGGTGAGCTACTGCCGCAGCACGCCGCTATAGCGCCGCGTGCTGTACACCATCCACATATAGAGCACGCGCCTCTAGTGCCCGCCCCGCCCGAGGTGAGCTACTGCCGCAGCACGCCGCTATAGCGCCGCGTGCTGTACACCATCCACATATAGAGCACGCGCCTCTAGTGCCCGCCCCGCCCGAGGTGAGCTACTGCCGCAGCACGCCGCTATAGCGCCGCGTGCTGTACACCATCCACATATAGAGCACGCGCCTCTAGTGCCCGCCCCGCCCGAGGTGAGCTACTGCCGCAGCACGCCGCTATAGCGCCGCGTGCTGTACACCATCCACAATATAGAGCACGCGCCTCTAGTGCCCGCCCCGCCCGAGGTGAGCTACTGCCGCAGCACGCCGCTATAGCGCCGCGTGCTGTACACCATCCACATATAGAGCACGCGCCTCTAGTGCCCGCCCCGCCCGAGGTGAGCTACTGCCGCAGCACGCCGCTATAGCGCCGCGTGCTGTACACCATCCACATATAGAGCACGCGCCTCTAGTGCCCGCCCCGCCCGAGGTGAGCTACTGCCGCAGCACGCCGCTATAGCGCCGCGTGCTGTACACCATCCACATATAGAGCACGCGCCTCTAGTGCCCGCCCCGCCCGAGGTGAGCTACTGCCGCAGCACGCCGCTATAGCGCCGCGTGCTGTACACCATCCACATATAGAGCACGCGCCTCTAGTGCCCGCCCCGCCCGAGGTGAGCTACTGCCGCAGCACGCCGCTATAGCGCCGCGTGCTGTACACCATCCACATACAGACATACACCATATGCGTTTCTAGTTTTAAGAAATTAGTGACAACCCTAAAATTTTATATAACGTATCTTTCTTATTTCATTCACAGATTCAAATAACTAGATGTGTATAGCCGGGCTGCAGCACAACATTCGCTTGCTACACAATCGAAATACAATAAGTACCGAAATTTAAGAGATATGGCGACACGGCGCCGTGTTGCAGAACTTGAACGAACTATTTTTAGTGATCTCTAAACCATAGACAAGTTGAATGGCGTCGCTACAGAAAATCTACGTATTTCTGGTACGGTACAAATGTATTGTCGGGCAAATAGTGATTATTTATTTTAATAGTAAAAACAAAGAATAATATAAAAGTGTTTTCAGTAATTTTATTAATTTAAAGGAATTTGCTAGCAATTGTAACATTAGGCATAAGATGGCGGCACGTCAAATACAATCGGAATTTTTAGTTAGTTCCTTTTATAGCAATTCTAAGATGTGATATCACTGGGGGGCAATTCTGAAACGCCATTTCTCTATCTATTTGATATTATCTATTTGATAATATTACGAAATTAATGGATTTTGAACTATAATAAACTAAAATTATAATTTTTATTTACGAGTAAATCTATTGTAAAATAAGTTCATATTGGTCCTTCGAAAAATTTCGTTGTAATGTGTAAATTAGAAATTTAATTCTAGAGGTAGAGTAAGAGACACGGCGCCTCAGAATCGACGCCATTGGCTCATATTGTTTTTGAAAAATGACGGATAATTCAGATATTGCCACACTTCAAAGTTCACTGTACTAAAGTATCAACACTCTTAAAACAATAAGTTCACTGTACTAAAGTATCAACACTCTTAAAATTATTTGTTAATTAAATATGATTTTTGTGACAACCCTTGCGTTAATTAACCACTATATGAAATTGTAATTATTCTATAATTTGTCATGTTATTTTATTTCATCATCATCATCATTATATCAGCTTTTAACTGTCCACTGCTGGACATAAGCTAACACCAGAGTTTTACCAGCAGTTAGGCTTTGGAGATGTTTTAAGATGGACGCTGCTGCCCTTCCCTTGCACTCCCTTAGTCGCCTCTTACGACACCCACGGGGGAGGAAGGGATGGCCTATTCTATGTATAGGCCGGGACCACACGGAATGTTGTTTTATTTATTTATTATACAATAAATATACAAATACAAGTACATGGCACTCCACACTTGGTGAAACTGTCGCGGGTGTCCATAAAAAGATTAATTACATCACTTATAATTATAACGAAGTAACTGACAATATGTTTGTATCGTACTTGTATATATATGTTGCAGGCAAAACTCTCAACCAGTCAAAAATATTATTGACTAGCAAAATCAGTCAAAAACCAACTTTTGACTGTGTGCTTTAGTCAAAACTACTTTTGATCAATCTGTTCAGTTAAGCATACGCTTAAGTCAATAATCTCTTTTCATTTAAAAGTCTCCTCTTATCGGTGCAACTAATTCATGCATCTTCCTCCAGCCAGCTCTATCCCAGGCCATATCCTTGACCTCCCCAAACGACATGACACCTAGTGTTTCTTTTACCTGTCCCATGTAGTTATTCCTCGGTTCTCCTCTTCCCTTTTGCCCTCTATTTTTCCCTCTACTATGCTCTTAAAAAATCATCATGTCGTATAAGGTGGCCCAGCATTTTGTCTCTTATATTCTCTATTATTTTAATTAATGTTCTTTTCTCGTTCAATCTTTTGAGGACTTCCTCATTCGTTAGTTTTTCTGTCTAGCTTATCCTTTCCGTTCTCGTCAATGTCCACATTTCGATAGTCAATAATACTTTTTACTAAGATAAAAGTTAAAAGTACCTTTTTTTTTACGTGGGGAAAAAACCCACCACGTGTTCCTCGGCTACGACTAACGGCAGCGTTGCTGCGATTCCGTTTTAGTTAATAGTACCTAAGCTAACCTAACCGCAAATTTGCAAAAGTACTAATAACCAATAATTTTTCAGTCAAAACCACTGTTTGTAAAATATGCTGGTTCTTGTTGTATATAGGTATTATTTATCCTTAGTATTTAATTATATTATTATTTATATTATATTAAAATTATATCATTTGTAAAGTACAAATTGCCGTCTGTTGACTTGAAGTATATTATATATTTTTTGTTCTATTTCAATTGTTTATAAATTTTTCTTTTTTATAAAATAACTACAAATGTCATCGTATGTAAAAAGGTTAATTTTAAACAACCACTTTTGACCAATCTGTTCAGTCAAAAGTACTTTTGTCTGATTTTGCTAGTCAATAGTACTTGTGACTGGTTCAGAGTTTTGACTGCAACATATACATATACAGTTAATAAAAATCATTCCCAATGTTTGTAGAGTTGTTATTATTTAATATAATTAGTTTGTTTACTTTGTATATACAGTGAATAAATTTTAATATATACATATTGTTAACAGTTTTCATTGCAATCTCACGAAGTTTGTAGAGTCCTTGAACTAGCATGCTGTCTTTATCATTTAAATGAGGCAGAAAGAGACGGCTGTAGAACATCGACGGTTAACTGTAAATTTCTCCTGAATAAAATGGGCAGAATTTTACAAGAGACGCAAAATATATAGTAATTTTGAATTAATATGTTAATATGAATTATTTATATCTTAAAATAATTATTATTTTATTTATATAACTTTTGTGAATGTCAGTTAGGAGGTTTTAGTGGTTAACCGACGATGTGTCTATATGCTAATACAAACATAAATTACATAAATAATAGCCTTAGAAAAAAAAATAGTATTCTATTCGCTAGCATCCCAGCCTAGACTCTAAAAACGAGGTTAGAATAGAAAAACAATAGTTAACCTAGTTGATAGTTAAAATAACGAATTTGATGCATCATAGAGTTTAACAAATCTAGTTAGATATTATAAAATGATATACGAAATAAAAAGGGAACAGTGGTGTGCGTGTGAGACATTTTTTTATACGAGGAGGTGGCACGCATACGGCCCGCCTGATGACAAGTGATTGTGTTGAGAAGTTAAAAAATTAGAGAATGATTACAAATGGTATTTGCTGTTCAGTTTTTATTTCGTGAGCGTAGAATTTTTGTAACGTAGTTTTTTGTTTGTTGTTACCGATAGTTAGCGTTAATTTAAGCTAAAGATTTCTGTGTTGCCACCATCAAAATAATGAAAATTATTACCATTATAATAAATACACGTTTTAACTTTCTTTTTTAAATTTGAAAAATAATATACATATTTTATATATAATAATATTTTACACAAAAAATATGTGCAACGCTCTCGTATATATATATATATATATATATATATATATATTTGTTATATAGCAGGAGTGGCCAACCGATAGATCGCGATATGCCACTCGATCGTAGCAAGGCAAACAATATAAAATTTTGCTAATCTAGCAGAAGATTCTTAGACACAATGCTCACATTAATATAAATAAGTTGTTACGAAGAGTAATTTTCAGTTTTATGTTTTCCCTCTTAATAAAGTAAAAAATACTACAGTACTACATAATTGTGTACTGAACTATGTTGTTTCATTTGAGATTTCAAGAAGTATGCAATTGGTAAATCTCAAGGAGTTTCGTCAGTAAATAGTAGATCTTGGATCTAGTATAGAAGCCACCCCTGCTATATAGGCATGATAATAAAAAAACAAGGTAACACTTTTGTGTACATATCGTCATAGTCGTAGAATACTGACGGACCTGACAAATATTACATATATAGATCCGTCAGTATTCTACCACTATGACGATATATGAATACACACAAAAACCTATTAGTATTTGTTCAGGAAAACTAATTAACCCTTCTTTGGATAATGGTGGAAATTTCCATCATAACATTGAATGCCCAAAAATTTTATACAAGAACAAGTTGACTTTAAGTTGATCGTGTCTGGATACCTTTTTAATGTCCATTACAGAAAAAAAACATAGCTGTCAAATTTACTTTCTTTAACCATTTTTCCTTTAATTTTGAACATGAATTATATCACCTTGATTTATTTCACCAATAAAAAAAATCATGCAAAGAAGGGTTAAGCATCACATAAAGGGGGAATAAATACTGTAATAATAATTTGTATAGAGGTACATTTAAGTGAAAAATACGCCATAAAATCAGTTCGTTTCAGAAAATACTCTGTATGCAATAATTAATTTTGCTAAGTCATATATAAATTATAATATTATAATAATCTCGATTTATAAGCAGGTAATTGGTTTCATTAGCTGTTTACAATTTCAAAATGAGTGTGACCGATTTCAATGTGTTATTTTAAAGATTAGTCTATCAATAGTTTTTACTATATCTGACGCAAATATGTTCGCTGCATCGAATTTTTACTTTATTTAGCATTAGCTACTTGTGCTGACTTTACACGTGTGTACAAATGAAGAAAATGTACTTTCCTATACATTTTTCTTTCATACAAAATTAGTTCTGACAATTAGAAACACACCAAAAAAAGAATAAGTCAAATATATGTTGCCATTCAGAAGTTATGTGCTTACATATATTCGGAAGTTGATTTTTATTTATATAGATTTGTATATGCACTTGATGGTGGTATTTTGCGATAATTATTTGAAATAACTAATGTAATTTATTTTGTAATCAACTTACATTTTGCGTGCAATTCATATTTTATAGTAGCCATATAATAGCTTTACTAAACTAATATTTTCTTTAACATGATCCCTGGTCTTATAACATCCATTAAGTGTTTTTAAACATTTAGTCCTTTGATTGAATACTGGGGCAGATTCTGAGACGCTATTATTCTATATCTAAAATTAAAATTTCAAAACATAGTAAATTCACATGGAAATGTTTATTTTAAGTACCTAAATGTAAATTAAATTCTCTTTTCCGCACTAAACCTCTAATTTTTTTTAATTTATTTATTTATAGGAAAACCAGGGCAACACTAGAGCAAAAAGATACAGTTTAGGATCACAAAATAAGCCAGTAATAGGTTTTCACAAGTAGTTTAATGGTTGATAATGGAATGGTTACCCCGCCTGCGTGATTTATATACACCGGCGGGGCACCAGTGAGGAATGATAGGTAAGGATAAAGCAGGTCAGTTAGCCCACCGTGACGAATCTAACAATAAATCAATCACGATGGTTTCCAGGGGGAACCGCGAGGAGGTCGACCTGGCATAGTATATTGCTAGCAATGGTGCTACTAATCCTTATTACTAACAATCCCTTCTCCCCCTAAGCCTCTCATTTGGTTCATTGTACGTGTAAGTCGTAGGTAGTAAAGCCAGCTAAGCTCTGCCCAGAAACAAAGAGCCTTCTGGGATCTTTACAGGCCTCACGGAGCGATCTCACTGTTCTGAGGATTTCTAAACGTCGAAGGGCCACAGCTTCACATTCCTGGATTACGTGAATAGTATTTTTTTAGCGTCAAAACAGCCTCGGTATAGACGGCTATCTATGGCTCCTCCTGTATATAATTTTTTTTTTTATACAACTTGGAATGGCAAACAAGCTGACGGCCCACCTGATGGAAAGTGGTAACCGTCGCCTATAGACATGAGCAGTACCATGGACATAACAGATTATACTGTTTCGGCCCATGATACCTCCCATGCGTTGCCATTCCTGAGGACAGGTGATGTCGTAATGGGTGATAATGACATTATTCCCACCATCAACTATTCAAAACAACCCAATATATAGATATTAGAGTAGCACCATGGAGGGTATCATGGGCGAAACAGTATATTCTGTTATGTCCATGGTACCGCTCATGTCTAGAGGCGATTGTTACCACTTTCCATCAGGTGGGCCGTCAGCTTGTTTGCCATTCTAAGTTGTATAAAAAAAAATATTATCCATGTCTATAGCAGGTAGAGCATTGCAATACCACAGTGTGGTTAACTCACGAACAAAGCTCACATGCAAAGAATCTACTTCCAATGAGTTACCATCACAGTTATAACAAAAACAAAAGTAAGTGGGCGGATGTTCCAATGTACTGCAGTGCAGAGCTGCTCAAACCAACGGGTCTACCATTAAATGAAATTCCGAATTTTCGTACTCAATTTCGTGTTTTTGTTTATACCAAAATCGGACCAATAAATGGAGTTTAATATCTCGTTCGTCATACATCCTATCATAAAAGTTCAAAAGAACGATATTTTATCATTTTTAATATTTCCAACCGGTATGTGTTATGTAATTTTAACATCAAATTTCTGTTTCGTTTGGCTCCGAAATTTCCGAAAACATTTCATGGTAGGCCCTCAGATCGTTCGATCATTCTCTAGTCAACACTTAGAATATGCAGAGATACTAGATGGCGGTTTAAATAATAAAATAATATAATCTTCCAAAATAATTTTATAAAATCAAAATTTTCATATTTATGGTAGATCAAGAATAGGTTGTTGGCTACACGAAGCTGCATGCGGCCCGCGAGCCGTACTTTGGGCAGCTCTGTTGTAGTAAAAATGTTCCTTACTAGCTAATTAACACGACGTGCGCATGGAATTTGACGCCTCTCGTTCTTTTGGGAATTTCGAATAATTTCTTAACAATAAGCATTTCTATTTCGTGTTTCTGACAATTTTCTTTTATACTCGTAGGTATCTTAAATATTGATTTCTGATAATAATCAATGGCGTAACTATACCATTTGTAAACGATCATTGTAGCCTATGGGCGCCTGCAATACAGTGTCACGTGATCGTTGCTGACCCTGAAGAAACCTTAATACGCCCTTTTTGAAGAACTGTAGTCTCTAGGGAAAACCTAGGCAGCTAGGGCAGCTAGGGAGCTCATTCCACAGCCTGATTGTTCCTGAGAGGAAATAACCTCTGGAACCGTACTATACGTGAGCATTTAGGTTTGACCTTACTCCTTAGTAGAATGTTAAAAAAATTAATAAATATTCATATACAGGGATCATGTTAAGTTACAAATATAGATATACGAATATATACTGATTTGGATACATCATAAAACATTTTTTTTTATTATTATTATTATTTAGACCTAAACATATCCTTTCCTAATAAAAATAAATAACAAAAAACAGCTAAGAACATTATAGAATAATTAAATTCAATAAGCGATAAATGTATGATATTAATCTTACACGCGTCAATAATATGACTGCATTATAATAGGTTATTTATGTGTACAGTTTATTTCGATAGAACTAAGTGGAAAAGTGTGATAATTTAAACAAATTTTGTTTAAATTAACACAGTAATACGCACTAAATTATTAACAGATCTAAATATTCAAGGGTTTTTTTTATTTGCACTACTGTTGGAAAACAGTAGTCTTGTGTTTGAGTTAATTTTAATTTGTTTACATTTTCATCGAATTCTATTGATACACACTATATTTGTTTTTTTTTTTTTATATTTATTTTAATTCTTACAGAGTACTTTTCTGTTAAAAATTAATATGTTCTATACATTTAATAATTAACTCTGCGAATCATCCATAACCTCCTCAATCCAGAATGAGAAGGGTAGGCCTTCTTATACAGGGTGGAAAAGAAATAAATTCTACCAGTAAAACTCAACATTTTGTAGAAATATAATATATCGAGTCCAAAAACAATAAGTATATGACGACCATAATAGTCGTGGGTTCGATCCCTGTAAAATACAAACATTTACATTAAAAAACATACATTCACAGCGATTTGTGTAATTAGTCCAGTGATATTTATTTATTTTTCAGCCACATATACTAACTAGTAGAAAAAAAATACTTTTTTAAAAGCATGCTATTTTGATTCCACCCTGTATATAGGTCTGTCGCGAGAGATCACAGATATATTTATTGACGTATCAAAGTTTGTACCTACTACTATTAATTTTATTATAATTCTAAGCTTCCATTTCTAATAAGATTTCACATAAATGTATGGTTTCTGTTAAAGATGTAATGTGATTGCATCTGTGTGGATATTATTTGTAATAAATTATTATGTTCTAAGGCGACGATTGTTTTAAACAACACCTAATATTAAAATTTTATAATAACATTGCGACCGATTCTGTAACATTCTTGGTCTCATGGTAACTTGTAACACGGGTCTTTACATAATTAAATGTTTTGTTGAATCTATAAATTATGTTCTAATATATTTTTTTTTCTATAAACTTAAGAACCTGTACCAGGTATTACACCTCTACAATGAACAGTATATCGTCATAGTCGTAGAATACTGACGGATCTATATATGTAATATTTGTCAGATCCGTCAGTATTCTACGACTATGACGATATATCTATTGTTAAGTTAAAACACACGTCTAGGTGTTTAAGAGTTCTACAATGAGTTATTAGTCATTACATTATTCAAATATTAATTTTATATAGTTTGCAAAATAAGTAGTCATCCATTTTCGTAGGTGTTGTTTGACTGTGGCGTCAGCCTTAAAAGGATCGCACGCGTGCAAGCGACCAAACTGGTCAGAGCGCGCCATGTGTTATTCTGACGTATGTACCTATATTGGGAGTTATGTTGTTATTTAAATTAATTAAATTGTATTACATTGATGAGAAGTTTTATTTCTTTCATTTTATAATATTCCTACTTAGGGGGAAAAGGATTGTTAGCAATAGAGTTTGACAGCCCCATTGATAGCAATGTACCTTATTAGGTCGACCTCCACGTGGTTCCCCCTGGAAACCATCGTGGACAATTCTTGTTGAATTCGTCATGATGGGCTAACTGACCTGTTTCATCTTCACCTATCATCCTTCACTGGTGCCCCGCCGGTGTATACCGATAGCGCGGGTGGGGTTACCATTCCATTATCATTCATTTAAAAAAAAAATCCTAGTTTCCTCAATCGCGGATTTTTTTATGCAACTTAGAATGGGAGACATGAACAGTACTATGAATATAACAGAGTATACTATCTCCCATGATACTCTTTATACGTTGTCATTCGTAAGGACTAAGATGGTATGCCTCTGTATCCTGTAATTTCATTGCCATATCCCACTCTTCAAATCGAAACAGCCATGTAAACATAATTGCTTCACGGCGGAAACTCGAATAGGACAGAGGTACTTAAGCAAACGAATATTATAGGCGGGAGAGTGACTGTAAGTAATGTAGTCTAATAGCCCCACTACTAAAAAAATACTCTATCAGGTCGACCTTAACGCGGTTTCCCTGGAAATCATAGTGGTTAATTCTTGTTCAATTCAACACGGTGGACTAACTGACCTGCTTTCATCCTTTCCTTACCTATCGTCACTCACTAGTGCCCCGCCTGCATATACAGTTAGCGTAAGCGAAGTTACTATTCCACATTCACCTATTTCTTTTATTTTTTATGGGTAAAAATGTAACCCCACCTGCGCTAACGGGATACGCTGGCGGAGCACCAGTGAAGGGTGATAGATGATAATGAAAACAGGCCAGTTAGCCCATCATAATGAGGAATTAACCATGATAGTTTCCAGAGAGAACCGCGAGTAGGTCGACCTAGTTGGGTATATTGCTAGCAATGGGATTCTCAGTCTCCATTACGAACAATCCCTTTCCCCCCATTATCACCTATTTAAAATAATAATGCGAAAGTTTAAAAATATTCACCTATTAAAAAAAAAAAGCTATCTTTATACAAAATCTCTCTCTAGTTATATAATAAAATTAAGCTTAGAACTGTTTAAACAGCCCAATTTTATTGTATTTACAAAATACAGCTGTCTAATCTAATCTAGCAAGAGCATAGTATATATAATTTAAGAGTAGCTTCTATACGTTTAAAGGTACCACGACATAGAACTGCAAGTTTTCAGAGAGGGTTCAAATATGCAGCTTCCAAGATCTGGAATGACCTCCCGCCTCCCATACGAAATTTAAAAACAACTTATACTTTTAAAAATTATGCTAAAAACTATTATTTAAATCTACAAAAAGCATGTAGCTCCTTGTGATTGCATAACATTGCTGCTTCGTTGTATAATGTAGTGTTATATTGTTAATATAAGTTAAGTTAATAATGTTGTATTGTTATTGTATTATTGTTGTACATATCTATATGGGTATATCTTGTCAGTTAAGTGTATGTATGTATGTATATGTATGTGTTGTGTGTGTGTGTGTGTGTGTGTTTATGTATATGTAGGTATGTATATGTGTATATGTAGGTGTATGTATGTATATATATATATATATATATATATATATATATATATATATATATATATATATATATATATATATGCGTATGTTTGCTGTCGTCGTTGATGTCACGTATGGGCACCACAGAATATCAGCCTGTAGCAATTAAATTGCTGCAGCACATGCTGGATGGTGACCATGTTGGCAATATAAATGTAAAGCTTGCTTTTTTTTTTTTTTTTAATTCATAATGTATGTAACTTTTTGTTGTTGTCAATAAATGTTTTCTTTCTTTCTAATCTCTATTGAAGTTTGTTAGCTCTTTGAATGCTATATTCAAAGCAGAGGATGGGATATCCTTGAAAGCGAGCGAGAGACGGCGTTAAAATTGTAACTGAATACATTAGTTCGTTGATCCCCAATCTGAGTCTTAAAATAGAGGATATAAAATTAAACGCCAACGCACTTCCTAAGACTGCATGGCCTTTTGGGTTTGTTGCTCTGTAGAAATTCAGACTGTAGCCATGAGTCTAAATGGTAGGTAAATAATGGAAACAATTTTTACATATAATAATGCAATTATGTATGTCTTAACTACTAAGATTGATATTTTTTTTTATAAGTGATAATGGAATAGGACACCAGTAGAGGGATGATAGGTAACAATGAAAAGGCACGTCAGTTAGCCCATCGTGACGAATACACCTGGAATTCAGCACGATGGTTTTCATACACATATACATTTAAATGCACCTGTATTTAACCACTATGGTTTACAAACGATTGTTTTTATCCTCACTGGTGTTCTGCCATTGAAAACTGATAGGGCAGGCAGAATTACCATACCACGTGGATGTTGACCTGACAGGGTATATTGCTAGCAATAGGACTGGTAGTCCGCATTACTACAGAGGAATAACTCACGAGTCCTCAGGAATGGCAACGTATGGGAAATATCATGGGCGAAACAGTATACTCTGTTATGTCCATGGTACCGCTCATGTGTATAGGCGATGGTTACCGCTTTTCATCCGGTGGGCCGTCGGCTTTTTTACCATTCTAAGTTGCATACAGATATTTTCTTTAAACCAAGTTTGTAGTAAATACTTTTGTACTTATATCGACATAAGATTACGAATATTGCATTGGAGGGAAAGCGATTGTTAGTAATGGAGACTAAAAATCCCATTGCTAGCAATATACCCAACCAGGTCGACCTCCTCGCGGTTCCCCCTGGAAATTGTCATGGTTAATTCCTGATGAATTCATCATGATGGGCTAACTGGCCTGTTTTCATTCTCATCTATCACCCTTCACTGGTGCTCCGCCAGCGTATCCCGTTAGCGCAGGCGGGGTTACCATTTCATTTTCACCCATAAAAAAAAATATATATATAATGCATTCTGGTGACAGATAAAAGTGTACGAATCTCTAGATTCATAATATACCTGGATTGCCTGGAAGAGACCGCTTTTAGCGGTACAATCGCCTATTGTTTTCTGACTTTATTTCTTGTAATTGTTTGTATCTATAATAGGTTTACTATTGTAATATTTTGGAGGAAACAATAAAGTGTTATTAAGTGTTGTTAAGTGTTAGTTATCTACCTACCTGTGTAAACAAGTATATCCAGTTATAATCTAATAAAGTCATGACAAAGTGATGTCACCCGCCCACCACGACCGCCGCTCTTGGTCTCATTGCCACAGGCACCACTTTCAATAAAATATTACATCATGCCGATCATAATATGACATACTTATTGCTATGTGGGTAGCTGCCCAAGTTTATTTATGAGAACTTTGATAACTATAAATTTTTTATACCTGTCGTATGAATTTTTTAATAATATGTGAAAACAGAATGGTAACATCGCTTTTGCAGGATTCCCTTCAAAACGAACTTCCGCCGCTTGTACTATGAGTATACACTGGAAGGGTACTAGTTTACCAGAGGGAGACTTTGTACAAAAGTCGATTGCTTAGGTACCTCTGTCTCATTCGTGTTTCAACCGTGAAGCAGTTGTGTTTGCACGGCTGTGTTTCGGTTAGAAGGGTGGGATATGGCGTGAATTTACTGGGTACAGAGGAATAACACCTGAGTCCTCAGGAATGGCAACGCATGATGGGTATCATGGGCGAAACAGTATACTCTGTCATGTCCATGGTACTGCTCATGTCTATAGGCGACGGTAACCACTTTCCATCAGGTGGGCCGTCAGCTTGTTTGCCATTCTAAGTTGTATAAAAAAAAAACAAAAACTAGTTAGGGATCGTAGGCGGATTGTTAGCAGTACTGACTACCAGTCCCATTGCTAGCAATATACTTTGTCAGGTCGATCCCACGTGGTCCCTCCTGGGAGCCATCGTGCTAAATCCCAATTGTATTCATCACGATGGGCTAACTATCTTACCTTTTCATTCTCACCTATTATCTCTCTTTGACGCCCCGCCAGCGTATACGGTTAGCGCTGGCGGGATTACCATTCCATTATCCATATTATAAAATAGATCAATTGGTCCATCGTAACAAATTCGATAAGAATTAACTACAATAGTTTTCAAGGAGATCGATATCAACCGGTTGAAATTCGACCTGATAAGGTCAATCAATATCAGGTCAACCTACAAACGGTTACTCCCGGAAGCCATCGTGGTTAATTCTTATTGAATTCGCTACTATGGGTATCATATCTTACTAGTGTTACCATTCCATTTTAACCCAAAAAAAAAAAATAAGTTAATTATGATGAATTTAACCGCTATGGATTACAAAGATTGTTTTTATTTTCACTGGTGTCCTACCATTGCATACCGATAGCGCAGGAAGAATTATCATTTCCTTCATTTTTTACCAATAAAAAAGGGTACATAACTATTCCGTATAGAATTTTTAAATAACACCAAATAACAAGACTACAGCATGGGGTTCTTCAAAAGGGGTGTAAAGCGTTTTTTTCGGGGTCGGCAATGTGCGCGTAATAAACCTGATATTGCAGGATTTCATAGGCTACCATAACTACTTACCATCAAGTGGGCCGTATGCTTGATTGCCACCTTAGTGGTATAAAAAAAACAAGTAATCATGATGTAATGACCGTTTTACTGTCACTGTCACTAGTTCATTATCTGTCAATTTGACAGCTCATGTGACATATTTATTTTTGTATCTATGTTTATAACCACTCATCAATCAAACGAATTTAATTAAAAAAAACTATTTTAATTTACATTAAGAATTGAATGTAAAAGTTTTTTTTAATTTTTTTTTCTGGTGTGATATATAAATTTTAGTGATAATGAAGTAATTGTGTGTTTCTTGTAATTATTGAAACGGAACTGTATTATTTAAATAAATAACCTACTTTCCGTTTTAATTTAGTTTTCTTTTAGTAGTAGTAGATTTACTTTTTGCTAATTTCCAAAATATGGATTCTACGGATACTATGGATAAAGGGGAGTTATGGGTACATAAGATCCTTGCTGACAGAGATAGCATCAAACCAAGTCGTGCCCAATTACGAGTATTTATAGAATATTTAGAAGCGAATCCAATGTTATTGTATCATCATGACAAAACAAACGCAGCGAAACACGCAAGGAGAATGGAATGGTATAAATTATCTAAGAAATTAAATGCTATTTCAGGTGCTAATAAGAGCCCGGCTGCATGGATGAAGGTCTGTGAAATATTATAAGTATATAATATATGAGGGTATCCACTGACCTAATTTATATTATATGACAGAATTGTTTTTTTTTTATCTACTAAATACATTTTCCTATTATAGATTTACAAGTAAATATGGCAAATATTTTTTTCTTTAATATATTTTTACTTGCAACTTCCTCTGTGTGACTGGGATATGTTAATTAACTAGAATAAAAAACAACCTATATGCTTCTCTATATGATGTGTGCATACTAAATTCCATAGTGCCAATAATTTTTTTTTAATGAATGATAATGAAATAGTTACATATTTGCACTATTGGTATACACTGGCAGGGTATTAGTGAGAGATAATAGATGATGATGATGATGAAGTTGGTCAATTGGCTCATCGTGACAATTTTAACAATAAATCAATCATGATGGTTTCCAGGGGGAACCAAATAGAGGTCGACTTGATAGGATATATTGCTAGCAATGGGATTGCTAAAGATCTATTACTAAAGATATTGCTCTATTACTAAAGATTCCTTCCCCCCTTCATAGTGATTGTATAGGCCATTTTTTTGTATGGGTGAAAATGGTACAGTAACCCTGCCTGTGCAAACGGGATATGCTGGCGGAGCACCAGTGAAGGGTGATAGATGAGAATGAAAACAGGCCAGTTAGCTCATCATGATGAATTCATCAGGAATTAACCATGATAGTTTCTAGAGAGAACTGTGAGGAGGTAGACCTGGTTGAGTATATTGCTAGCAATGGGATTCTCAGTCTCCATTACTAACAATCCCTTTTCCCTCTGGTTAGGCCATTAACCCTAAGAACTAACATAAACACACTCATATTTATTTTTTGTAACAATAATGGTTTGGTAATTCACTTCTTATATTGGTTTACACTTGTTACCCCATCACTTATGGGTAACAGGTGAGAATGAAATTGCATCAATTAATCTATCATAATCAATTTATTATTATTACAATTGTTAACTGTCCACTGCTGGACATAAGCCTTCCCTATAACAGGACTTTGCTTGGCAATCCTGTTATGGGGTCAAGTTGGCAGGCGGGTTGGCAACAAAAGTTAAGCTTTTAGAGATGTTTTAAGAGAGACACTGCTGCCCATCTTTCGTCCTCCTTTAGTCAGCTGTTACGATACCCATGGGAAGGAGATGGGGTGGCCTATTCTATGCTGGGACACAAATGTCCGTAACGGATAATAAATTTGCCAGAAATTAATATGTAGCCTTAACCTGAGCTAATTCATGGTCCCCTTTGGAAAACATGGTGGTCAATGCTTAATGAAATCTTTACAATAGCACAACTAACCATTTATTTGCCTTCAGCCTTCATCCTTCATTGGTATCTCCTTAGCAAATACCGGTAGTGCAGGTAAGAATGAAATGTTAAATTCCATTTTCAGCCCTTAAAAAGCCAATAGGAACAATCTGACCTATAATGCTAGCTTAAAGGTCAAGGAAAGGGCAATGGTACCTATCTTAAATCATCACCAAAGCCTAAATAAGGTTGCCAACCTGTCAACAGGTTGCCAAACTGTGGCAACTACTGGCAAAACCCTTCAATAGGGGGAGCCCTATCTTCAACAGTGGATAGTTAATGGCTGACATGATGTTGACGACCTATAGTGATTATACTATGCTCTTTATGCCTTCCCATCCCATATATATACCAAGATAATTATATATATATATATATATATATATATATATATATATATATATATATATATATTATTAACTTATTATTTATTTCATTGCTGTTGTCTGTTTGCTTATTAGCAAAGGCCTCCTCCAACTGCCTCCAATGGTCTCTATTGCTAGCAATTCTTGTCCAAATTCCACCTGCTTCAGCCCTAATGTCATCTACCCATCTTCTATGTGGCCTTCCTCTTCACCTTTTTTTGTCTTTTGTGTACCAAAACATTATCATTTTACTCCATTTATCTCTCTCTCTAATTGTGTGCCCTGCCCATTTCCATTTAAGATTTTTAACTGTGGCAGTAACATCTTTAGTTTTTATGTGTTTTTTAATTGTGCTAATTTTAATTCTGTCTGATAATCTTATCCCCATCATACTTCTTACCATGGCGTTCTGGCAATTTTGTAGTTTTTTAAAGTGGGATTTGGTAAGAGCCCAGATATATATCATGTATAGAGATATATGTTATTACTAGCGATCCAACCTGGCTTCTTACAAGTAGATAGATATTTTTAAAATCAATACATATAATAAAAAAAGTTTCAGCCAATTTAACTCATCGGTTATTTTAGAGCATTTTATATATGATTTTTTAGAATGATATAACTTTTTTTTATTAAAATAAACCAAACTCTAAATGTTAAGTAAAGGTAACCGCAACGCATTAGTAAAAACCGCATTCAAATTGGTTAAGCCATTTCTGAGATTAGTGTGTACAGACAAACAGACAAAAATTCTAAAAATAATTATTTTGTATTCTATTGCGTTCATATAGCCCCCTATAACAGTTTTTCTTATATATCTTCCATGTACAGACGGCGACCCGTTACGATTTTATTATATGTATTGATTTATAATATATTTTTTTAATTTTTATTCCAGTTTTGGAGGGACAAAAAAACTTATTTAAGAAGGCTCGAAGAAAGAAGAGCCTTAGCTGTAAAAAGCGGTGCTACCGTATTTCCACTATGTGCCTTAGATGACAGGCTTCTCCAATTGGCTAAGGAAAATGACAAATTCCTACTAGCAAAAACGGTAGCTTTACCATTAGAGATGGCACCTTCAGATCCATTATCTGATGAAATAACACACAATAATATTATTGGACATGAACCATTTATTGAAAAGGTATGTTTAAGTGTAATTTATTAGTAAAAAGTTAATATGCAATCAAAAGTAAAGAAACATCTGAAGTCTATTAACTATGACGATATTGAAAACATGCTCATGATAATCATATAAATAAAAATACCGTTCATATACACACACACACAGACAGAGAGAGAGAGAGAGATGCACACAGACACACAGCCACGCACACACACAGACACACAGCCACGCACACACACACACAGCACACACAGCCGCACACACACACGCACACAGAGACAGAGAGAGAGAGAGACACGCACGTACGCACACACACAGACACGCACGCACGCACGCACACATACGTAGGTGTAGTTATCCATACACATCCTACAGCATGCACAAATCTTTATAAATTTACGTTTACCACTTTCCATCAAGTGGGCCGTTAGCTTCCATCAAGTTGTATAAAAAAAAACTTATTGATTTTACAGTTACATAGTACCTATCTGTACTAACAATTCTGCTTCTCTGGATAAATATTATATACTCAGTAATCTATAAATACATCTTTTTCAACCGACTTCAAAAAAGGAGTCTTTCAATTTGGTTGTATTTTTCTTATGTTTGTTACCTCATTAGTTTATCAACTGTAAACTGGTATGGGAAATTCTTCTTTTATCTGAAAGGATATATTTTCAAATTGGTCCCATAGAAATTTTATCAAAATCGGCTCAGCAATTTAGTTTTTAATTCAAAATAACTGCTTTTGTCACAATCGAAGTCAGTTTTTTTTTTTTTTTTTTAGGAACACGATCTTAAATTACTATTATATTTGTAGTACTAAATAATTTTGGCCGAGAAATGTTCGGCCATATTACCGGACATTTATAAACAAATTTTGTTTTAATTACCTACTTGTACATAACAAATAGTACCATTTTTTTTTATTTTTTCAAAGGTTAAAATATAGACAGATCTGAAGTAATTTAGAACCGACCAAGCATTAAACCCGGGACCTCATTTTACGTAGAATGTTACTTAATACATCGTGCAGTTCGTTTGTTTCGGAAGATAGTGATTGTTTATTATTTGTAGGAAGAGAAACTAGAAGAAGACTCTTCACCACCTTATTCACCTTCGCTCCCTATGGCAGATGCATCAACCGCGCCTTCGGAACTCTCCTTCCCACCAGAGACAGCCGCGCCCCATACAAATAAGAACTTCGAAGAAATTCGTAGTTTTGAACGAAGAGGTATGCCAAGTCGATCATTCATTTGTATAAACATAGATGTTGGGGGAAAGGGATTGTGAGTAATGGAGACTGAGAATCTCATTGCTAGCAATATACCCAACCAGGTCGACCTCCTCGCGGTTCTCCCTGGAAACTATCATGGTTAATTCCTGATGAATTCATTATGATTGGCTAACTGGCCTGTTTTCATTCTCATCTATCACCCTTCACTGGTGCTCCGCCAGCGTATCCCGTTAACGCAGGCGGGGTTAACGGGATACGCTGGCCACGCTGGTTAACCATACCATTTTCACCCATCAAAAAAAACAAAGATGTTTAATTCATCACAACAGCCACTGCTGAACATAAATTCTCCCCAGACGCAGACGGTCCACCTGATTGAAAGCGGCTACCGTCGCCCAATAAACACTTACAATACGCGACAAGTTTCCTGTGCGTTGCTGGCCCTTTAAACGGTTTTTAAAATGCCCCATACGTTTTACCTATTAAATTATGAATGCATCCTTTAGTATAAACAGTGTAGAACGCACCACTATTAAAAATATAGGAGAAGCCATGTCGTTTGAAAAATAAAAAAATGTCGGGTGCAAGATTATTGTAAAATAATAAAACATATTTTACTAGCGACCCGCCCCGGCTTCGCACGGGTGCAATGCTGATACTAAATATACCTACCTACAACAGAATATCCTTATAAACAACGTTTTTTTTGTCATTAGACAATACAAACATGATATTATGAAACAGTGCTATTCGATGCACGATTTATAGGCACGCGTCGCTTGCCGGACCGGTACCGCCGCACCGCTATGTTCCTGCATTTTAAATCTGTAATATCTTCGGAAATATTCATTTAAATTACATGCTGTAAAGAGCCATATTGATCTATATTAAATGGACAATATATGTAAGGTACTTAGTTGGATAAATTAATGCTGTATTACTTAAAATAACTTCGTAAATAAGTACTTTTTCCCGTAAAATGTAAAGGATAAGAAAAGGTTATTGTGGGTTATCCTTAAGAGATAGACATATACTATCGCGAACTTTTTTGTTGGCCTTTTTAAGGTGTACAATACTGTAGTACATTATTTTGATTTATCTCGTAGGGTTCAGCCAGCGTTTGCAATGTAAGCGAAAAAAATGTGTTTATTTACGATGTCACATTAGAAACCTCTAAATTTATCAGTCTTTCTCTACAATATTATGCATGTATTATACATATAAACCTTTCTCTTGCATCACTCTATCCATTAAAAAAAAAATTGCTTCAAAATATATTTGTGTTTATAACCTCCAAGTTTTCACCAACGACATTTATCAAGTCTTGATCTAAGAACAAGGAATTACATAGAAGGAATGATAAAATAAAAACTGTAAATCATACGATTGAATCCTTTCTTCTTATGCAAATATAATTAGTAAAAAGAGGACGAAAGATACACTATCGGTTGCTATTTTTCACAATTCATGGCAGGCTAGTGTGTAGAAAATGTTTGATATGTTAATTATTTATCAATGACAAATTTTACATTACTAGATTATACATTCGACACAGTTTATGTAGAAAGTATGCAAGCAGTTTGCATCTGAATTTGGTAGGGTTATACGGCCGTATAACATTTTTTTATACACTAAACTACTATGAATTGACAACTGTATCACTCCTTCTATGTAATTCCGTATTTTTAGGTCTTGATGAATTTATTGATGTAGCGAGGTCACGACTCCGCTCATTGTCTTTCCTTGTCATACATCAGACTAATAATGTCCTTATACAGATATGCATTGTCACGCAACATCGACCATGCTTCTATTTAAAACAATCGATTCTGATTTTATCCTGATCTGATAGAAGGTTGAAAGAAATCCCTTTAAGGGATAAATCTGCCTTTGTACATTTTTGTTATAACCTAATATTTATATTAAAAGTGTGTGTACAAAAGCATGAATAAATAAATAGAACTTTCGAGATAATTCTTGGAAGTTGGCAGTGTTTTTTTTTTTTTTTGTATGGGATATTTTTTTTTTAATAATGAAATGTGAATAATGATCCAACCTGCGCTATCGGTATACATTGGCGAAGCACCAGTGAGGGATGATAATTAAAGATGAAGACAGGTCAGTTAGTCCATCGTGATGGATAAATACACTAGGAATTAACCGTGATGGTTTCTAGGAACGACCGCGTGGTGATCGACCTCACAGGGTACCTATATTGCTAGCAATTGGCCTGGTTACGTTTCTTTACTATTTCTTCCCGGTGTAATCTCATCGATTAAAGGGAAAAGGGATAATGTAGTAATGAAATCTTATTCCCCATTGCTAGCAATATATTAGCAGGTCGATTTCAATGCAGTTCCACCTGGAAACCGTTGTGGATAATAATCGTTGAATTCATCAAGATGGGCCAACTGGCCGGTTCCATGCTCGCCTATCATCTCTCACTGGTGCTCTGCCAGTGTATATCGATAGCGCAGACGGGGTCATTATTCTATTTACCAGAGAGAGACTTTGTAAAAAAGTCGATTGCTTGGGTACCTCTGTCCCATTCGTGTTTCTACCGTGAAGCAGTTGTGTTTGCATGGCTGTGTTTCGGTTTGAAGGGTGGGATATGGCGTGAATTTACAGGGTACAGAGGAATAACACCTGAGTCCTCAGGAATGGCAACGCATGGGGGTATCATGGGCGAAACAGTATAATCTGTTATGTCCATGGTACTGCTCGTGTCTATAGGCGACGGTTACCACTTTCCATCAAGTGGGCCGTCACCCACAATTTTCACCCTTTAAAAATAGCATCATTTGCACAGTGAACATTTTAACACAATCCTCAAAGCTTTCAGACGAAACAAGACACGGAAGCGGAGTTCCAGTGGTTTCAAGCAGGATCAATTTTATGACATGTTCGAGCGTATAACGGCTTTAGAAGAGAAACGTTTGGAAATAGATCAAATTAATGCACAAACCAACAGGGAAGCTGTGGTTACGGCTCAACGATGTGCTCAAGCGATGGAAGCGCTTGCAGACGCAATCAAGACTCAGGGTCAAGAAATAGCAGATGCTCTAAAAACTAACGGCAATTTAATCGCTGATGCGCTACGAGCGCAAGGACAGATTATAGCAGAATCTATAAGTAATAAAGTGCTTTAAATTAAGAAATGTTATTTTATAAATTAAACCATTGGTTTTCCCCCTCTTTTATGAACATGGAATAAGGGTAAGGGTAACCCCATTGTTTAAAGAATTTTTAATTTAACCGGGTTCACCATTCCGTTGTAATGGTTATCCTTGTAAGCCCATTTTATCGAATTCACGAAATAAACAAAGGTGTTGTCTAAGAACCGCGTAAAGATCAAACGGAAAGGGCATATTACTAACAATTATTGCTGGTGGGAAAGGGATTATTAGCAATCGAGTTTGACAGCCCCATTGCTAGCAATATGCCCTATTAGGTCGACCTCCACGTGGTTCCACCTGGAAACCATCGTGAATAATTCTTGTTAAATTCGTCTTAACTGACCTGCTTCATCCTCACCTATCATCCTTCACTGGTGCCCCGCCGGTGTATACCGATAGCGCAAGTGGGGTTACCATTCCATTATTACCCATTAAAAAAAACAACTATAGCTAACCAAGAATATCTGCTGCGGGGTACCGAATAACCATAGGTGGGAGGGGGGATTGTTATGAATGGGAAGGTTAGTGCCCACTGATATCAATATATCAGGTCGACCTCCACGCGGTTCTCCTTGGAAACCTATCGTGAAAATTCACGCCACAATTTGGTTGTACATTTTTAGGGTTGTTATCTCAATTTCGTCAGATGAAAAGCGAATTGGAAATTAAAGCAATTTAGTTTTTGAATCGAAATAAATGGACTTTGCCACAAAAATAGCTATTATAAAAGGGTTTAGCCGGGGTTTTGTATTCTATAAATCAGTGGTGTCCAAACTATGACCAGTGGGCAAGATACGGCCCGCAAAATCTTCTAGCTACTACCAATATTGATGTTGACAAAATTATAAAAGAATGAAAAAGTAATACAATAACAAAAATGACAGCTGAATGTTGTTCTTACAAATATTTCCCGCATGATGCATTTAGTAATTTTTATTGGCCCTACACATCCTATGTAAACTAGTTTGGAGTTTTGGACCGCCTTGCTATAAATGATAGTTAATGATTAACCCAAGTGAATTGCCAAATTCCATTCAAATTGAAAATTACGGTTTAAGATACAGGGAGAAATGTTGCAGTTTAATTTTCCTGTCGGTTTTTAATTTTATTTTGCTCAATATAAATAAAAATTGCCTTTATTTGACTTTTTGTATACACACCTGCGCTGGATATTAGATATATTAACCTACTTAGGGTGCCTTAACACCTATGAATCAGGGGGAAAGGGATTGTTAGTAATGGAGACTGAGAATCCCATTGCTAGCAATATACCCAACCAGGTCGACCTACTCGCGGTTCTCCCTGGAAACTATCATGGTTAATTCCTGATGAATTCATCATTATGGGATAACTGACCTGTTTTCGTTATCTATCACCCTTCACTGGTGCTCCGCCAGCGTATCCCGTTAGCGCAGGTGGGGTTACCATACCATTTTCACCCATCAAAAAAGCACTTATGAATCATGAAGTAGAACAATGAAAAAACAAAGTGAACATAATTTCTCATTTATTCATCACCGGGAATGTGTATCGGTGCGTGTGCCGGCACGCCTTACGCGTTTAATATTCTTCTGCCCCCTCGCCTTCACCCTCGACGGAGTCCATGCCGACTTCTTCGTAATCCTTCTCGAGAGCTGCAAGATCTTCACGGGCCTCGGAGAATTCACCTTCCTCCATACCCTCACCGACGTACCAGTGGACGAAAGCGCGCTTGGCGTACATCAAGTCAAACTTGTGATCCAAACGAGCCCAGGCCTCGGCGATGGCAGTAGTGTTGGACAACATGCACACGGCGCGAGAAACCTTGGCCAAGTCACCACCCGGAACGACAGTTGGTGGCTGGTAGTTGATGCCGACCTTGAAGCCAGTTGGGCACCAGTCGACGAATTGGATAGTGCGCTTGGTCTTGATGGTAGCAATGGCGGCGTTGACATCCTTGGGGACGACATCACCACGGTACAACATGCAGCAAGCCATGTACTTTCCATGACGAGGGTCGCATTTGACCATCTGGTTGGCAGGCTCGAAGCAAGCGTTGGTAATCTCGCCGACGGTCAATTGTTCGTGGTAAGCCTTCTCGGCAGAGATGACGGGTGCGTAAGTCACCAGGGGGAAATGGATACGAGGATAGGGGACCAAGTTGGTCTGGAATTCGGTCAAGTCGACGTTCAAAGCGCCATCGAAACGCAGAGAGGCCGTGATGGAAGAAACGATCTGGCCGATCAAGCGGTTCAAGTTGGTGTAGGTCGGGCGTTCAATGTCCAAGTTGCGGCGACAGATGTCATAGATAGCCTCGTTGTCGACCATGAAAGCGCAGTCGGAATGTTCCAGGGTGGTATGGGTGGTCAAGATGGAGTTGTATGGCTCTACAACGGCAGTGGAGACCTGGGGAGCAGGGTAGATGGCGAATTCCAGCTTCGACTTCTTGCCATAGTCGACCGAAAGGCGTTCCATCAACAAGGAAGTGAAACCTGAGCCAGTACCACCACCAAAGGAGTGGAAGATGAGGAATCCCTGAAGGCCAGTGCATTGGTCAGAGAGCTTGCGGATACGGTCCAGCACCAAGTCAACAATCTCCTTTCCAATGGTGTAATGCCCACGAGCATAGTTGTTGGCAGCATCTTCTTTGCCAGTGATAAGTTGCTCAGGGTGGAACAATTGTCTGTATGTGCCTGTGCGTACCTCATCTGTGGACAAATACAAAATAATATTTATAATTTTATTTTCCTATTAGTATTTTAGACAAGAGATTTAAACAACTGGAATATAACTACTATTTTTTTTTTAAATGAATAATAATGGCAAAAAAAATCTTATTAGCCACAAATTATTCGTTTTTCCTTTTACCAACATTAGAAATAAAAAAGTTTTCAAGGTTCAACTACGAAACCTAATCTATGTTGGAAACGTCCATGCTAACCTTATGAACTCATTACTACTGTTAGTAGCTAGTCATAATTTTTTATATTTTATATATTTACCTAGTCATATATATGTCTTTATACTTATGTATGTATAATTATAATAATCAATTAATGTTATTTACGTATACATAATTTATTGTGTATAGGTATACATTAACAGTTATGTTAACCTATCCTAATAATGAAGTAGCGCGTTCATTATTCTCCATTTATTCTAAAGGTTGAATAGTAGAGAATGGTTCTTTTGGTCGATAAAGTTATTTAAACAAACAAACATACAACAAGATAACAATAGGCACAAACGGTTTGAAACTGAATATAAGATTCATAAGCAAAATTTAATTGTTGCTTATTAAAATAATTAAGTATGTAATTAGATTAATCCAGTAATATTCATGAAAATTATAACAAAGTAATGTGGAAGTAACTAGTTGGTAGGTGTGTGGCATACATAGAGATATGTACTAAATAGTGCGAGGACAATTTGTATGAAATGTACAAAAATTAATTTCGTGTTCTTTGGAATTATATAGCTTTAAATAAAATGATATAAATCCAAAGTCATCTGACCAGTTCCGTTATATTAGCGTGAATAGTGATCCAAAATACTAAATTGACTTTTACACAGCAGTGGCATGTTTGTGGGGTATTGATTCTTTTAACATGATACTTACCAACTACAGTGGGCTCGAGGTCCACGAAGACAGCACGGGGCACGTGCTTGCCAGCTCCGGTCTCGCTGAAGAAGGTGTTGAAGGAGTCATCACCACCGCCGATGGTCTTGTCTGTTGGCATCTGACCATCAGGCTGGATGCCGTGCTCCAGGCAGTAGAGCTCCCAGCAGGCATTGCCGATTTGGACTCCGGCTTGACCGACGTGTACGGAGATGCACTCACGCTGTGTAAAAGGAATTCTTTTTAATGATACTACCAAAAAGCAACTACGTATCTAGATTTCAACTCTTAAATAAATGCCTTATAAAGTAGGCTCTATATATATCTATGTCTCGAGGTAAACTTTAAATAAATTTGTGTTAGTGTAAAAACTATAAATTAGCACCTAACACGTATCTTCTTTCTGTACATTCTTATACAATTTTTGGCAGGTATTTATAAAAAATAAAGGGTATAAAATAAAATTTAAAAAAATTGATAATAAATTTATATTTATTATAATATTGCTCCAAGAATGACGTAAGAATTATTACTTGTCAGCGTTGAATAGATTAGTCTATTCAATAAATCAACGACAAATCAAAAAGAAATACTTTTGTACAAATGTAGACCTATAAGTAGGTAATGGGTACCTACTAATTCTATAAATATCAGAAAGTCAGTGACCGTCTTCGCGTGTAATTTATCATGGTAACGCAATGGTGAGAGCTATTCATAAAAGGCACATAGCGGAGAAAGGTGAAAGTTTCTCATCAGTGTTCACTTGTCGGCGGTTTAACTACAATTGCAAGTAAAAAAAAAAAAAGGTATTTCGGACGTATCTACTTATTTAGTAATAAATTATTTAATGTACGGTATCGTGGTTATTATCTATATAATAGACGTCAATAGGTAGTTTTGATTCGAAGAAAAATAGAAAAAAATCGAATGATTCGGAAAAGTATTAGGTACTCCTCTATATGCTTATCGATTTAAAAGTTCTAGCCGGCTTGCGGCACCACCCTACCTGAGTAGGCTTTAATTCTTCCCATTTACATCGTATTTATAGATTCTATAGAATAAAAAAAAATTAAACAAAATAAGGTTCAATACAAAAGTAAGTTGTGAAGGTTTTAGTTTTATTCGGTAAACATAAGAATGGCCGCGACTCGAATGAGATCACCGAACTCCGGCCTCGAATGAGGTCACCAACACGTCACCCGATAAACAGCAAGAAAATAGATGAAACATAAATTTGTATAATGGACAGTTCTAGTATTCGAAAAAGTGATTACGAATTCTATACAGGCACTTTACTAAGCTTATAAGTAGAAATGGAATTTAAATAATCGATTTCAGGGTGTGGCATTAATGGTTACTGAAAAATTAGAAGCAGGTAGGTATAAGCTAGAAATTCGACGGAAAAAGGTGAATAATTTAAACAAATGAATATCTAATCTTAACACTTCACAATTGGCAGTATTTATCAATAGAACATTCTATATTTGAAGATCGCAAGTAGAAATTGAATATAAAGAGGATAAGTTAAGGAGTAGTTCTCACAAGTTAAAATGGAAAGAGATAAAGGTCTATAGAAAGTGATCGGGTAATACACCGACAAAATGGTGGCGTGGCCACCCGGTTTTTAAAAGTCGCAATCTACGAAAACCAAGAATTACAACAATAAATAAGAATAATAATTGCTTTAATCTAACTGTAATATATGGATTTATATAATTACTCACCATTTTGAATTGAGTTTTGTTGAACTTAACGTAGGAATAAGTTAATTAAATAAATGTCAGTCGTCGTTCAGCGCGACCGGTAAAGAGGCTTGCCGAACGAATAATAACGCCGGAAAATCCGTTGAAACGACTTATATAGCGTCGGTGTCACGGGGAGCGACGCTTTGAATTCGAGCTTGTGATTGGTCTATTCAAATACCGCATGGGCGGCTCGACCAATAAGGTCAAAGCTGCATTATATCACCATTGCGGGAATATGTAGGTTGCTGGTGATTCATTCTAGACTAACATTCTAGCGTTGTACAGAATCGATATCGATAGTCCCATTTAACTTCCTACGATCATTTAAATAAGAAGAAGTAGGAGATTTATTGACTACTGACTGTATCTTGCGGCTTCACCCGCGTCTATAAGATATATAAAATACATTATAGGTTACTTTAGAATGTGGTCTACTTGTTTACTGAATTTCATTTAGATTGCGCACTTTGTGTTCACAAAAGTATATATATATATTGGTAAATTTTGTAACATAATAAATTGATAGTTTTATTATCATAAGCATACGTTTATCTTATATTTTACAATTAAAACATTTAACAAGTTTCTATTAAAATCTGTATGTAAACAAGCCGTTTAACTTGATTTTCCAATATTTGTAATTTTATTACATAATTATTACAAGAAACTACTTGTTACAGTCCATTTTACTAGCATTTAGTGAAAGTGTACTCATTTAATAATTTCAACAATAATTAACTGTCGATTGCTGAACATAGGTCACCCCATAAACTCCCATATGGAATAGCCCTGAATCACATACATCCATTGACTCCCTGCATTTGAGGTTGTCGCTTATTCTAGTGGGGTATCGTCCTATACTGTGTTTGTTTGAACAGGATTGTCATTCAAGAATATTTCTTCCTTATTTGAAAATGATGAAAATGTATACAAACAAATAATTGGCCTGATCATGAGATAGTTTGTGGACGTTGATATAGAAGTACAAATTAAAAATTAAAGTACTAATTGAATTTATAGTGACCTTCTAATCACAGAAAAAAAAAATTATTCGAAAAAATTATTACCTTTTCATTTTGATTAAGATTTACTGAATGAGACTGTAGTTTAATATCCCAAGCTCATTTTATAAATTACCATTGGAAACTTTAATTTAGATGAATTGTAATTTATGAATCAGTTTGGATTCCATTATGAAACATTTAAAATCATACAATTTTTTTTTTAATGGGTGATAATAGAATGATAACTTCGCCTGCGCTATCACGTTATTCTGGCGGGGCACCAGTGAGGAATGACAGGTGAGGATGAAAAGGTAGGTCAGTTAACCCATCGTGACGAATTCCACTAGAATTAACCACGACGAATTGCAATGGGTCAATTAGACTACATTACTAACAATTCCTTTGTCCCCAAATCATACTAATTAGGATAATCTATGACTACATATAAAATGTCATTATACAGATACAAAATTAGTTATGCCTGTAATTTAGTCCGTTAAACCGGGATAAAGGTAGTTCACGTGTAGGTAAAAAATTATATGCACACGCTATTTTATAACTATATTTTATATTTCTTTTTTTCAGTTTTATTATATTCAATTAAAAAAAATATATAAATTGTATTTATTTGAAAAATAATCATTCATTGAATTTCGTCCATGAAACTAGGATAAATTAAATGAATTGGATTAAAATTTGCCTAATAAGCCCTTTTATTATCTTTAGTTAATCCGTTAAAAGGAAACAAATAAACAAGCATATAAATGAAATTGCATATTAAGGAAATAGGAATAGTGAGGTAGTAAAAATAAGTTTATGGTAGGAACTATAAATTTAGTTATATTAAACTTCGGTATTTTTTTTTTTTTTTTTTTTTTATAGTACTTAGATAGATAGTATAATTATATTACAAATTTGTCGATACAATATGCAGACTAAAGAACGCACTACTACGCCCGTTATTTTCTTCACTGCACTCACACAATCATATTATCTGTAGAATACACACCAACAGTTCATAGACAGACGCACACATATACAAATTCGTCGTATATGGGCGCCGTCTGGACGTTTTATCAATACTTTTTTTGTAAAAGGAAACAGATTTTGCAATAGTTATAGGCTTATATAAATATATATAATGTATATATATATAATTAAATTAACGAAAATAAAGTATTTTTGTTTTACTTAAATTATTTAACTGTTGTATTAATACACACGTATATAACAAGTCACACACATAGGTTGGTAAATACGTACGTGTACAGCTCGCATGAATAATTTCTTATTTTATTTATGTCATCACCATAAATGGAATATAGAGTTTAATACATTCATATTTGTATTTTATTTATACAGTAAAAATGTTTACATCATCAGCTATTTAGGTAGGCAGGTACCAGCCTAAAAAATCTGGGCAAATCAATTTCTGATATTCAGTAGCATATTTCTCTATGAAAGTTTTATGGGATAGGCCTAGTAAATAGAGAAAGCCATTATAAAACTAATATACCTCAGGAGGGAAAAGGATTGTTAGTAATGGAGATTAAGGGTCCCATTGCTAGCAATATACCCAAACAGGTCGACCTTCCCATGGTCCCCCCTGGAAACCATCGTGCTAAATTCCTGGTGAATCCGTCACGATGCGCCAACTGACCACTCCGAATGACAATTTAGATGAATGTCTTGTCTATCATCCATCATCTTTCATTTTTGATCCGCCGATGCGAAGGTCAAGTGGGTTATCATTTCATTTTCATTGATTAAAAAATATAGCAGACTCAGAATAATTTTTACTTAGACTTAGATTAATAAAAAAAATACAAAAGGTAATATTTTATTATAATTGTAGCGATATCAAAAATTTGTACATAATGTTTTTACCGCCATCTACCGAACGTTAGTAAAACTTTTACTTCCAGGTTTGTGATGTACTCGTGAGATTCCCAAGGGCGAGATTGTTACATTATTATTCATAATCATCCAAAGATGGCGCTAATATGTCTTCATTTTGTTAACAATTTTTTTTGCAAAATAATATTAAAAATTCGATTTCGATACTATACAATTAAAATTCAATCAAATTTATTTTATAACGTTATCTTGATTTTAATAAAAAAAATTATTACTCCGTGGAATAAAGGAAAATATTGACTACCAAATATCTTTGATATATACGTAACTAATGTAATTTAATAGGGGGGAAAGGGATTGTTAGTAATAGAGACTGAGAATCCCATTGCTAACATAATACTCAACCAGGTCGAATTCCTCGCGGTTCCTCCTGGAAATCAGCGTATCTCGTAGTCGGAGTTACCATTCCATTTTTACCCATCAAAAAAAAAAAAAAACAATTAAAAAACATATTATTTAATAATTACTTTGAACTTGATAGTGACTTGCACATATTACAATAGTATTTTTTTTAACTTTAAATAAGTATGTTACCCCGTTTACATAAGGGAAAACCAACCATCTTATATATATTATACACTTAGGTTGTATATATCTATCTTCTCTCAAATTTTTTTATGTATTTAGTACAAGATAAATAATTAACCATTAATTGTGTTTGAATTTAATAAATGATTCTTATTAATAACACCCAAGGAAGAAAAATGTGCATTAATATTTATTTATAGATATTGTTGCTCAGTAAATTATATTCCTAAGGGAAAGGCTAAGAGACTGCTAAAGCAGTCGTTTTATTTTATATAGGAGACTGTTAAATTTTGCCGGGAAATGTTTTAGATTTTCAGAACATATTCTTATTGCTATCTCATTCATGCTGCTCCTACACTATATTGTACAAAAGAGACAAGCGTATATGAGTGAATACACTACACGATATATGATATTTCCGTTCGATTTCCCGCGCACATTCAATAAGTGCGCGCCAACGCTATTCCGTGCGCGAACGTTTCTTTAGGTGTGTACGATACGAAAAAAAAAATCAAATATCGTAAATATTAAATTGTAAATTTAATAAAAGTGTATTTAGAATGAAATAAAAAAGTTTAAGTGCCACTAAACTGTGTGTTCTGTGTTGTGTTGGATATTTATAAGTAAAGGATTTATATCAAGAGTACGTATAATTTTGGCGCATTTTTACATTTTTACTTTTCAATTTACGACTAGCGATATAGAAAGTCATTGAAATGGCATTGAGTATTGTTTTATCTGAAGCTGAGGTAGAGTGAGTGTGATAAATCGATTGTATGGATCCTTTTAAGGTGCGTTTCCGTTAGGTTTGTAGAATAGAGCCCGTTTGATCTAGGATCTAATCAGGTTTACTAGCCAGGCCTAAGTAAGGGTAAGTAGGTACTTTTTAGGTTCTTCAAAAATTAAATGAAATCCAGTGGTGGATTTAGGGGCAGGTTGAGAAGGCTGAAGCCTAGGGGTGTAGATTTTAGAGGCGACAAATTTGTGGCCAAAATATTTGACCATTGACCGAACGTTGTAATTAATATGATTATTAACAAACTAGGGTATTAAATTGTTAAAAAATTTCAAAAGTCTACTGGTGGGAAATGTGTAAAGCATAATTGATTAGAGATAACATGAAGAATACAATGTGACAGTATTTATATCTTAGTACCTGCTCTCTTTTTTTTATTGCTGTATATCGAACCTTGTCTGCTCACAGTTGCTGTAACAGTTATTAGTTTAAACTTTGTTAGTTAGTAAATATTTACTATTAATATTTATTTTTCTGTTTTGTACCATTTATTTTTTTAAAAAAAAAATAAATAAATAAAATTTTGCTGTTTATTTATATTATTTCGAAACAAACTAAGTCTTAAATAATTAACTATAAAAAAAATATGGGAAATTTTGTATCTGATTTATTACCTAAAATTTACAAAAAAAAGTTATTAGTTTGTTCCTTGAAAGGTTATATGCTATTCAAAAAACTATTAGATTATGTGTCGGGATACATTACTTAAAATTTACAGAAAAAAAAGTTATTGATGGTTAATTCCTTGAGGAAGGTTATATGCTATTCAACATCACTATTACAGACGAAGCTGCGGGATACGGCTATAGTATCGGTATAAAGCTATTCAAAATTCAAATCCTTACTAATATTGTAAATGGAGGGGGAAAGGGATTCTTAGTGATGGAGACTGAGAATCCCATTGCTAGCAATAACCCAACCAGGTCGACCTCCTCGCGGTTCTCCCTGGAAACTATCATGGTTAATTCCTGATGGATTCATTATGATGGGCTAACTGGCCTGTTTTCATTCTCATCAATCACCCTTCACTGGTGCTCCGCCAGCGTATCCCGTTAGCGCAGGCGGGGTTATCATTCCATTTTCATCCATCAAAAAAAAAAATTCAAAAATAGAGAACATATCCCGGTCATGAGGACGAAGTCGCGGGTAAAAGCTATTTAGTATAAATGGTAGTTTTTTTTTGTATGCAACTTAGAATAGCATACAAGCTGACGGCCCACCTAATAGAAAATGATAACCGTCGCCTATAGACATGAGCAGTACCATGGACATGACAGAGTATACTGTTTCGCCCATGATACCCCCCATGCGTTGCCATTCCTGAGGACTCAGGTGTTATTCCTCTGTACCCTTTAAATTTACTGCTATACCTCACCCTTCAAACCGAAACACAGCCATGCGAACACAACTGCTTCACGGTTGAAACACGAAATTGGACAGAGGTGTCCAAGCAAACGACTTTTGTACAAAGTCTCTCTCTGGTAAAATGGTAGTAATAAATAATGTTTTACTAAACGAGGTGTTATCTTAAAATAATTTAAATAAGTAACGCGCACCCGTATTGAATATTTCCCAATCGCCTACACAGCTATTAAGTTCTGGTCACTCCCACGGCGCGGGCGCAGTTGATCGTGGTGTCAAAAGTGGGTGGGTTGGGACATTAAAGGTCAATTGGATACTAGTTACAGTCAACTAATATCTTGTAACGGTATAGAATAATAAATTGTTAAAAAAAAAAAAAAAAAAAAACAGAATTGATACTCGACTTGTTTTACTAGATTTTTTTTTAATAGAACTTAAATCACCGTCTCCCTTAAATTAGTCTATCATCGTCATCATCATGTCAGCAGATAACTTTCCACTGCTGAACATAAGTCGATTGCTTTCCCATTCGTGTTTCAACCGTGAAGCAGTTGTGTTTGCATGGCTGTGTTTCGGTTTGAAGGGTGGGGTATGGCGTGAATTTACAGGGTACAGAGGAATGACACCCGAGTCCTCAGGAATGGCAATGCATGAGGGGTATCATGGGCGAAACAGTACACTCTGTTATGTTTATGGTACTGCTTATGTCTATAGGTGACGGTTACCACTTTCCATCAGATGGGCCGTCAGCTTGTTTGCCATTCTAAGTTGTATAAAAAAAACTATCTTCTATTGGTTCAAATGTAGTTAATTTGAAAATCCTAATTTATTTTTCTATCTATCCACACGTGCGAAACCAGGGCGGGTGGCTAGTGTTTTATAAAATGTTTCTCACACAATATTGGCGTCAAAAGGTGAACTCACTTTGTATTTATAATATAAGTAAAAATCAGCAAGGATTGGAAATCAGCAGACTAACTTCATCATCATCATCTCAGCCTTTATCTGCCATTGCTGAACACAGAATTCCCCCACAGACTGTCATAAAGAACGGTCCTGAGCCACCTGCATCCACTGACTCCCTGCAATTTATTTGAGGTGAGGGGAAGGGATTGTTAGTAATGGGGAGGTTAGTCCCTATTGCTATCAATATATCCTATCGGGCCGACCACCACGCGGTTCCCTCTGGAAACTGTCGTGACTAATTTACCGTTGAATTAGCCACGATGGGCTAACTGACCTGTCTTTTCATCCTCACCAATCATCCCTCACTGGTGCCTCGCCAGTGTATATCGATAGCGCAGGCGGGGTTACTATTTCATTATCATCTGTTAAAAAAAAATCATTTGAGGTCGTCACCTCAGCTAGTGAGGAGTTGTCCTTTACTACGTTTGCCCATACGGGGTCGCAACTCAAGAACCGTTCTTACATTATCACATTTGTTTATATTTTTATTATGTTATTTTGAAATAGTATCGTAGGTGTTGTGAGACCTTGTGTCACTTAACAGTTATTGGAATTACGGCATTAAGGATACAAAATCCCAGGATCTCGTTGGAGCCACCGTCGGGACCTTGTTCTCGTTTGTACAAACGTGTTACTCACAGTTATTTCTGTGGGCATTATTGCTTGTTTACGAAAACATCGAAAACCGCAAGGTTTTATGCGTCAGAACAGCATCATTGGATTCATAACTCGATGCACTCACTTATTTGGATGACTATTTCGCGTTATTGATTTACTTGGAAAGCTTAGTCACGTATAGTAACGACAGATGGTTTTTAAAAGAAAACAATGTGAATGGCAGTGGATGGAATAATGATATAAAAACTGAACAAAGAACAGCTCGAACTGGTTCATACTTGCTTTTATCTCCGCCACTTGGGCTCAGAGCTTAAGACAGATGCGTTTTTATTATACCTAAAGCCGTATACGTAGTCTACGATCCATATTATTTTTATTTAAAAAACGAACACAAGATATTTTTTTAAATGCTTAATAGATACTTTTACACTCCACTTCCTTTCATTCTTAATCCTTTACTGCACAGATAGTTGGCCTGTGGAACTAACTACCTGCCTCTATTCGGTGCGCTTAATCTCTCACTTGCATCAGATTCTAATTCTACTATCTCTCCCTTTAAGTGCTATTTTCCCGTGTTCTCTCTTCCTTTTCCATTTTCTTTCTCTCCGGTTTATGTGTGCAATTAAATACGTGTATGTTTATGTATATATTTGTTTATATCTACGTATATATTAGTATATATATAATAGTGCGCTACCCACTCCTTCTTTTTTTTCTCATTGTCCTCTACCAAAAGAGATTGCTTAGCGATAAGGTCGCCTTATGTATCACTTCTTATTAAAATTAACTGTATTTATTATTTTATAAATGGTGCGATAGAGTGTTAAATAAATAAATAGGTAATCAAATTAAAAATTGTATTCTCTGATAGGACCCTTTTATCCGATACAGGGTTTTGCTCGTCTCATTCGCATTGGAGTTGGTTTCATCATCGTCATAACAACAGTTAACTGTCCACTGCTGAACGTAGGTCTTCCCCATAAGGGGAGGTTTGCTAATAGTTGCCACGCTTGGCAAGCGGGTTGGCAACCATAGTTAGGCTCTTAGAGATGTTTTAAGAGGGACGCTGCTGCCCATCCCTCTACTATTAAATTCCCTTAGTCGCTTCTTACGACACCCACAGGAAAGGAACGAATAATCGAGACGACTATAGAGCAGTTTACTCCAATAGCAGTACAAATAAAAAATCGATCAATCAATTAAATGTTGGGAACTAATACTAATTTAATTTTGGGAGTATTTACTTCATTATTTCAATAAAACTTCGTTACTTTTTTTATTAAATTCAATTGAAATAGGCTATAATCCTAAGAGCATCCATGCATTCATATTTGTAGAAATATGTACTTACCTATCTACCTTACCAGTTAAAAACTTGTTACTGTTCCGTTTTACGCAAAAGTAAAAAAATATGATGCAAACAAGTTTGCCTAAATCATTATTTATAGTAAGCTAATAATATTTATAAAGAATCCCAGACAGAAAAATAATATTTCTTTCCTGTATCCGGGAATATAATTAACCCACTTTCAAAATAAAATTTGTAAATATTTAAAATGATAGAGGAAAAAGAAAAAAACAAAATATCTCATTGATTATTAATATATGATTATATATTACACTTATATACAGATATTATACAGATTATATACAGATTATATTATACACATTATATACAGAGTAAAAGAGATCTTTTTATATACAAGAGTGCATGTTACTGAGAAATTTTTATACTTATTCGAAAATGCGTGATCTCTTTTTGTATAATATTATTAGGGAGACAAACGAGCAGACGGTCCACCTGATGGAAGCGGCTACCGTCGCTCATGAATGCTTGCAAAACAAGAGGAGTTGCTTGTTGCCTGTTCTATGGCTCGTCGTGTCACTATAACAATAATGGT